TGAGCCGGTATTCGTACCTGGGACCTTCAACATTGGAAGCTCAGTACCCTACCACTGAGCTACCCAACTGTCATATTAAACAATAGAAAAGGAAATTTCCCCATTTGGACCTATGCTTCACGGATAAACGGAACATCCAAAAAAACTCATAAGTAAACTATATACTTTTGAATCAAAAACTTTCAGGACTTAAGCCAAAGCTCCCTAAGTAACATTACATTACCTAAAGACTTACAGATGCTAACAGGTAACGACCACATACGAAGATACTACAAAAGAATTCACAGTACCTTACACGGACATTCCAACTACCTGATTGAAGGCATGGCCTCAACCAACATGCCTGATGGTACTCGTAGTAGGTTCAAAAGAAGCTGGATGAGGGATCTCCTCCACTAACTATAGAAAGAGAAACACTTAATTTTCATAGAAAATCTAAAAGGTTGCTGCCCAATTATATTGGGTTGCTATATACACATAGTATACTAATTAATCCGTAGGACAATAAATAAACTTATATACAAATATACAGAGCTGGTTAGTATATATTAGTATAGTATAATAAATATATATATTTATATATATATTTTTTTTCCTTTCATAGTTCATGTTTTTTTTTCAAAATCAAAATAGGAAGGGATGCCGCATGGCAAACCTCTTCCTCAGGTATATCAACGTCTTACTCCATACTCTTCTTCCCAACAGCACACTTGCTAGTTACTGGTATTCTCAACAGAGTGAGTTTAAAAATACTGTTAAATTAAAACAAAAAATACGGAACTTTGTTAGATATGTCATAAACTTTTGAGATCTTGAAAATGAGCCAATTGGCTCGAAACGTTGTAATCACCTAAATAAATGGAAATATTCTAAGGGTCATTATTCATTCCTTGAAGATACCGTATATAAAAATAAATACAAATATTTATATTTTTACAAGTATTTTTTTAATAATAAATTTGGTAAAAGTCGAAAAACAACTCTCTTAATGGTACTGACCGTAATTCTCGAAAATATTGTGAAAGATGAATGTTTCACACGAACTGTCAACTGTTTGTATTTAGTAATGTTACATGCTGTTTCAACAATGGACGCGGTATGAGAAATAAAAACTATGTTGAATATTTTGTTCCTAGCTCATCCGTTGTGACTGTTTAGGTCAATTATGCTGAAGTTCATCAAACTCAGAATAAAATTATTGAATTTGTATAAAGAACAACTAAGTACGATCGAAGATACCATTTTTTTAAAAAATTTATATTTACCAAAAAAAAAAATAAACCAAGTAGTAAATTTTTAGTGCCCTCAAAAGAAAGTTATAGAACATTCGTACATACAGTCGAATGACACAACCAAGAGGCCATAAATGTAATATTTTATTTTTTATTTTGGATATTTTACAGAGGAAATATTAAAACTTGTTTGGTAATTTCAGAAAATATTTATTTAAGACATTTTAAGACCTCCATGTAACTTTAGGACAACACCTTACGCTCTCAATCTCTTAATCAACCCCTACGAATGACGGTGAATGAGTTTCACTTTCAGTAAAATGATTATTTTATAATTAACTTACTCCTCGGCGCTTCAGGCCGATGACCCTTGGTCTTCTCAGTTATTTTTCTCCACTTCTCTGTGTCCTATGCTTGTCTCTTGCAATTGCAGACTCCTAACTTCAAAGTTGGAATCTCTCCATTTGATTCTTCCACCTGCTTCTCGGCCTTCCTCTTATCCTCTTATAGCTAAAGTGCTCTGCGAATATTTTCTTCTGCATCCGTTCATTCTCCTTTCTTTTGTAAAACAATGTTAACGATAAAGTTCCCTTCCTTACCTATTTTATTACTACTAATTATTATAATACTTCGATTAATGTTTTAATATTACATATATTTCGCAATCCGATTATATAAAATCACACATGTATTATTCAATCAATTAAAGTTCATGACCTCTTTGCCATTAACATATATTTGAATTGAATCAGAACCGTTACAGGATATGCGAAGGCCTTTACACGAGCGGATTAGATGAGTAACACATGTCTAATTTAAAATTATTATTTAATATTATAACAGTTTTACTTTCATACAATGTCAAGAGGAAGTTAAAGTTCGTTCACACTGTGCAAATATGCGTGAAAGGAAAGCTGATTTAACAGATGGACAAAGAGAATTAGTCTGACATACAAAACGGGTTACAGGTTAATAGACATATACTTAATTTATTTATTTTTTAGTTTGTATATATATTTAGAATATATTTTATTAAAATCAATCGATTTAATGACTCACTATCACTCATTATCTAACTTTTGAAAAATTCTACAATTCTCATTTAATGTTTTAGACAATTAAAATATTTCATAATATTAAACGTCAATGTATTACACTCCAAAAATTTTCAGTTCGTTTTCATTACAATTACACTGTAATTAAAATTTTTAAAATCTGGTGCGTTGCACGCATCACAACTTTCACTTACCACCCAAACGCTATGATTTATATTTCATTGAGGGTATTTTCATTTTTATAAGTACCCTTATATATACAAATTTTAATATTTATTTATTTATTTGTTTTTATTGTTGCATCTACCTCTGCAGGGTCATTGGCAACACTTCTTATTCATACTCTGTTGTTGAGTTTTATAATTTTTAAAAATTGCAAGGTTTTTTCCACGCCATTTTCGTTGTCAGTGAGGCTTTCTTTTAGACTCTGAGCCATATCCAAAATTTTAATTATATTGTTAAATACTGGGCAGTCTTGGATGATATGTTGAACAGTTCTTTGCACCTTACAGATCTTTGCAAGTCGGTGAGTCTAGTCCTCTTAATAAATAGGCATGTGAAAATTCACAATGCCCAATTCTTAATCGGCAGAGGACTGTCTCTTCTTTTCTGGAGAGTCGGTTACTGGTTTTCCATTTGGAACAGTGACTTTTTATTTCTTTTGATTTGGTTTCTTTTGGTTGTCATAAGGTTTCTTTTGGTTGTCCACATTACCCGCATTTGTTTCTTTATATGCTGTATAAAATCTTCTATCGGGATTTCGTTAATTATAACTGTTGGATTTCTTTCTCGCCTTCTTGCTATATAAGCTGCTTTGTTCATTTAAATATTAATATTTATATCGCTGTAATCTATACAATTAAATATGAAATAATACCAACAATAGCATCTATGAAAATGTATATTTACATAATATTGTCGGAGTCTTTATTATATTGAGCTCATGTTACGTATGGAAGCGTTTCTTATCTTTCGGGAGATCTCGGGTGCACTCGTATCCCTTTAGTACCCCAATTACAACTATTCTCCGTTACTATCTCTTATTTATCCTTTAGTAAATTATCAAATTCTTTCATAGTTTATATTTAGCTATCTTTTATATTAGAAATTAGGGTGAAAATGTCAATTGTCTCAAATAAAAAAAAATAATAAAGGTACTTTAGTGGAAGCTAATATTGAAAATTAGGCATTTAAGCGCTGTTAGAGAACATCAATAAGAATAAAAACCACATTTTATTTAAAACTGCTTAATTTTACACTGATATGAATAATTTAATCAAAATCGTTATAGCCGTTATCGAGAAAATCAGAAAAATGTGTTTAGTCCATTATATAAAGTGCCACTTCCGGTTGGCAGATTTTGACAAAACATTAACAGAAAAACCTTAAATATGCAATTTCACTTTTCATTTTTGAGCTAGACTGTACGAAAAGTAAAAATCGTAGCTACATACTGTAAATGAGGGCAATGTCCAGTATTTCTTCATCTTTCTAATTAACTATAATTCAAAATTAATATCTTGATGCTAGACCGAGTTAGATAGGCAAAAATGGAATTATAACGAGTTTTTGAACATTATAAATAATATAGTATTGCACTCCATATCTGTATGGCTTATAGAAGTTATAATATTTTTAAAAAGGTAGGTTATAGATAAGTCGCTATCTAATTTGTCGATTGAAAACAGATAAATTCGTCGGCATTACAGTTCTTGATCGTCACAATACCTAGAGGAGTTAATGTAGTACAACAAACAAAATATATAAGAATTTATTTATCACAAAAAAAAATTTATATAAAGATATCATTGATTCATGTGTGTTATACTATCCAATAAAATTAAATTTAGTCAACATTCATTAATGAGATCAATAAGCTACTCAAATTTAATCAGGTACTTATCATTTAACATTTAACAATGTGTACGAAAAATGTAGGTGCGTACGTGTGTGAGTTATATTATAAATTTAATTAAATTTGAATTATCTCCTCATAACATTTAATATGAATATCACTAAATATTTAAATTAATATGATATTAATTGTAGAATATCATCCCAACCATCCCTATCTCCACATATATTATTACAGTAGGCTCGAAATCGGTTTTGTACCAAATGTAAGCTCCTGTTATGCTCAAATACCACGAATGGGGTACCGTTGGATTCAGAATTTCACGGGGGGTTAGCGAATCGTATTTTCCACTTTTGTTTTTCTGTCTAAAATAAATAAAGTCAAGATTGAGCCACAAATTTCGAAGGCTTCCTTCTCCTTCAGGCGGGCAAAATAGACCAATCACTTCGAAAATTCAGGCAAACAAGTTATGAAAGAAAACAAACATCATTTGCGAATAACTAAAAAAGTGCACATTTTTCTCTGGGTTATGTCCATGATTACATAAAACATTACTAAATTCCCTACAAAAGGTTAAAAAAAAAATCATCGAAATCCGACAATGTTTCAACAAAATTCCCCATTTTTCAAGAATTTGATGATTTGTTTTTATCCAGATCACAAAAAAAGAGGATTTAATGAAAGAATTCTCAAAAAGTACCTGAGTTTTAAGCGTGTTGATATTAATAAGAATAAAGTACTTTTCTCAGTTAAAAACGAAAGACAATATTTATGTTTTTTATATATATTTCTAAATACTAAAAATAATGATTATTAAATCATACTTTTCTTTTTTCATTTTTTTTTTCTTATTTACAGCAACAGACAAAGAACATGGAAGACGAAGTAGTGATTTCTGGTATTGCAGGGCGTTTTCCTGGCTGCGATAATGTAGAAAATTTGAAAGAAATGCTCTTCAATAAAATTAGTGGAGTGACCTCTGACAACCGAAGGTGGGATAAAGGTTAGTGAACTCATTTTGATCCTGGCAATACAACCTTGTAATTATAATTCAGCAAATGGATCTGCATGCATAATTAATGGTCTTGAGTGAAAGTTATTTCGTTATGCATTTAAACAACGTTGCCATATAAGCTCACTAATAGCACCCATCAGTAAAAATAATATATAGATTTTTTTAAATTAATATTTTGTACTGCTCGTTCGGACTCCAAAGTAACAATTATTTCTAAAATCAAATCAAATATGTATACATATTATGTATCATTTCAAATTGCATAGACTGAAACCTCTCCTGGAATCACCATATTGCCCACATCTCCCGACGATCAGTTGGTACCTTGAAACTGTTCCATCTCTTCCGCCACCTCCTATTCATTCCCACACGTAGACTACTAGTATCTTCCCTCACTTTGATTACGGCTGCGTGGTGTACGGCTGCCTCTCGGGACTCGAGGACAGACTGAAAATAATTATGAATGCCTTCGTAAAATTTGTCACCGGGACCCTGAGACGGTCCCGTGTTTTGCACCACTATGCTGAGTTACGGTGGCTATTCCATGGCTTCAGCCGGAAAGCCCTCCTCATCCTGTATCCAACAGTTTGAAATTTCTAGAACTGATCATATTCTTGTTAAAACCACGTCTAGTAACTAAGCAATAGTTGTAAATTTACATGATAAAGTGTTTACAAATAATTACTATTCAGGTTACAAGTGACGAAGTTTTGCGCTTACCTGTCTGGGCTAGCATCCTATGTTGAACAAACCCAATACTAATATTAATTCGTACGCTGAAATTTTCTCACGGCAGACATTTTGTAGTACTTGTCAAAATTTGTTTCTGTTCTTTAGTTGTTTCTTCGGTCCAATAATTCTAAACAAACAGCGTGACAATGGTTGAAGGATTAAATAAGTAGTTGGAAACAGAACAAGGAAAATAGTCCATAGAAGTGTCCCCTTTTTATCGAATCATTAACTTCCGGCTGAAACTTCGTACGAAAATTCTCGGAACTGGGGCGTTTTCAATCTGGAGGTCGGCAAACTTTGTTTATTTAAATAGGTACTAAAAACTCGTAAATACCCATTTGCTTTCCACTTTAATCTTAAGATCTCTTGAGCACAAAGTCGAGAAAAATGGGATGCCTTCAAAAATATTGAGCCGTTTGGCCTACATAACATGGTTGTTTTGAAAATTTGGGGGCGTAGTTCACGCCAAACGGCTCAATACTTTTGAAGGCCACCTTTTTTCTCGAATTTGTACTCAAATTTGAATTTGAACTAAAACGTGTCTTTTATTTACTTATTATTATTATAAGTAGATGTTCTGCGTTATTTAATAAAAATGTTACCACCGTCTTACGAGTGTTCAGTACCTAATTAAATGTGGGCGGGGTGGCCGAATGGGCTAACGCGTTGTGCACAGCACCACCGTTGCCCGGCAACCTGATATATGACAAATGTGTTATAAAAATAGTCACGAGTTCGTGTTCCGGTGCCAAGGCGTCTTTCAAATCCCCGCCCGAGCTCCCTGGCCCGAGAAAACCCCGTACAGCCTTAACGGCGAGGAAGGGGAGGACCAAAAAAAAAATAATACCTAATTAAATAAACAAAGATTGAAAACCATAATTCCAAGAATTTTCGTAAATAAAATATTTGTAGGTTACGATGATATGAAACTATCTACAAAGTTTCAGCCGGATGTTAATAATTTGATATAAAGGGGTCTGTACCACGAACTAAAACGTGTCTTTTATTTACTTATTATTATAAGTAGATGTTCTGCGTTATTTAATAAATATCAAACGTTCCTAGAAGTCATTAATATACCTACACATCTTGTCATCAAATCACACAACAAAAGGCCTTTGTGACTTGCTGTGGTTTAGCAAAACAATAAACTAAAATGGAGAATGATGTTTATTTATTTGAATTCTTTGTTGTTTCAGACGAATTAGGTGTGCCTCATTATCTTGGTAAAATTAATGATCCCTATACCCTGGACTTGACATTTTTCGGCGTTCATTCGAAATTGGGAGAGAGTATGGATCCGCAAACCAAATTGGTAATGGAAGTTGGATTTTCTGCGATTTGTGACGCTGGTAAGTAAAAGATATTTCCTTTAAAAAATAAATGTTACCACCATCTAGTACTAATGAATCACTGAACGTCAAAGGGAGCACACTCCATTTATTTGAGGGTAAATGAGTAATCTAAGTGGAGTAAATTTTAGATAATTTAATAATTGAAAAACAGCTTGGTTCCATGATATGATCATACTAAATTTAGCATAACACTAAGCTATGATAATATGATTCTTGTTCGTAGCATTATTAATTGGAAATAATTTTTTTTTCTATTATAATCTCAATACTAATGAATAATGGTACTAAATTTTAAATGCTCAGTAGTAACATTTATTGAACGAGTTTCATCTGAAAAAAAGAAAGTCTGCCAAGTATTATGGAAAATACGTCTGAGCGTCCATTACGAAAGTACTTCTTTTAATTCTGAAGTAAAAAAACATTTTCCTTACGAATACAAAGCCTCTGCCTTCGTTATTTAGAAAAAAATAGATTTAATCTGCAATAATTTAATATACCTGGGGTTTAAACTTTAAATTCTATTACCGACGTTATTCACTGGTTTCGGCACCAAGTAACTTTTTTATCTTTCCCAAATGCAAGATGGCACTTTGCTGATTTGAACTCAGATGTCATTAAAACGGATAAGATGAGACTGCGGAAGGACCTCAAGACAAAGTATTTCAAGCAAATTAGAAACGAAGATATCCCAAGTTCAACTTTTCACCTTTTATATGAACTTTCCAGGCAATATTTACCTACTAAATGTTAGTACTGTATTTTATGATCCGATCATTTTTTTATAGTTGTAACTACACTATAGTTGTTTGGAGGTGTACAATATTATTATTAAATTGATTATTTTTATTACGGAATATAATAAAAAGCTATTTTATTTTATTTTTAATAATACCTCAGGAGTTAATCCGTCGGATTTGGCTGGTTCAAACACAGCAACGCTGATTGGATCTTCTCTAGCTGAAACAGAATACGAATGTCTAATCACAAAAAAACGGCTAGACCAGACCATTTTATCTCACGCTGTATCAATGCAAGCTCATAGGATTGCATATTATCTAGATTTGAGAGGTAAGTTCTAAAATAAAATACTTTTAATGGATTTATACCTTTTATGGCCCATGCCTTGTGGATTGTGCTGTAGAATTTCTTTTAATATTACGCGTTTGACAGAATAACAGGGTTGAAATTAAAGTATTCATGAATCCATGTAATCTTTGTGATGCAATTCATTATAATAGAAAATCGTGAATGTTCATTTTTATTAAGTAGTAATATTATCCATTAAGATCAACACATATCATTCGTTTCAGTCTAATCTGGGATGCCAATCCCACCTCATGGTTGATGGCGCATAATTCCTATTCCCTCCAATGATATTTTATTGCTCTCCTCTTCTTAAAAATAATCCTGTCGAAAGTAGAGTTTAAAAAATCTTAAATTAAATAAAATTACACTTGCTGCGGTCGGTTCAATGTATCCTATTGTCTTCTTATTTTTGATTCCACATATTTATAACCTCTTCGAAATGTGTGCCCCTCAAAAATGAAAAACGACGTCAAAATATGCCTCCCTTCAAAAATTTAGATGGTGCGACTAGCGTCATGAACCCCTTCTGGGCACCCCTCAGTTTAAATTAATTCCGAAATAAATAAATATTATTTCAAACACTATATTTTAACATTTCTTCCGAGTCTGTCCCTCGTAATTCTCTGATGTTCCCGAAAAAATGACAGTTCCAAGACTTATTAACATGTTCATTCAAATTAGTGCTATTGTTAAGTAGTTTTTCTATAAATTATTGCCATGCCGTACTGTAAATACAGATAAAAACCACTATAAATAATTTCAATTTCTTAGAAAAATGAATTTTTTAACATGATTGTGATTTAATTAATCTGATTTGTGCGCTGTTCAAAGGCCCAAGTTATGTTTGCGATTCATCCTGGAACGGAGGATTGTACGTGCTTCGATACGCGAAGGACCAGATTGCACGAGGCCTCGCGAGTGCAGCTTTGGTGACTTGCACCAATCTTATTTTCATGCCACAAGTATCGTACCACTACCAACGATTAGGCAGATTGAATGATGATGGAAAAACTAAATGTTTTTCGGATGATGGTAAGCTGCTGTCAAAATAAGAGTTGAGTATTTTTTTTATTTTTTTTTTTAACTTATTCATACTACGTTTATCTGTAGCCGATGGTTATACGAGATCGGAAGGATGTGTTGCGTTTTTTTTACAACGAAAAGAACACGCACTCCGCAACTACGGCACAGTCATTGGTGTGAACTCTACGATTTACGCATCAAAAAACAGCCCTCTCTCAGATTGCTGTGAAATACCCGTTGCCAATCATTTAAGAGACTTGTATGAGAAATCCAATATCGATCCTTCAAAAATAAGTTATCTGGAAGCTTCTGGATGCGCCTCCAAGGTAATTACTCATTAGTCTTAGTTTCTTATTATTTTATAAAATAATAGGCACGATTTTTAATTATGTTGTAAATAGATAGTCGATGCGTCAGAACTGAATGGCGTGTCAGAAATATTTTTGGCGGACAGAAAGGAACCTCTGCTTATAGGGTCAATAAAATCCAATGTAGGCCATACCGAAGCTGCTTCAGGATGCTTAGGAGTGCTAAAAACAATAATTGCTTCAGAATGTGGCATGATTCCACCAAATTTATATTATTCTAGTCCTAACAGTTTGGTACCTTCACTAATATCAGGAAAATTAGAGGTAAGGGTCACTATTTCTGCTTTCGTATGAATCTCAATTTTTGCGAGCATAAGGAATACGTTCTTATTCTAAAACAGGTAGTGACCGAGCCAACGCCATTAAAAGGAGATTATTTAGCGGTTAACAACATATCAGCTGCTGGAGATTTTGGACATGTCATAATTAAGAAGAACCCCAAAACGAAGGAAAGACTACCAGAAGTTGGAGTTTTGCCTCCTGATGGAATACCGCGGCTGGTTCTTTTATCTGGACGAGTGGAAAATGGACTTGCTGAGATTATGAAAAAGGTACAATATCTTATATGTTTTTTAATATCTAAATGAAAAATTGAATCATATTACTCGTTTTAGTTTTAATCAGCAAATCCTGTCCAATTACACATCACAAGACTTGCGAAATGGTGTCAAAATTGGAGGATTAAAATAAATTCCAATAAATCCCATCAAATTTCCTTTAAGCTTCGTTGTAAACCTGTGACTTCCTGTCCTACAGTATCCTTTAACAATACCCCTCTTATCTCAGTTCAACGAACCCGATACCTAGGGCTCCACCTGGACAAACGACTCACTTGGAACCCTCATACCATACTGAAACGACTAGATACCTCTCGACGTTTTCGACTACTGAAGCACTTACTAGACATACGCTCTAAACTTCCAACTATTTACAAAAAACTCATATGTATTACTATAATTAGGCCTATTTGGACTTACAGGATCGAGCTTTGGAGCTCTACTAATCCAACGAATTCCTCTCGTATCCCATCCTTAAAATCAAAAATCCTTTGTAAAATCCTCAATGCTCCCTACTTTGTCACAAATAAAATCATCCAAGCTTAATGTACCATATTTTTCCGATTTACTTCTATCCTTCCATAATAGACTTCTGAACCATCCTAACCCTCTTGTATCCAACCTTGCTTCCTCTTCTATTCCTGATAACACTCCGAGGCGTCTGAAAAGAAGATGGCCTCGGAACCTTCTAATATAGAAACATAATTGGAGTGTTGCCAATGGGTAGTTTCTCTTCATGTTGCACATGCCATGTTGTTTGTTTCATATTTACTTTTGTATTTATCATTTAATACAGTTGTAAATTTCAATAATAAAAAAGAATCAATTATTATTCTTTAAGCAGAAACATGTTTCAATCCAACTATTAGACACATTTTATAAATATTTAAGAGCTTTAAAACTTTTAAAAATATTGTCTAATAGATAATATAGACTTTAATTAACTTAATGCCTCCATGAACAGGTGGAAGAGATGCCCATCGATGAGGAATTTGTTGCACTGACCCATAAAGTTTTTGGAAAAGGAATAAAGAATCATATTTTCAGGGGATTCACTATTCTGGATGACGATTCATCTAAAAAATACAAGATGATTCAGGTATCGAAATATATTACAAATATTTTTCAACATAATTAAGTCGTTGAGCGATAACTATATGATTTATAAACAAAAGTTAAAAAAAAAAGTTTAGTTGGTATTATACTGTATTTTAATTTTAAGTTCAAAGTGATCAATTGGAAGTAATGAGCAAAATGATCACGAGAGGAGTCTGTATCTTAAAATTGAGTTATTGTTTACTTAAAATCCAATAAAGCGAAGGCATGTTAACGATTTAATCTAAGAGCCGAATCGAAATTTTGTGACTCATTGAGGTGAAAATTTCTTCAGGCGCATTTAGCACTTTTTTGTGGAGAGTGATTTATATTGAGCCGTCAGATTCCGATGTGTAACGCTCGGGTGAAGTCGGCTGTATAAATTAGTATTTTTGCATAGGGATTAAAATATCTCAAAAACTAAAAATCGGACCTACATATTGCAAGCAAGAGAAATGTTAAGCGTTTCATCTTCTTTGTAATGCGCTATTATTTAAAGTTGTACCTTAATGCGACGCCGTGTCAGAGAGGCGAAAAGGAAAAAATAGTGTCGGAAATCAAATAACGAATTTAACTGAAGATATGGATTAAAATATTTCAGAAAGTAAAAATCGAACTTGCATACTGTAAGAGAGAGAATTGTTCAACATTTCATCCTTTTTGTAACGGACTATTATTTATGATTTATATTTCACATTATTAATCTCGCCTTGTTGATATTTTCACTTCTATCGAGTTGTCTAAAGTAGTGTTGCCCAAAATCGGTCTTGGTATTGCACCTTGCCAGACTGTTACAAGACCAAAACCAAGACTGGTAAAAAAAATCATTCTTGTGAATATAAATGGAGGCAAAATAATTATTAATCATTAACAATTTTAGTTACTATATGTAAAGAATTGGTTTAAGTGATATATTTTTGCGTTTAAATCTCCCAATTTTTCATTTGGGCTTAGTTAGGTTTCCGCTGTATGAAAAATTTCAGTAATATCTCTATAGTAATAGCTTAATAGGTAACTGCAAGACTGTTGCGATATTCTTGCACAAGACCAAGAACAAGATGGAGTATGCAACACCAAGACTCGTCTTGGTCTTGCATTTGGGCAAAACTAGTCTAAATTAGTTTTGTTTGTCTTGTACACACTTTGTACTAGAAATGTGTCGCGATTTTTTTTTTAGTTCAACGCGGAAAAAAATTTAAGCTCGAAAAAAGTGTCGCTTAATAAAATAAAAGAGTTTTATTGAAGGTATGGACTAAAATATCTCAGACACAAAAAATCTGACCTGCATACTGAAAGCGAAAGAAATTTCCAGCACTTCGTTCCCTTTATAATGAGCTATTATTTATAATTTATATTTCATAATATTAATCTTGCATTCCCTCTGCTATTCAGTATATGATTCATAACTCCTCAGGATTTTCTCCTAATTCAATGTATTTATGATCGTCGAAAAGTCGAGTTATTACTCTTCAACACCACATCAATAACTTTTAGATTTGACTCGTTTTAAAACAATAAATATCGCGAAAATTCCTCAAAGGTTTTTGTTTTATATATCTAGTTCTATTATATTTACAAGGAGTTCTAACTTAATGTACATTTTCGTGAGGATACGTGGAGTCATTTTTATGTCACCCCACTTTTTGTGATTTTCAAAAGAAGATCGAAGGGGGGGAGCTTCGTTCCAATTTGGAGCAAAAAAAAATTTATTTCTATGAAAATTCGTATTTGAGGCTTTATAGAGGTGCAAAGTACAAATCTCAACTCTTACTTTGAGGGCGGGGTGGCCGAATGGGCTAAAGCGTGTGCACTGCATTGCCGTTGCCCGGCAACCGGATATATGTTTCTATGATATTGCTATGTTCCTGGCCTCGCGTTTCTACGGCGAGTAAGGGGTTCCAGGAACCGCATTTATTTGTATTTATATGTATTTATATCGGTCCCAGAAGGGAACCGATCAACTTAAAATATATTAATGATGTATTTAAATGTTAGATACCACAGACCCCCTACTGTAGTATCCTAGATTGAACCATATACTCTTTATTGGATTTCCTTTCTAAAGGTATCATGTTTATAAATGTACTATTTGTTTCTATTACTAATTGGTGGCATGCAAGGTAGAATGTAAAAGTACTAAGATGTTTTACTAACTATTATATTTACAAGCTTAAATGAAACCAAAAACATCTTTATACAAAATAATAACTAAACCTATATACATAATGAATATTTGAGAATCATACTAGAGGAGAATGCTTGATTAGAGTTACTTATGTTCTATTGATTTTATTAATTAATGATTGATGGTTGCCAACACAAAATTACATTAGTATACTTAAATGCTTGTTACCACTTAGCTGGTCGTTCATAGTGTTTCTAGGTGTTTCTAGCCGTCATATCTGGATTCTCTGTCTCTGCTCTCTCCGCTTCTCCTGCAGCGTCTAGTCCGTCCATCAGCTCTCTCCGGCTGTCTTCGTCTTCCTCTCTCCGAGTCCCAAGAAGAAGTGTCCCGTCCAAATTCTCTATTTCCCACCTTCCTTCATCCCCCTCTCTTTTGGTAGTCTTTTTCCTGATTGGTTGAATATTCTCAACCTAAGGGATGACCACGCCCTCTCCCCCAGGCCAAGGTAAAGCAGCAGGTACAGACTTAGGTATTTCTGGTGGAAGGTGTGAAAAGGTCTTTTGGGATCCTTTTTAAACACTTAGTTGTCGGTCTTTGTCGGTGGTCCTTAAGGATTTTTATTACCACTTACAAAAGGTTGTCCTAATGGGTTACCCTCAGTCAGGTACCGCCAGATGTGAACCCTTATGATGTTTATTTATACATTTAAAATAATTATTCCACCGGCGGTCTTTACAATACATAGCAATATATAGTCACGAGTTCGCGTCCCGGTCCCAGAGGGGATTTTTAATTCCCCGCCCTCATCCTCTGGTCCGGGAAAATCCCGTATAGCCTAGAAGGCGAGGTAGGGAAGAACAGGAAAAAAAACAAACAAAAAAAAAATCTCAACTCTGTTTTCCCTTAAAAAAAAATATTTCAATCCACTTTCCTCCTTCGGTCAGTACAATTTTTTTCAACGTCGTACTGATACTATAGCTATATGTCAAATATATAGTTATTTTCAAATAAAATGGGCTATAATAGAACTTCCCTAATGAATATTAATCGAAAATAGGAAAAAAAAAAAAAATTAAAAAAAAATATTGGAAAAATTTCCAATCGATTTCGATGATTTTTTTTTCCTTTTGTAGGGAACTTAGTAATCTTTAATATAATCATGGGCATAACCAAGGGAAAAGTTTCTAATTTTTTAGTTATTCGCAAAAAAAGTTTGTTTCCTTTCATAACTTGTTTGCCTGAATTTTCGGGGTGATTGGACTATTTTGCCCGCCTGAAGGAGAAGGAAGCCTTCGAAATTGGTGGCTCAATCTTGAGATTTGGTGAAGAATTAACGATGATATGGCTTGCCGATCAAAAACACCATTGATAAATAATATAAACTCCTCTCTCGATCATAGAGACCTGAAGTCGACGAAATGAGACATCTATTCAATGACAGTACTACAATTAATGTAAGGTTGTGTGGATGAGAACCCTATGCGTTGGGTTATCTCGAAAATAGTACGTTTTTGGGCTTAAAAACGCAGGATGCGATAGTTCCGGAGAGACTATACGGGTATTGCTGTACGCATCAAAATCTTCAAGATCGAATTTGTCCCATATCGATCTACAGACCTACCACCGTTCCAGTATTGAAGCCTAGCAAAATGTTTGTATCGACTATATTTATTTCAGAAAGAAAAACAAAAGTGGAGAACACAATTCACTAACCCCCGTGAAATTCTGAATACAACGGTACCGCATCCATGGTATTTAAGCATGACAGGAGCTTATGTTTGGTACAAAACCGATTTCGAGGAGGATGGGGATATAAATCCTCAGCACTCAATTTGCCCTAATCCACTAGCGGATCCAGGATTTAATTTTGGAGAGAGAGCCTTCAGTCCGAAAGCTAATATTTATGACTATAATTACTTAGAAAGAAATAGAAATTAACTAACTATCTATATGAAATAGCGTTTAAGTGATTCTTGAAGTCCTATTGAAAATGTAATTACACAAACATGTTTAGAATATTTATTCATTAGTGTTATGTGGTTACATGTAGATGGTATATAAGTATTATAATTTTTAAAAAAGGAAAATATTGTGTAAGTATTTAGCTTAGATCACTCATATTACCAAATATTGGCCAATGGAGGACAAATAATTTATGTATTATTAATTTTGAGTGGACGGAGAGAGGATGGAGAGAGGGGGAGGGGCTTCAGCCCGAAACACTCCCGCTGATCTGCCTGTACACTAGCCTACCAATTTCGGAATGGTGACAATTGAAAGGAGGCACAGAATATGTAAAATTTCAATTATTTGAAGTTGATTTTTTTTTTCAAGACAGCATAAAATTACACAATCCCCAAATACCCAAAAACGTGGGCTACCGAAGTTGCGAAGGGGCGTCGCAACGACAGGCAAAATCCAAATATCAAGGAAATAGTTATTCCTAAGATATATATTATAAACTACTTAGAATTGCGTTCTAAGAGAAATTATCATTTTATAATCAACATGATTTTTCTTAACTCGAAAAATCAGCATTTCCTGATTTTATTTCGGCAAATATCATAAAAGATGCTTTTTCTATAGGTAATTAATAACAATTAACTTCGTTTCAACAGTCCCTATGATATTTGCCGAAATAAAAATAAATAAGAATACATTTTTTCTATAATATAAATTTCTGATATTTGATAGCAACGAATAATTGAGATTATTTATTTTATGTGTGTGTAAGAAAGTACAAATTAAAAAACGTTTTCGTTTTTACAGCCTTACCATGGAGGCGAAAAGAGACCACTCTGGTTCGTATTTACTGGAATGGGATCGCAATGGGCTGGTATGGCAGGCACTTTAATGAAATTGCCAAGTTTTGCAAAATCCGTCCAGTTTTGTCACAACGAGCTCAAGCATTTGGGAATCGACGTCATCGAAATTGTCACTAGTACTGATCAATCAATGTTCGACAATGTATTAAATGCATTTGTTGGAATAACTACGATGCAAGTAGGCTAAGATATTTAAAAACTTTTAATGGGCAAATGAATAATTAACTATTAACAACTTTACAGCCATTGTTCCCTTACAGGTTGCATTGATTGATCTAATTAAAGAGTTAGGACTAGAGCCCGACGGGATCGTGGGGCATTCCTTCGGCGAGCTGGCTTGTGCGTACTGCGATGGCTCGGTGACCGCACAGCAGGCCATCTTAGCCGCCTACAACCGCGGGAAGATATCCATCGAGGCTAAGGTTGATCCTGGGCTGATGGCAGCTGTTGGTAAGAACTGATTCTTTAATCAAACTAATTTAACTACTGTTGATTGTGACTAGTGGACTCAGGAAGTTGCAAAAATTATGTAAAATAGTGGAAAATAAGTTATCTAAAAAATAAATAAAACCAAGATCTCTGTATTTTTGGCAATGTGGAACAATATTAGTTCTCATACAACATTGGTATCCCACAATATTGAATTTTAGGAAGGATCCGTTAATAGTGGATCTTAAGGCTCAGACACAGCCAACGCGATCTGTCCTGGCGATCTGCCATCCCTTTGTATCGTGCTTTATTTGACTGTTGTAGTAGAATGTATAGTGAAACAACAAGATGACTACACAGTGATACAATTTTAGCGAGATAGATCATGTTTTGTTGGCACGATCCTTAAGGCTCGTAAACAGAACGGGCTAACGCGTGTGCACAGCACCATCATTGCCCGGCAACTTGATACTGGATAAAAACTGTTAACTGGATAAAAATAGTCACGAGTTCTCGTCCCGGTGCCGGGGGAGTCTTTTAACTCTGCCATTAATCTCCAACCTCACCCCCTGGCCGGGAAAGCCTGTATAGCCTTATAGGCGAGGAAGGGGAGGATCCTCTCCCCCAAAAAAGTGATTAATTTTCCAAAATTTACAAAACAATTATTATAGGGACAAAACGTACAACTAGCAAATAAATACAAACAATAATCTTTGGGGTCCACATAGAAGCCCACAGTCTTCTACGGCGATAAAAAAAAAAAAACATTTATGTTGGGGACCCATTGGTGGGGCTCCAACAATTTGAGAAATTTAACGAATACAAAACATTTTTTTAGGGCCCAAATATACTACGTAACTAGATAAATACCCTAATCATTCTAAGGTGTTAATAAAGTATAAAACATTTATATTGGAGAGTCAATCGGAATCGCCCGTAAAACAATTATTTTGGGGACCAAACATACAACGGTACTTGAGAAGTACAATACTATGATCTTTGGGACCCTCAATTATTCTACAGTGGTAAAAAAGTACAAAACATGAGGGCTATTAATCTTAATTAATGTTGGAGGCTCTTCGGGAAGCCCCAAAAATTTGCGTAGAGAAGCGAATACAAAATAATTATTTTTTGGGTACTAGAACAATGCTCCCTGACTCGGGGGCTTCGGCGATCGCCGACCAGACCATCTGTCAAGTTTATAGGTAAGTTAAAGTTAGGATATGGTAAAAAATATAATAAACGAAATCATAGGTAAAAACGATACCATTTTCTTACTTTATTCCCTCAAACTTCATGGGATTGAATAACATAATATTAAGAAAGAACTTATTTGTTTATTTAGTAATAAATGATGTGTTCATTATTTAATATGAGATTTTTAATTAATCTTAGCAGTTCTCTTATTAGAGCCTAATTGGCTATCTGATTAGACATATAACATCTATCATGGTTGGTAAAGTCAAAACTGAGTGATTCACAACTACTGCATTCTATTCACTTAGAAAAATACTGAGTAATTATTAAAGGTGAGAACTCATTTAATAATAAGTATAATACCTTACGTCCTTGATGTTAATGGTTCTTTTGTAGATTTCTCTTTAAGTCCGATTGCTATTTCAGTGTTAAATCTAGAAAATGTTCAGGTCTGCCTTAAAAAAACTCAGTTGTTGATATTGCAGACTTCATTTTAAGAATCCCTTAGTAATAGAAATATCACATTACTAATGCAAATTATACTACTTTTACTCACTTTCAGGTTTAGGATATGAAAAGTTAAAGAAATTTGGTTTACCTGAAACCATTGATATAGCATGCCACAACTCTCAAGACAGTTCTACTATTTCTGGTCCTCTGGAAGATGTAAAACAGTTTGTTAAAGAGCTCCAAGACAAAGGGATATTTGCGAGAGGTGTAGCAACAGGTGGAATAGCGTATCATAGCAGATACATACAAGCACTGGGACAACAGTTTAGAGATGAGTTGAAAAAGGTGAACCTCATATTATATATGTTGAGTCAAAATTCAAAATAATTATATTCAATGTTTCATGAATAACTGAGATACTTGTTTCATTATTATGTTGAGACAAAAAGCTTTTGGTACCAGTTTATTTTAAAAATACTGAATATTTTGAGTAGTATTACAACAAATAAAATTGTTATGTTTTTTAGTATTTAATATCATTGTTTTAATATCTCAAGTAACTTTACATTAAAAATAATGAATATGTAAATTAAAATCTTTAATGCAGCTATCACGATTTTTTTTTTTTTTTACTAGCTTCGTTTCTTTTTTTCAGATAATCCCAATTCCTCAACTTCGTTCTTCAAAATGGGTTTCTAGTTCAGTACCCGAGGATGAATGGGAGAGTGATCTTGGACAGTATAGTTCAGCTGAATACCATACCAATAATCTTCTGAACAGTGTACTTTTTGAAGAAGCATGCGCTCACATTCCTAAAAATGCTGTTGTTATTGAAATAGCACCCCACGGTTTGTTACAAGCTATCTTGAAAAGAATGCTACCGCAAGCAACACATATTCCACTTACAAATAAAGCTGAATCTGACAGCCTAAAATTTTTTCTGGCTGCTCTTGGAAAGTGAGCATTATCAATATTAAAATATTATTATATTATCATTTATAACTCGTGATTTTACTTGACTTATGTTACGGCAAATACCAAAACATGCTGCAAAAAGTTTTCATTCACTGATCAGTTAATTTACTTCATTACAAAAATATTATCTATTTATGAGGACAATAACTAACAACTATAACAATGAGGCATATTATTGATTTAAAAAATCTGTTTAAGCTTTTTTTTAAGCTCTTTACTTTAAGAATGCAAAGGTAAAAAGTGAAGAATCCCATTTCTGTTCTCAGAATCAAAAGTTTTTCTTTAAAATTTACAAAGCTACAAACTATAACATATGATAATTGGAATAGAATTATCTTAAAATCCAAATTTAATCATTTTGGAATCATCAAATTATCCTACCATCCATTTCTTCCTAGCAAGAATGATGGGATCAGAGGTGCACATACTGGCCAAAGCAGGGAGGAAGGGGAGAGGAGGAGGAGGAAGGCTTTTCCAAGACTACTTCACTATTACTACTTCATGTATAGCTAACTTTCTTCGCTCCCAAAATTATTCTCATTTAAAATAATAAATAATTTAATTATTTGAGTGAAGAGAAATTTGTAGAGAACTTAAATCGCCTCAGCATTATTTACATCTACAGATCTGATTGATGTTCATGTCAGTAAATTTGGCATAACATGCAAGAGGACTTAATTTAAAATCAGACAATAATTTTGAAAATAATCACATAATTCATGTTCTGTATGTCAGGATTGATTAATTTTATAACATATGAATGAATCTGAGATGTTCTAATATATTTCAGGATGTTCACTGAAGGAGTGCACGTTGATATCCAAAAGCTATATCCACCTATTGAATTTCCTGTTTCTCGAGGAACACCTCCTTTGGCTAGCCTTCTTAACTGGAATAATGCAGGAACCTTTAGGACTTGGACATTTCTTCAAAGAAGAAAAAACGTGAGAGAAATTATTCGCAAATATAGTTAGAATATATGTAAGATATATAAGGCTATAATCATAATTTTTAAACAAAAATGCTATGGTTTTTATGTTTCAGGTTAAAATTAGTAGGGGAATCACTTTTTCCAATAACAACAGTAAGCATGAAAAATTCACAAAATGTATTCTCAATGGTACTCCAATTATATTAAGTGCTGCATATTTAGTAAGTTAAAATTTTAGTTTTTTTTTTTGTTTTTTTTTTTAGACAATCTTGAAGAATTATCAATAGGCATCTAAATTGAGTAGCATCTGTTATTTATTTCAATTGTGGATAAAACCTTTATAACATAATATATTATGCAATCTAATCCTTATGAAAAGTTTAGACTGGTAATTTTTTAGGAAGGAAATTAAAGAAACAGTTTATTTGCAAGCAAAAGTGTAAATATAGGCATAATGAACACTTAAAACACTCTTAGTAATCTTCTCACTACTTAAAAACTAACAGTTTTGGCTTATCAGTGTTACTACCGTTAGTGATAACATCAGTGTCTTGTATTTTAATTACGAGATCAACTTGGTAGCTGCAACACCTTCCCCCAAACATGAGACTCCAATGGACTGCAGGACTCTTTGTAAGCATATCTTCTCACTACTTGCAAGAGCTTCTGGTACAGTAAGATCACACGAGCTCCACTCGGACATCGCTCCAATAGTACTGATTTCATATTACAATGATTGTTAAATGTGGCCAAGAGTATGAAAGCATCATCTTAGCAAGCTTTGAATTCGGCCTGAGAGGTTTGAAGTATTTCATGGCAGAACCATGGAATGATCTCGACCTTTCCACTCTGGCTAGAGTTGATTGGTAACTTATGGAATAACAGTCCCATAAGCCAGGAAAAGGGGAAAAGTCTGCTCTCACTAGTTTACAGCCCTGTCAGTCTTCTTTAAGTTACTATTTATAAAACAATTATCTTCCATTAGCTACAGGATAAATAAAACCGTGTTAGAGTGATAATATTTCTTTGTACTTAAGCAGATTATCTCTGGCACTTTCACCATCTCTACCTTTAACATCACTTTTGGATCGATTATAATCAGAATATGCATCCTCATTGATGTCACATTTACCTGTTCTTTTAGCTGTGATACCATGTTTCTTCTACAATTTTTTGTGGACAAGCACTATCCTCTTATCTTGTAACAGACATTATCTGTACCAATACAGAATCTTGTTCCACAGATGGTCCAATAAGGACTCTACATGTTTATAATTTATTTTTTCATTTTCTAAAATTTAGTGGCTTAGGATAATTTCAGAGCAATGTAGAGAAACCAAAGGTATCAGGGATAATTTTCCTATGCCTTTTCCCAAATATTAAATATCCCAATAAAACCTATTCAACGCCTTTTGCAAAGTATGAAACAAAAATATTAAATAAAGATATTACTTAATAAAGTATGCAGTCTATAGTTTACTATGCTATGTTGCCTTTACTTCATTTTGATTTAAATTTAGAAGTTAAAAAATAAAAATTTGTAGGCTTTCTCCCTCTTGTCAAAATCTTTGATATATCATCATGCAATTGTTCAAGCAATGGTAATTTATGCCAAGATTACTTTTGGATTAAAAAAAACAAAGGGATTGTTGTTCATAAGTTGTAGTCTTATTGATTTATTATTGATTGGATTGAATAAAAAATATATTTGGCATTTCAGAGCACTGTTCTAGAGGAATATTTAAAATTTAAAGATGAAGAACCTACTAAAATAATATTTCAAGGAATACATTTTGAGAATCTTGTCAAATATCAAGGTGAGTTCAAGCAATAGTAATGATTAGATGTGATTTCTAGGCATATAATTATGTTTGTGAATGTCTTAAAATGTATTTCATTTACTGCATCTTGTTGATATGTCCTTTTAGCCAGTTGATGATATGTAAATTGGTGAATATTAAGTGCCTAGTTGTTTTATGATATTTTAGAGCTTTACTTCTTCCTAACAATTAATCTTTTTTGATTTTTCTTTATTATATATAAAATTTATTGCAGTGGAAAATCAATGTTTAAAGTTTTTTGAGTAAACATTTGACTACTTCTTCATTAAAACTCACTGAAGAGGGTTGACCTAGTACTTACCCAGCCACAGGGGAATAGCTGAGGGATCTGTGAGGCCTAGGCTGAGATCTTGAGGATGCTATAAACCCAAGACCATCTAGCACGAGAACAAACCTAAGGAAACAAACTCTTAAAAATATCACCAAAGTCGGAGATTATGGATCAAAAGGTGCAAAAAAGTCTCTAAACATCTTTTATGATGGTTTGAAAATAATACCCAAATATTATGACTCAGTGACAGACTGAATGGGGAGAATGGAGTAGAAGAACTCACTGAAGAACATTCTTAATACTAACATATCATATTATAACTTGAGTAGGCTATTTTGAGTTAATTTTATTCTATTTTAGATGAGTAGGTGGAGTGGGGTAGCTCAGTGGTAGAGTACTGATGTTCCAATGCTAAAGGTCACAGGTTTGAATCCCCGCTTATGGCAGAAATATTATTTATTCTGTTTCATTGGCCGTGGTGCAACCCTGGATAGATAGACCCTCTTGGGGCACACCCAGCCTCTATTAAGTGAGCACCCTTAATTAAAATAATTAATTAAGGGGAAAAACCTGACGGTTGAGCGTGACCTTGGTCAAAATCACCTTGGTCAAGACCCTTCATGGGTTGTAGTGGTAAAGGTATTTTTTTTTTTTTTTTTTTAATGAGTAGAGGAGAACCTATTAAAGGAAGTTAGTCGTCTGTTCTACATATCTTGGAGTTTTAAATAGTCAGGATGCGAGGACTAGAGGAGAATCTGTTTTTAAAGTTTTTCATAAAAAATTAGGCAAAAAAAAAAAATAAGATATGACCAGAGAATCTGTTTTTTTTTTTTTTTTGTTTTAGTTTTGAGTGTACCTTTGATCAGCAATGAATGAGAACATAAAATTAATACATGATATTATTGTAACTGCAAGATTTTATAGTTTATAGTGTTTTAATAAATTTTATGTTGAATCTATCAACCCATTTGTACAATTATACATAATAATCTGCAAACTATTATTGTTGCTAATCACCAAGAGTAGAAAATTCCGAAGTATGTAATCTTGGGCTGATATACTATTTAGACTATCAGTTTTTTAGACCTAACTCATTTAGAGACAGTTTGTGTTGACCAAACATGTCTAGTAAAAAAAAACTAATATTGTTGTATTAGTTATTAAAAATTCACACTGCATATTTAAAAAAAATAAATAAAAATAATATTGTTGTATTAGTTATTAAAAATTCACACTGCATATTTTTCAACAAAAAATAATATCTTGATATTTTTAACAGTATCAATCAACATCGACTGGTACAATAATGTGGAAAGATTATACTATTTGATACAAATTAAAATCATTCAAGTACTCATTAATTTCTTTGTTTTCACCTTTTTTTTATATATATATATTTTATAGGTGATACAGATGTTTTTATGACATTCCAAAGGGGATCTGGAGAATGGGAAATATGTAAAGAAAATAATCTTGTAGCAGCTGGGAAAATCGAAACTTTTCTTCAAGGATATAACACAGAACCACTTTGTACCCTTGAAAAAAAAACACAATGTATTCCAGCTCATCAAATTTACTCTTATCTGTCTGCATTAGGACATGCAGTTCATCCCGAACTTCAGTTAATTAATATTGTTTACTTGTCTGGAAATGGTAGTGTATCCAGAAATAATTTATTATTATTATATTACTACAATTGTTAGTTAAAAATAAATAATTATTTATTCTTGTGTAGAAGTTGAAGCTGAAATTAAATGGACTGGTGATTGGTTATCTTTCTTTGACGCTATTTTTAAAATTGTTGAGTACTTTAAATCTATTGAAAATAATGAACTAGAATTAATATCACATATTGAGAGAATCGCCATTGACCTCTCATCATTTCCTTCTGAGGATGAAAAAGGTAAAATGATCCTTTATCCATTATTGTTAGATTATAACTATATTTGTATTGACACTGCTTGGTTGTTTAGTTTTTTCATTGATGTACAATAAGAAAATGAGTTTGATTTGGGGTCAAGGCATAGAGATTCTTTTGCCATGTACTCGTCATCCAAACACGCCACTTCAAAGTCTATCTACAGTTCAAAAGACAACTGATTTTTTGTTGCCAAAATTCATACCATATCTCGAAGTTAATAACAAAACTGTGGTGAGTAAATATTAATTAACCATTTAGAAACTCAGTCATTATTATTTCATTTTTTTCCTACCAACAAATATCTATGAAAACAAATTTCACAATTACATTCTTTTGTTTTGTTGTTGATAACAGGATGATTTCTTTGAAACTTGTTTGTTGATTGTTTTGGATAATTTGATCAGAAAAAATAATGAAATATATCCAAAACTTCATATAATAAAAATTTTGGAAAACATTTCTACACCAGATGTTGTAATTGATATTTTAAGGAAGCAGAATGATATAGAGGTAAAATGTTTATGAGGTAAAACTAATGTTTATCGCTCTGATGTATTTCTTTTTTTGTTAAATTGGCCCTTATTATATTTTAAATGTAGGTAAAGATGTCAACTGTTGCCAGTGACACTATGCTGCTGAATACAGATTTAAGAGAAAACACAGACAGTTTCAGTTTGATCATTAGTGGGAGCAATGTTGTTGAAAATACCTTAAAAGTTCTTAACAATTCTGAAGGCGGTTTCCTGATCTATAAAGGGGCTCAACCTCCCAATAGCTTAGCGATTATAATCAAGCAGAATATTAAAAATGAGAACTATTTTTTTTGTAAAACGGTAAGTACAGATTATTAGTTTATTTAAATTCTAATTAGCATTTTTGTCACATATTACATGTAGTTCTTCTGACACCATTTCAACTGTAACTTAATTTCTTTGCAATCAAGTAAATTTTCAACCAAATAAAGGCTTCTATTACAAAAATAAATAATTAAAAACCTGTACCTCTTGGTAACCTTGGTCAAATCTGTATCCCAATCATAGGTGCAGACTTTCCATTCTGGTTGAGGGGATGATGGACCCACAAAAAATAAGTCTCGGGAATTTATATTGTTTATAAAAATTATGAATGATAATTGAAATAATTGTTCTAAAACGAGCAATTTAATATCGTATACAAAAATTAATATATATCTGTTAAATATTAGTTTCTTATTTAATTCATTTTTTTTAATGATTATATTTGAAAATTTGTTGATAAAGTATTTATTATAATACATATTTTCATGTTTATTTAAAAATTTGAGGGAATGTGTTGAACTCTGATGCTACGATGCTTGAAACTTGCCGCTGGAAATGTAATAAAATCTTGAATGTGAAAATGGAAGGGTGCATATGAATGAATCATAAAATCTTTGGAAATGTTGTTATATACAATTATCATTCCATATAAACTAAAATTTCAATAATAGGAACATAGATCGTGGTAAAATACTTTCACATCTAGGCCTTAGCTGACAGCTTACATCTAGTCGACTTTTCCTATTTGATTTTAGTTTACATATTTTATTCTTATTCTTTGAAATATTGGGAGGAGCAAAACAATATTCTCGCTCCCTCTCTATTTTTATAGATCACCCACCTGAAGTTTGCGCCTATGATCCCAATTTGTAAATATATATATGATACCAACTTTAGAGCCAAGCACTCAGGAGCATTAATCCAGAGTTACACCTACCACTTGTTAAGAATTGTAAAAAATTACAAAGTGTCTGAGTTAAATTAATTTTGAATAAAGCATCTGTATTAGAGGAATACTAAATGAAATACAATTCAAATATAAAGTAATATGTAATATTCGTCAGAGTTGTCTTATTTTTCTCCTAAATTATATTTTTATTTTTGGGGAGAGGAAGAGTTGAACACTCATGATTTAATTGCCTTGGAGTAACAATGCCTAAGACCCTCAGTAATCATTTACTTATATTTTACCCTTAATGAAGCCATTATATTGACAATGCAGTACAAAAAAAATAATTAAAGATTACTAATCTCTTTTTAAACCCCTCCACAGAATTATTTTATTGCAGGGCAAAAAGAGATTTATTAGTGTCTTATCTGTTTTAATGACAATACTGTATTTTAGGTATTTATTGATAATTGAATTATGTTTTCATATTGACTTTACAGGTAAAGAAACAAGATGAAGAACCATTTTTCATCATACATGATAATAATTGGAAATCAAAATTAATCTGTCATTTAAACCAAGAAAAACAGAGATTATATTACTTTGTTAATAAATACACTACCCTGGCAGCTATTCATGATCTAATAGAGCAAACTACCTCCATTAAAAACTCTCATCTCTTAAGGTAAAATATTTTTTTTTTCACAAGCATACTCATGCATATACGTAAACACAAAATTTTTGGGATCCTTAAAAGCCTAAGATTTGATGAATTTAATAGATTTTGTTTGTTGTAGCCAAACAAACAATTTTCAGATAAAAAATGTTACTAAACATTAATAGTCATTAGTAAATAAAAATAAATTTAACTTCTAAATATAAATTTTGTATGAAACTGATTTATTGATGAACATTATTCAATCATTGCTTATTGTGTCACTAAATGTACTAACAAATGGAAAATAATATCTATATGTTATAATTGGATTCAATTATAATGCACATTGGGATCTTTCCAACTATAATTCATATATTTCATATTTACAGGTTTTTTTTTACTGATTCAGATATATCTTCATTTAAATTAGAAAAATATAAAGATTATTTAGGAAAAGATTTACGTGTTAACATATTTCTCAAAGGAAAATGGGGAACTTCTGTTCTAACACCAGTTAAATTGAGAATGTCTCCAGAAATTGGAACTAAGAATGTATTCCAATTCCTTCACGTTAAGTAAGTTATGTGAAATCTTATTTAATAAAATGATTAATTCTATTACCTATATTTTACATTTAAGTAAAATGTCTGAATGAAATAAGCCATTTTATAATATAAAGAATTTTTTTTTTTTAACTCCCTACCTGGCATTGCTGCCACATGGGGTTTTGGCAGCATTGGGTTAATACGTTGGGGTTCTTGTATACCCACTGCTGCCAATAAACACTTTATTAATCATTATTATTTATTTATTTTACTATAATTTTGGGTAGTTTAATTTTAGAAACAATAAACGATGGGTTAACTGTGGTGCGGCCCGGTACATGGTTGTGCAGTTTAGAGATAGGGCTGCACCTTATCCTCACCGCATCCGTCCGGTCCTTCGTCAAGGTGCTTCCTCTTCTTCCACCTCTTCAGGTGGTCTTCTTGCCGCTCCCAGGGAGAAATGAGCAAGACTCGTCACATCCCTTCACCCATACACAAACTCCCGAAGAAACGGGTAGTTTTCCTTCTCGACTGGGCGGGGAAAATCCTCTTCTGTTAGGGTATACCTGCCTATCCTTCTCATCAATTTCGCACGGTATCCCTCTGTCGTGGTGCAGGATACCAATATATGTTCTGCTGTGTCAAGAACTTCGCAGGAAGGGCACCGGTGGTCAATATCCTTTCCATGAGCCGGCAGTTTTCCCCGGAACCCTCCATGCCCTGTGAGACTCAGTAATCAGGGAGGACCCATGCCACATTTAATCTTGCCTGGATGGTGGGGAAGAGCTTCCTTAGCATTAGCCGAACTAGATTAGCTTGCCTTTTAACTGTTCAACATTAATTTACTAAATAATTTTTACCAACTTCCAATAAAGGTGTACATTACAATATATTGTATAATAATCTCAAAAATTTCATTTTATATCAATATTTTTCAATGGTGGCAATATCCATATTTTTTATTTAATATTATACTAATATCAATACCAAAAAGACTGATATCAGTATTGATAAGGAATATCGGGACCCGATATCGCAAAACAAACTTATGTTTAATAAGAGGATCTTAGTTAACTCTCTTTGCATACATTAATGTTAAAATGGACAAAAATATTGAAGTTAACTTACTGTAATATGTAAACAATCAAATTTTGAAAATATCGATGTACACACAGGAGATAAACTGAGAAAGCAGGAGGGTTTTTTAGGGAGGAGTTCCCATGCATGACCGAGTACAGTCCAAGCTAAGCCAGCTAATTTCATTTCAAAATATAAGAGAATATCCATACATCTAAGTCCAGTATATATTATTATAATCATTGATTGCTTTAAATTATAGTTACTATGAAAATTAGTTTCTGTTACTATATTTAGCTCTAAATCTCATAGGTTGAGCCATATTTAATCATATTCTATTCTAAAACGTTTTTTCATCAAAAATATTAACAACTGTTAATTAAAATTTTAACATTATTTTTCATTTATATTTTTATTTATTTTTTGAGGAAATAAATTATTGTTATTTCCTAAAACTAATTATTTTTATAACAAATTATTTTTTTTGGAAAAATAGTTGACTGTAAATAAAATGGTGGGAAAATTAATAGGGGTTGTAGTCACAGTTAAAAATGAATACAAATTATAAAAATTATTTTATTTTGTACTGATATTTCAGCCTAAGTTACAGGCTCTCATGAGGGCTGAGAAAAGATGAAGATAATAATCAAACAAATTATTTAAACATATTAAGTGACTAAAATAAGTGACTTATGTAATTGCAAAGCATGAAAATATATTAAAAAAGTATTATGATAATATTTTAATATAGTAAAATAATGGACAGTATGAAAATAATAATGTGAGTATGAAAAAATCAATAAATTTATACTTAACTAGTGAAAAATAAAACTAATAATTAATGAATGGAAAATATCTAATAGAATAGTATGATGAAGGCCTGAAATGTCAGCATAAAATACAATTTAAAATTTTTATTTTTATTTTTGTTTTTCTCTGTGATTGCAATCTCCAACTAATTTTCCGTTCAAAAAATTATTTTGGTATTAAAATTAAGTTTTTATTTAGACTTTATTGAAATAAAGTCTCCCTTCCTTTCCAACTAATTCTTCTTGTGCATATGTATTTTTAGATGTCCTGATCTAGAACTGCACTCCTTAGGACTGAATCCAGTTAATGCATATGGAGATACACAACAGGTAGCTCATTGAATAAATTTATTTGCCACAATTTTTGACATTCTTTTTATTCTTTTTTTTAAAAAGCAGCTCTGGTCTAACTTGCTTTAATGCCAGTGGTGCTGGCAAAACTCTTGTCCTTTATTAAAATATTGTGCTCACCTCTCAACTTCTAAAGGTTTCTACTATACTGTAACCATCTATATAAATGCAATATCATTATTTTTTAAAGTAAATATTATTTCATCCAGGTGGGAAATAAACATACACTGCTTTAAACCAAACCACTTTGTCATCATCATTATTTGTAACTGTACATCTGAAATATTGTTTATTTATTTATTTATTTTTTTTTTATTTGTTTATTTAGAAATATTACATTCTGTCACATCAAGGACATTTATAATAGTGTTCAGAGAAAGCACACTCACACTCTATTTACAATAAAAAAAAATAAAATAAAATAATACAGAAACTTAATAATAATAAATACAATGAATAAAATAAAAATAAATACAATAAAATAAAATGAATGTATATAAACAAAAGAACTAACCTAATCATACACACTCGGGCTTGAGTGGAGGATCTGGCCATTGCCAAAACTCCAATAGATGCTTATTTACAAAAGGTCTCTGGGCCACTGCCGCTTCAACCTTCGAGGAGGATTGTAAGGATGGGTGGTGCTGGATAGAGATTGTGCAAGGGGATTTGGATGATAGGTAAGGTTCTGGTGAAATTTGGAGAATTTTTCTGGAATAAGGTCTAGGACAAATGGGATATTAAGGTCATGGTGTAGGATTTTGTTATTTACATAGAACGGAGCATCAACTATTGTTCGAAGGACTTTAGATTGAAAGGATTGAATACGTTTGATGTTAGAAGCTTTTGCTGTACCCCACAGTTCAAGTCCGTATGTCCATATAGGTTTCAGTATTGTCTTGTAGATAAGTAATTTGTTTTCAATAGAAAGTTTGGATTTTCTGTTTAGTAGTCTGTATAGCTGGCCGTATCGTCGGTTGAGTTCTTGTCTTTTGAGTCTAGTATGTGGGTTCCACGTCAGTCTTCGGTCTAAATGAAAGCCAAGATACCGGACTGTGTCTGAGTAAGGAAGCTGGATGGAATTAAAGTGTACTGGTGGACAGGAACTGCGTCGGAGTGTAAAGGTAATGTGTTGGCATTTAGATTCATTAACTTTAATGCGCCAGTTATTACACCAGTGCTCAATCAAGGTGAGGTGGTTTTGGAGATTTAAGGATGCTATGTTGGGATCTGAGTCGGATGATAGAATAGCGGTGTCATCAGCAAAAGTTGCCAGGAAGGTATCGGGATGGACAGGGATATCGGCGGTAAAGAGGATGTAAAGGACGGGACCCAATACGCTACCTTGAGGAACACCTGCCTCAATTGGATAGCAATGCGAAAATTCAGTACCGCAACGAACTCGGAAGGTACGATCTGAGAGGTAGGAACGGAGAACAAGGTACAAGGACTGAGGAAGATAGTTTTTCAGCTTGGAAAGAAGCCCGGCGTGCCATACCCGGTCGAAAGCTTGAGCTATGTCCAGAAATGCACCCGAGCAATATTGCATGCTTTCCAATGCTGCGGAAATATGATCAACCACTCGGAGTCCTTGTTGGACTGTAGAGTGTTGTGAACGAAATCCGAACTGATGGGAAGGAAGAGTTTGGGATTCTATAAAGGGTAGGATGCGTTTTAGGAGGATCTTTTCAAAGATTTTTGAGAGAATAGGAAGAAGGCTAATTGGTCTGTAGGACGTTGAGGTGTTGGGAGGTTTGCCTGGTTTCGGAAACAGGATAATAGTGGAATGTTTCCACAAAAGAGGAAAGTGGGTAGTTCGTAGGATGCTATTGTATATGTATGTAAGGAATATGACAGCTTTAGGAGGGAGTTGTCTAAGGATCTGAGAGGTAAGCAGGTCGTATCCAGGTGATTTACGGGTAGGTAGTTTTTGTAAAAGGAATTTGACCTCAGAAGGATTAACTGCTTTAGGCGGTAAGGAGAGTGGGATGGGTGAATTAAGGAATTCCTCTACTGCTGACGTGTGGGTGGGATTGGATTCTGGATGAGAGGTGAATGTAAGGGAAAGGTTTTTCGCGAATTCTTCGGCTCTATCTTCGTCAGATGCTGCCCAAGAGCCATCACCTCGACGGAGAGGATGTGATATGTGATGGGGTTTTAGGATATGTTTGGTGGTCTTCCATAGGGAATTGTCATGAGAAGAGAGGGAAGTGAGGTAGGAGTTGAAGGATTGGGATCTGAAGGTGGCCAATTCTATCTTTAGTTTTTTGCAAAAATAATTATAGGATTGGCGATCGGTGGGGTGTCTAGTACGTTGCCATAATAATCTGGCACGGCGCTTGGTATGGATTAGGTCTATGAGGTGTTGAGGTAACTTATTTTTCTTAGGAGTTCTTGAGGAGTGGTTTGGAAAGGAAGCAGTCCAGATTGCTTGTTGGATAGTGGTGGTAAAAAAGTGTATATGTTTATTGTTTATAAAATGTGTATATGTTTTTTCTTTTTTCCATCAGAGTATGCTGTTTGAGTACAGTGGTATTCGTCAAGGCAATGAAATATGTGGGTTGGCAGCAATGAATGATGGAAATTTCCTTTTACAGCCAGATCCACATTTCATGTGGGTTAAGCCTAAGAATTGGAGTCATGATGAAATTTCTTCAATTTTAGCTGTTTATACATTGGTGAGTGTATTATTTAACTACCATTTATGAGATAACTTTTTATTATCTTCTAGGCCTCTCTCCAGGATCTGCCACTTAGCTCCAGATTTCATATTCAAATATTTTCATTCAAGATTTAACATTTTCATTTTTCTTTAATTCATTGAATATGTATTATGATTTTGGGTTGTTCAAGGTGTAGATTGCTTAAAGAAGTAATTGAAAATTATTACAGTGAAAATATAAAATTAGAGATAGTTAATTTTATTGTTCATAGTGTGATAAAAAAATCAGTGGAAGTTATTTTGTGTGAAAAAAGGTTCACATTAAAGAGCAGAAGGCAGTCGATTCGGGATTTGAGTCCTTCACTAAAGATAAGGTATTCCTGATATTAATACTTCAACAATTAAATAATAGAATAATACAATTATTGTACTCACGCATCAGCCCATTTCAGATTTTTAACTTCATTGTTTGAAGTATTATTATTATTTTATAATAAGCCTGTGCTATATATTTAATTTTTTAGCTGCAAGGGAGCTATATATATATGTATATATATATATATATATATATGTATATATATATATATATATATATATATATAATTATGTTTCAACAATTACTCCAATTTAAATCCAAATTACTCCAAATTTAAATGTACTACCTACATTTATACCACATATATAAATATATATATATATATATATATATATATATATATATTTATATATGTGGTATAAATGTAGGTAGTACATTTAAATTCTGAAATGTTTTTAGTTTTGTGTTGTTGTGGAGACTAGGTGGATTGGTTGCAACGTTGGTGTTTCGCTTAGTAACCTACTCATGGGTGATTAGCTTTATATTATTGGAAATTGGAGCCTTACTGTGAGAGGGCCAAATCTTTTTGCTCTGTTGCCCTTTACTCATGTCTCTTTCACCCATTTCACCTCTACAGACTTAAAAAATAGATGTATTGATATTCCTACGTCGAAAGTAGGAAATGTATATATATATATATATATATATATATATATATATATATATAACCTATATAATGGGACCTATATAAGATAATACCTGAATAATATTATAATATCTGAATATTTAACCTATAAATGATTATGGATTTTAGGACTATTAGTTATTAAACTATTACTTTTCATTTTAAAGTTTACTAAAATGAAATTACGAGATTTTCATTGCCTGCCATGGATAGGTCAAAAATTGTCACACTAATTGTAAGTGGATAATGTTGGGATTTTACAAAGAGAAAATTCATCAAATTATTCACTAATTTAATTTTCTGAAAGGTTATTTGATGATTTTTTGGAATAAACGGCTAATAGATACCTAATCATTCAAATATAATATTAAACTGTTATTTTCTATAGCAAAGTTTAAAAAACGGAATTAAGAAATTTGCATTGTCTGTCATAGACAGGTCAAAGGTTTTCAAACCGATTGTAAGTGGATTCTGTTGGACTATCATAATAATGTTAGGATTTCACAAAGGGGAAATTCATCTAATTATTCACTAATATAATTTTCTAAAAAGTTACATGACAATTTTTTGGAGTAATTGTTGATACCTAATTATTTAAATATAATATCAGATCTATAATCACTAAACTACAGTAAATGTATTTAATGTTATAAACATATGCTTTATACATCCATGAAATGATTTTATATTTTACTTCCTCTTTCACTCAACTACAATGAAATAGTTTTTTAAACAATGCCATTGCCTTGATTAGGTGGATTTTAAATATTTTTTACAAACTTAAAAATAGTTTTTGAAGTTTACATTTAGTTAGTAAATTTCATTTAATTTCCTTGAAAACATGTAATTTAGTTAAATATTATTTTTTTGGAAAAATTGTTATTTATAATTTTTTTGCCAGGTACCGTTACCTTCTACAACTTTCGATATTAGATATTGTTTTTTCTAAAATTTTCTGCTTTCCAAGAATATATTATACGTATACCTTCTGACTAGTATTTCTGGAGATTCATTTTCGACCTGGATAAGCATTTTTATTTTTTTTCTTCTTTATTCAATTATCAAATTCTTTCAAAAGTTATATTTAGCATTTTTTCGTAACTTTTAATAATGAGAGATAGTTAATTATATGAAATGAACCATATTAAAGATACTTTTGAGAAAGACCTATATGAATATTGGACATTTAAGCTCTGTAAAGTGACATCAACAGAGATAATACCTGAATAATATTAAAGGCCACTTAATTATACAGTGATACACCAAGTTTAATCAAAATCGTTATATCTAAGGCATCTAAGGCATATACCTCTCTTAAATATGTAATATCAGTTTTGCACGACTTTTCGTTTTTGAGCTAGAGTGTTCACGTACACACAGACACACAGACCATTTTCGCTACTTGGTTATTTGGACTCAGGGTACCTCAAAACATGTATTTCTGTTGAAAACTCAGATTCAAAAATTTTCACGATCGCAATACTTACACTTACTATATATTATATATAAATACATAAGTGAAAGTAATAAATAATTACACTTTACTCATGGTATTTTCAAGTAACAAGTTTACTTTTTCATATTAGGCATACTACATCCTCGAGGAACAGACTGATCTGAAAGAAACACACAATATACTTGTTCATGAGGGTATCATGCCTCTATCTCAAGCTGTTATAAATCTTGCGCTCAGAAGAAAACTTGAGGTTTTCACAACTTATGATGGAAAACTGGAACACAAAGAGTATCTTAAAAAAAAATATCCACAGGTAAGAACTTTTATTTTTAATAAGTTAAAATTCAGATTATTACTTTTTTTTTTAAAATAAACATAAATGACCCATGATTTTAGATACATGAAGATAACATTCTTAACTGGAATCAATCCCAGTTTGAAATACCATTTCTGCTTAGAACAATGGGTAAAGGATTTGATATTATTATAAATACACTACCTGACCCTCAAAAACTAAGAAGTACACTAAAATGTCTTGGGAAAACATCTCCTAAATTTTTTCAAGTTTCAATTCCTTCAATGGAATCAACATTTAGTATTGGTAAAGTATTATTTCTAGCTTTATTATTTTTCTTGAAACAAAAATTAACTAAAAATAATACTGATGATATCTAGGGCCCTTTTCTTGATATTTAAATGAGAGGTGATAGATTGCTGACACTGATCTTAATTTCAAATAATAATTTTTCCCAATCAGTAAGGGTAAAAATATAATAAAAACAAATCAATCACTATTTTTATTTTTATACACTCCTACGTTTTATTGATTATCTTAGTAGTTTTAAACATTGGTATGAAATAAAAATAATAATTACTTACTTACTCCATGGCGCTACAGCCCTACATGGGCTTGGGCCTCCTCTACAATCCTACTCCACTCTTCCCTATCCTGGGCGAGTCTCCTCCATCCTCCAATAACCATCTCCCTCATTACTCTCTCTATACCATCTGATCATCTTAATCGTGGACATCCCCTAATTGTTCTTCCTCCAGGCTTATCATCCTGTAAATAACCTATTTATGACACTGAGTGAGAAGAAAATATATTTATATGAAATGTGGGACTTGGTAAATACACTTTGAATGAATTGACTAACCTGGTTTGTTATTCTTCAATTATGAGGCCTATAGAACAACTAAATAAAAGGACTATTCACTCCTGTCTAACAAAACAATTTATTTTACAACTGTAATAAGTGAATCTATTAAAGTCTTAAAACTTTAGGCTTGATCCTCTTATTCTTCAGTGCAGTGCCTCTCTCTTCTGGTAACCTCCTTTCTTCCTGTCCCGGCCTAAAGTACCTTCTTTTCTCTCCGGCGTCCTTCTCCAGCTGCTGCTATCTGCTCGGTCCTTTTTCAAACTTCTTCCTTCTTCGTCGATTGTTTATCGATATGAGACTTTTCAATGAACAATTTGTCCACTGCACAATTGAGTACAATTCATAGTGCAAGCTCACAAACCTATATATTCCTTCTCATTCCCTCACACAATATCACATAAAGGAGTAAATACTGAGGGCTATGTACTACAGTCCAGTAATTTTTTGGGTATCCTACTTGCCATCATCCGTTCTATGTAGAAGCTACAGATCTCAAACCATTTCTTTCAGCTCCTCATTCTTTCTTATTCTCCAGTTGCTGTTCTCGCAGACAGGTCCATATATTCTTCTGAGTACTTTCCTTCCCCAAAGTTTTAACATTCTATCACTTTCTTTGGAAAGTACCCAAGTCTCACAGACATAAGATACAATCGGCCTAATGACTATTTTATGTAAGATGACCTTAGCTCTGTTGGTAAGGCCTCTGAATTTTAATGGCTTTTGAAGAGCCTAATAGCACCTGTTTTCAGCAGCTATCCTTGCCGTAATTTCTTCTTGGTGCTCATTCTTTGACATGACAATAACACCCAAATACCTAAGCTGTTTTGCTATCCTGAAAGTGTGGCTTCCAAATTTGATAATTTCTTCCATTCTTTCTGGTGGATTTCATGATGACTTCATATAAACTATCTTTTTGTCGTTTACATGGAGGCCCAACTTTTTCAGTGTTTTTAAACTCCTCAATAAAGATGCTCTTGATCTAGCTGATATTACCATGTCGTCTGCATAGGCTAGATGCTGTGACAGTCTATTATATATTGTGCCATTAGGGCTTGTCCAAATTGCACTTACTGCATATTCTAAGGCTAGGTTGAAAAGAGTTGGGGACAAGGGATCTCCCTGCTTTAGACCGTCTTCAACTGCAAACTTTTCCAATAGTGCTCCTTGTATCTTGACTTTACAGCAACTATCAGTCAATGCCATCCTTATTAGACTAACTAACTTTTTCAGTACACCTAAGGTGACCATTACTTTCTACAATTTTCTTCTATTGACACTGCCTTAAGCTTGTTTACAACTATATTGTAACATTATATTCATTATTTTCCAGCATCTGTTTGACAGAAAATATTAGGTCAATTGTAAATCTATTTGGCCTGAAACCGCATTGATACTCACCAAGAATATGTTCGGACCATATTTGTAACTTTTTATTTAGGAGTGAGGAAAATGCCTTATACACTATCTCCAAGAGAGATATACTTCTATAATTTTCGCATTTAAAAAAAATGCCGAAAGAGTGGACGGTTGCTATTATCTACTCTGTTTTCAAAAAAGGAGACAGAACTAAATGCGAAAATTATAAACAGAACAATAGTTATTGTAAATAATATTGAGATAAGATGATAAAACTATTATAAATAAAAGTATAGATAAAACTAAATAATGATAAATATGAATTAATATATTTCAATTAATAAATATAAATAAAAAATATAGTATTTGAATGGTTTTTTTTTTAGGTCTTGGTATATTTCTGTTCTCTACAGGGATGCACTGTATTTATCCTGAATCATTAATATCATTGCCGATTCATACAAAAATATTTTTAAGAGATTTAGTTCACAGTGGTTTGAAAAATGGAGAAATACAACCTATTTCTTACTACCGAATTTCATCTTCAGTTCTTAACATAGATGTTACCCCTGGGGTCAAGTAAGTTATATTTTTTCTTTTTAAAGGATTATAATTTTAAAATATTCATTTTCTCTTCTCAGGCCCTTGTTTCACTTCACACTTCATTTCATATATTATGCATATTAATATTCACAATTTTATTTAATATCAATATTTAAAATTCTACTTTCTTAAGTTAATACTAGACCATTTTTATTTTATTCTCCAAATTTTCTTTCATTTCAGGCCAAATTGAAAGAGACATTTTTGAAATATAGGTGTATTGTAGAAAATATGTTTGTACATCCTTCAATGAAAGTAGGAGAAGGAATTTTATAAAATTGATATTGAATCATTTTTCACTAATCCCTAACTTTCCTTCTATTTTGAGCCTAATTTAACAAGCTATTTTTGATATAGAGACTCGTCATAATTTGGAAGTAATGGATAGAATTCAATAAAATTAATATAATCTTCTAGGTATCAACCCACGCAATCCTTGAAAACTTCATCAAATTTGGATTAACAGAAATAAGTGTTTATCTCGTCACATGGATTTGATTACAGACAGACATGGAACCAAATTTGTTCCTTGATATTCAAAACGTAAAAAGTTTTGCAATCAAAATCTTTTTTTTACTTTCATTTACCTATATATGTTATATATAGTATGGGAAAGTATGGCGATCGTGAAAATTTTTTAATCTGAGTTTTCTACTGAAATACATGTTTTGAGGTCCACTGAGTCCAAATAACCAAGTCCCACAAAATGATCCATATGTTTGAGTGTATATGAACAGTCTACCTCAAAAACGAAATGTTGTACATTACTTAAATTGTGTATTTAACATGCCTGGGATGTCACTGTGACTTTTTCGTCAAAATCTGCTAACCGTATGTCCTGCTGCTTTACATCATCAATGTTACTCATTTTTCCAATGTTCTCAAAAACGGCTCTAACCATTTTGATTTAATTCATTACTTCAATGTAAAATTAAATGCTTTTTAATATAATATTCTCATTGAATATTGAAATATTCTCATTGATGTTTTCTAACAGGGCCTTAAGTGATTAATTTTAAAAATTTCTTCTTACAATTATTTTCATGTGAAATAATTAATCATTTCACATTACCAACTGATATAATAAATGGTTAAATATAATGAATAAAGAAAAATTATTGGAAACTAAAGGAGAAATATGGGTTGGAAGCTATACGGAAACAGCCGAGAGCACTCGACCTTTACCGATTCTCTCCCTTTACAGATACCCAATACTCCTCTGTACAGGGCTTTCCTATTGTTAGTTTAACTTTTATTTATCCCTTATAAATATTCTTTTTAAAGATTTTCATGCAAAATGTTGAGGATCTACTAATATAAATCTAATGGGGGTGAGGTGACTGAGCAGGCCAACACCTGTGTCTGACAACCGGGATAGAAGATAATTAGTTAAAATAATTACGAGTTCGCATCCCAGTGCTGAGGGGGCTTTTAAATCTGCCATAAATTCCAGTCCTCACCCCTTGCCCCGGGAAAACCCCCAATATAGTCTAAAAGGCGAGAAATGGAACCAAACAAAAAAAAAAAAAAAATATATATATATATATATATAAATCTATAAATCTAATAGTATTCAAGAGAGAAATACAAGAACATTGCAGGGCTGCTCAACTGTATTGTGTTGCTAAATAACACAGCATACTCATCAATCAATAGATATTATTATTTTAAAAAAATAGAAACAGTGATATTGGACCATTGGAATACATATTAGATATGCCAAGTACAATTAATAAAATTAAAAAAGCAAAGGCCTAGATCAATATTCTAATGAACCTAAAATAATAGTTTCTGCCATGGTCTGCAACTGCTCCTTTTCAACACCGAGTCTCTTACTAACATTAAGTTATTTTTTTGATGATTTTCATGATGAATTTTTATGATAAAACTCAAAATTTTCCAAAAATCTATTTTGTTCCACAATTGTTAGTATTGTTTGATACTATAAACAGTCACAAAATGTAATGAAAAGTGATAAATGTATACATTTAACAGATTTGATGGGCAAGAAAAACATGGTAATTAATTGTTTTAAATAAAGTAATACCATAACTTTCACTTTGACTTCTCTATTTATGAAAATACCTATCTACTCTAATTCTTGTAAGTGAAAGATGTGTGATGCACTGCGCTAGATTTTTTTGTTATGTATCACCGACAATTTTACCTTTATCTTCTTGAAGCACTGCTAATTTTAGATTTGACTTGCTTCAAGTTCTTTTAGATATTTAGATAAATATTTGTTGGACAAAAGGAAAAAAATATTGATAAACTCTTTTTCTCAAAAATAGGTATGAGGTCAAAAAGAAATTGATTGTATCGATGAAAGATCAATGTATAGCTTCTGCTGGGACAAATGCACATGTTTTCGATTCGAGTAAATCATATTTAATTGTAGGTAAGTTGTAATTTTCATTTTAATTGATGATTTTTTTCATTTCAAAGTATTCCTATAAAAGAATTTGTATTTATGTACCCAACTCACTTGAAATAGTACATTCAAAAATCCTAATGATTTATATTATTGAATAAAAATACTTTTATTTTCTTTGTGTAATTGGAACAATTAAATTTAAAAGAGATTCCTATTAAGAATCATTATAATATTAACTTTACACCAACTGTCAATGTGTTACTGTTTATAAAAACTATCGAGACTATATGAATTGGAAGACATTGTCAATATTCCTTTCATTTTGTCGGGGGTCTAGGTTATTTACACTCGTGAATTTAATTTTCTTAAAACAAAATCCCGGCACTGGATATAAACTTTTTGAGTGTGTTTAACTTTCGTTGGAATTTCGGGAACTTAATGCTTTTGTGACACTGAGTGATAAGAATATATATATACAAAATGTTGTACTTATTAAACACACTTTGAATGAATTGGCTCACCTGGTTTGTTATTCTTCGATTGTGAGGCATATAGGACAACTAAATAAAAGGACCTTTCATTCCTGTATAACAAAACAATTTATTTTGACAACTGTAATAAATGAATCTATTAAAGTGTTATAACTGTAGGCTTCATATTCTTAATCTTCAATGTTCTGCCTCTCTCATCTCAGGTAACGTCCTTCCTTCCTCCTCTCCAACAAGTGTTTTCTTTGTTCTCCCAGAGTCCTTCTTCAGCTGCTGCCACCTACCGGCACTTTTCAAGGCTTCTTCCTTACTCTGTTCTGTACCTTTTTCGTTAATTGTTTATCAATTAGATACTTTTCAATAAACAACTTGTCCGCTGCATAATTGAGTACAATTCATAGTGCAACCCTACATTCCTATACATTTCCTCACTTAATGTCACATCAAGGAGTAAATACTAGAGACCATCTACTACACTATAATAATAACAATGAAAATATAAATAGATACAATACCAATAGGTTAGCTTAGTTAGACTAGGTTCTAACAGGACCTATAATACAACCATCATTTTAAGAAAAATAAGTTTTAAAATTTTTATGCTAACTCTTTTTGTGTTATTAATGTAATTTATCAATTTTTTTTTATCTCCTTTCATGACAGTAATTTAATGTTGGAAGATGGTTCAATAATAAACTACTTTACCTCTGATTTTATATAATATATTTTGAAATGTAGTTAACAGATTATCACTGACAAAATAATTAAAAAGTGAAATTGATGATACATTTCTTTTCAAATAAAATAATACATTTAATCTTAAAGGAGAGTTATAAGTGTCAATAATCTTTTAGCAAAAAATATTAATTACAATCTTGTCAAAGCAAAGTAGCAATTTATAAAAGAAAGAAATATTTTCAACAAAAGAACAATTATATTTTTAGTAGGAATTATTGATGATAATCTAAAATGAATGTAATTTAAGTAAAAAAGAAATTTGCTTAATATATACTTACATTTTACTTTTAGATTATAAATTAAAATGAAGCTGATCCTTAACTTATAATTATATAACATATATTTATATTACTTCAAATTCATGAATTTGTTGATTGTAATTTTGATAACTTTTTTTAAATTGATATATTTAGGCAATAAGGCAGATGGATGGTTGAATTTACTGGAATGGTTAATAAGACGAGGTGTGAGAAAAATCATATTATGTATTTCCAGTCTATCAGCAATAGCTGCTCAGAAGTAGGTTACTAATACCATTCCATATTTATTAATTTATATTAAGCTTTTAATGTATCCTAAAGAGACTCTTGAGAAAAAAAAATGGCCAAAACATGACACATGAAATATCATTATATAGTCTTCAAAAATAATAGTTTTATTTATTAAAAATTAGTAAAGGATAAATGTTGTATTATATTAATGTTGTAACTGCTACCCCTAAACCTCGTAAAATAGATTTAGTATTTTGTATTTATACTAAGCTCTAAACCATGTTTTTTTCATTGACTCCAGATCGTCTTGAAACTTTATTATATTCAAGAAGTTATTTAAGTTTTATTTAATTTTCATCAGTCATTCATTACTTCACTGTTATTTAATATATAAATCGTTATACCTTTCGGAGTAAGAAAATTTTGTTGATATCAAGTATGAATTACTTCTAGTCTCCAAGCCTCACTTTATTTTCCTGTCATAGTAAACTTCTAGGTGATAAAATATGTTTCACATAATAATCAAAGTTAGATTATCTTCTATACCAAATTGATGGAACTATTGTGTATTTTACGTTGAACAGTTTATTGTATTTGAAGTATTTCAAATTACTTTTAATGTTTACTTTTATTACTTTATACACTATACGCTCTTAATAAAAGCTTTTTTTATTTCCACAAACTACATCAATCAATGGAAATAAATTGTACCTCTTTTACTGTTTCAGAATTAATACAATATTAACGATAAATGATCATGTCACCATCACTACTTGCTCCTCAAAAAAATTAGATTCTGCTGGAAATATAAAATCGTTTATAAATAGATTTGAAAACGGCACTGCTTTAGATACTGCTTTTATTATAGGAGAGGTGAGCTTTTTAATACTTTTATTTTATCATGTTATCAGTATGTGACATAATCTATCTCAATTACTGGATATTTTTTATTTATTTTTTTAAATATGAAAATACCATAAGGATTCAGTCATTTATCAAAGAATGTATCCATATCACTATCTATCATGATTGAACAAGTTCTGTTTCATGAGAAATAGCAAAATCAAAGATTTGATCTTTGTTTGAAAAACAGTATGTTCTTTGCCATATTTAACTCTGTTTATTTACTTATTTTTGGAAAATCTGCCATATATTAGAAATTAGAAACCATAATACGTTAATAAAAATACCTAGAACTATAAGCAATACTATAACAATAGCTTTTTAGCAATAGGTTTTTGGTGATCCTCAGTTCCTCTGCATCCAAAAAAATTTACAAATGGTTTAAAATTAGGATATAATTCTATCAAAAATAATGAGAAGAAGTTAAAAAATTTTCAAATAAAACATAAATAATGTATATAATTATTATATAATTTAATTTTATCAGGTGGCAGCAATGGGCGAGAGGACTAGAAGAGATAAGTTTCAAGCATTATTATTCGATGCAATTGTACTTAAAAATAATAGCTTAGTTATCAATTTTTCAAACAAATTTATTTTTCAAAAGCCTTCTTCTGTTAAACAGAAATTTACTGTATTTATTGTCCCATTGATGGATATGATAAAAACATGACAATGCTTTGGTTATTTGTGGAAATTATAGTTTATTAGTTTAAAAAAATTATAAAAATCTGAATACTACTTAATAAGAAAAAAAAACTAAGTTTTGTGCTTTAGACCACATGATAGAAGTGAAAACATCTACAAGGCGAGATTAATAATATGAAATATAAATTATAAATAATAGCTCATTATAAAGAGGATGAAATGTTGCACATTTTCCTCGTTTACAGTATGCAGATCCGAATTTTAGTTTCTGAGATATTTTAATTCATATCTTTCATAAAACTCATTATAATTTGGTTTTTGACAATATTTTTTTCCTTTTCGCCTCTCTAACACGGTGATGCATTAAGATGTAATTTCAAATAATAGTCCATTACAGAGAGGAGGAAATGCTGAACAATTTCCTCATTTACAGTATGCAGGTCTGATTTTTATTTTCTGAGATATTTTAATCCATATCTTCAATAGAACTTGTTATCATTTGGTTTTCGGCACTATTTTTTGTCTTTTCGCCTCTCAAACATGGCGCCACGTTAAGAAACAATTTTGAATAATAGCTCATTACAAAGAAGATGAAATGATGAACATTTCCCTCGCTACCAATATGCAGGTTCGATTTTTAGTTTTAAATATTTTAATCCATATGAAAAAACGCTTTAATCATTTGATTCCAGCCGACTTTACCCACTTTACTCTCCACAAAAAAGTGCCTACAGAAGTTTTCACTTCAAAAACTGTTTAGTGGTTTAAAGTTTCTTTATTTTACTTACCATAATTATAATGATAAATCATAAGTCACTGCTTTCTCACGAAAATTAAATTCTTTATAGGAAAATCAGGGTACTATAAACCAATTGGCTACAAACCTTCCAAATACAAGATTTATTGTTATTTGCTATAAATCAGGGATATTTCAAGAAAACCAAAATATAAATTCAAGAATACTAGTCATAAAAACACCAAAATGTCCTGATTATACTGAATTTTTAAAGGCTATGGATTCTCTTATGGATCTTTCTGAGCCAGTTATTTACTTGAAACACAGTGAGAAAAATGAATTAGGTAAGTTCTATTTGTGTTGTCATTAATCATAAAGTGTATGCTTTGAGGTAGTACATGCTTCTTCTATGAATCTTATGATAAATCGCTTCAATTGAATTTAATTAATATATTAACATGTTACAACTTAGGCTTCAAAATGTACTGGACCACAAACTAATTCTTCATTATTATTTTGAAAAATTCCTAACTTATAATTTTTTATAAAAACTTTTTTGAAACAGTTAGAATCTTTTTTGTTAGACTTTTATTATAAAGTTTGTATTCGAACTTCACGCCACAACTTTTATAGTAAATGTTCTCTCCAGATCTCTATCGTAGTATCTTTTATAATAAAAGTATTTTCTAGAATATTCTTATCTCAAGGTTTTTACACATGTTCTATATTAACAAAGTTCTCATTATTAGTTTTCTTACATAAATAAATGCCTGAAATATTCCTGGTATTGTACCTTGAAGTATCTATTTGACTCGTTAATTGTAATAATTTTTCTTTACTTATTTAAACAATTTCTAAAAAGAAATATTAAAAAAAAAAACTAAGATTCCCTCAAGGGATATTCTATATTTACATGAGAATATATATTTTAAATGTTCAAGTAGGAACTACTATTACTGTTGCTTACATAAAAAAAGGTTTCTGCAAGAAATTAAATCAACAAAGTTGTAGCATATAGTTCTTTTAGTATATGAACTTAAGGGACATTTTTTTTAAGGTTCTTTTGAAAATATTAGTTAAGTATTAAAGTTTTGACCTAAAAGTTCTTGTAAAAGATTTGAAGTAAAACTTTTAGAAAGTGTTCAATAAAATTTTGGCCCATGATTTCTCAAGGAACTTACATAATAAAAAGTGTTTGTTTTAAAGCAATATACTCCCTTTATTTTTTAGATACAGATTCATCTGCCCTACTACATTGGCAACATATACCTACTTCATTAAAAGAAATCGCAAGTCTAGCTAGCTGTTCAAAGAAAGCATTCTGGAAAGAGTTAAGATCTAGTTCATCACCTTACAAACACTACAAAGAAATTTCACCTGTTTTTATTCTTCCATCACTGAAGAAAGGGCAGATGAAAGAACTAATTAGTTCTCTTTTCCATCCCGCTTTTGAAGCTGTTCTTCCTTCATATTTTGAAAATGCAGATGATTTAGCTGAGCAATTATTTGTAGTAAGTAAGCTGAATCACACAGTTTGAATATTAAGACTGATGTTAAAATGGGTAAAATTTATATTAAAAGAAGTATTATATATATTTTATAATTATATCTATGTTTTACAGTTTGATGGTATTTTATTTGGTTTGTATGTTATTTCACTTTCATAATTTTACGAAATATTATGATAATTTTCAGGAATTGCAAAAGTTTTCAAGTTCAGTATTTACTATTATTTGTTCGGACTGGATGTGGATGCTAGGTTTAAAGTTAGGAACACTTTTAGAAAAATCAGGAAAAACAGTGTCATTAATGCTGCTTGGTATATCTCCTCAATGGGCCAAACCTGAATCAGTGAGAAGAGTTTATGATCAAGTAAGAAAAAATTAAGTAATAACTAATTGTATTGTTCAAATTATAATTAATGTTAGAGTAAAGATAATGAGAAACAGTTGGTCAGGAGTGTGGTATTAATGAATACTATTTTGTAAAAACACTATTTAATACTTAAAATTCTATTAAATGTTAAACTGTTAAAATACTATTTTGTTATTTAGTATTCATTTGACTGCACCCCACGACCAACTCCTTCTCATACAATTAATGTTATTTAAAACTGACTATGACTGAGTTGCTACATATTTAGTCATAAGTTTTCTCAGTTATTTCTGTTTATTATTCTATAAAGATTTGGCAGTACTAGTTCACAAGAGTTCCCCATGGTTCACAATCACTTCGGTCACACTTGTTCATGGAATCCCGAATGCGTTCGGGTTTATCCAAAAGAGAACGAACGCGACCTATCTCTTGGGCCAGTTACTATTGGCTTTCCCGCCATTTAAGTACTTCTATAACCTTAACCATGTTCAGTTATATAGCAGGAGCCGACTTACATTCAAAATTTAGGCTACACGTCATGAAACCTGAATTGAACGTGCACTTATATTATAGATCTGTAAAAAAGAAATAGTAATAGATAAAAACCTTTAATTATCACATCTCTGAATGGTATTTCACGATATTATTGTACTTATTGATGATTTCCATTATTCATTATCTTGGAATTATCCATTATTGATGTGTGGAATTATCCATTATTGATGTGGATTGTGTGATGGGGCAATAGCTGATGTCATAAAAGACAACAACATTCGGCTGTTTTCGGAATTCCATGAACAAGTGTGATCGAAGTGATTGTGAACCACGTATAATCCGTGCGAAACTCTTGTGAACTTGTACCGATTTGGCTCTTTTAATTAATGAGAGCATAAACTAAAAAAAAATACTTTTTAGATATTATTGGAATTCTCCAAAATAATGGAAGGAGATGGTCCGGGGTGACGGTCATAAATAGGCTAAATAGTGGCAAACCTATTTTATTAAAAGCCAATGTTTCGACTCATCTATGCAGGTCTTCTTCAGGGAGGTATGCTTCACTCCAAGCTGAACACACCTCCCTGAAGAAGACCTTGCAAAGTCGGGTCGAAACATTGGCTTTTAATAAAATAGTTTTGCCACTATTTAGCCTATTTATGACCGCCACCCCGGACCATCTCCTTTCTTTATAATGCAATGATCAACTATTAAATATTCAATATTCCAAAATAATGCATCAGCTCTCTCAAATATCAATAAATAAATAAGTACTTAATGTTTTACCAATGCAGGAATATTGATTTACTTTTTTATTGCACTTTAAATTATAAATATTCAATGTATTATTGAATTGTATGGCTGTAATACCAACATTTCTGTCATTCTTTGGTGCCATAATGTGCTGACATCCACTAACAGGTCTCCTATTGTTACCTGTCTAAATCTGATAAAAGCTCGGGAGACCACAATCTGGGAGACACCAACTGCATTGGCGATATCCACTTGCCAATGCCCTAAAGTGCTCATTCTCACAATAATATTTCGAACTTCTGGTTCAATATTATGTCTTTCCCTCATAAATTTTTAATTAACTGTATCCATAATATTACTCTTGTTCTAATTTTATTTCAGGTCATTAATGATACATCAAGTACTGACTTGAAGGCTCACAACCAGATTGATTTAGAAAAAGGATTGGAAATTCTGCAGGAGAGGGTTCGCTTAATATCAAGTCCTTCCCTTCTTAATGATATTCAGTTTAAGGGATTATGTCATCTCATAAACTTTACAAAGATAACAGATGCATATCTACAGCTGATTTCAAAGGTAGTGATAGTATGCCAATTATTGTTATTTATTTGTATTTAATAGGTAAATCTATTAGCCATAGACTATATAGACCTAGTGTCATCAGTCTTTCAATCAATCCACTTGCTCCACTAGCTCAAAATCAATGACCTGTCGATTGACCAAAATCCATTTCATGAAATATCTAGAAAAAAGCTCTGGTCTCTCTCTTGATCTCTGATCTTTAGGAACTGTTTAACTTGTTTTTTTTGTTTTGTTTTTTTATTAGTTGACATGGAATAATGAGAAATGTATCTATGATCTCAGAATTTTTTTTCTTTTCAAGACTTTTGATTTCATATTTCTTCCCATTCACCAAAGCATTGAAGCATCTTTCATAGGCACCACTATTCCAGTAGAACTCCATTCTCAAAACTGTTATCTTTTCTCAATACATTGTCAATATCCATAATTCATCTTCATTAAAGATTAAAGATGCAACCTTTCATTCTGAAAAACCATCGTCTTAATTTTGGAAAAAGTAAGTTTTTTAATAAACTTTATACCCATGCCAGAAATACAGATCAATCTAACACTCACACCTGTCACCAAAAAGACATATTACCATAAATTTTAAAAATGCTCACTGTTATTAGAATAATAAAACAACTTATCCTCGAAGCTCTTGGATTCACATTTATAGCGATGGTTAAGCATAAGCTGTAACTCTTAATCCTGAAGCTAATGTATTATGCAAACCAATTACAAATGAGTCAAGTGTGGACTGGATTTGGTGGAGCCGTCTTGTACTTATCACAACATTTATGGTTGTTGACACAATTTTGAACAGTCTAGCTAAGTTTAAAATCATTCAGAAAAATTAAAATTTTTCCGTCGTTATAAAAAATCATATTCAAGTGTTTTTGGAGATGCAAAAAACGAATATCAACTTTGTTTCTCCCAAAAAAAAACTTTTAAACATATATCTGTTTGTCAAAATTGTTCCCATTCTGTTTTATCTGCCAAATATAATAGTAACAAAAAAGAAACCAATTAATATGTAATAACCTATACATCAGGGCAAAGCAAAGGAAAAAATAAATTTTGTTTGAAATTATATAAACATTTATTTTTTCAGCTACTTGAGTCCATTGAAATGGACTTTGGGACATATGTCAAATTTTTAAATTTTTTGATGTAGTATCACAAAATTAGTTTTCTTTTTTTTTTTTTTGCTGGGAAGCTGTATAATAGTATCTATTTTCAGCAATGGTTTTGGTTGAAATCAGTGGCCCACTGACTGTAAACTCCCCTAGTAAGTCAGAACACTGCCATGTCGCTCCTCTTATAACTAAAAATTTGAAAATTCCATGTCACAATAAGAGTTTTGAGAAATGTATATCCATTTCTTAGCTTAAAGATTGTTTCGTGTACAATGTAAAATTGACAAAGAGTAATTATTCATTATTTCCCCCTTTCCCAAGACTGATCCAATAGAGTCCGATAGCAAATAAATTACCAGGCATTCATGTGATCTGTTCTGATCTAATATTCATTTAGAGAGGATTCACCTAAACACAAAAGTTAGAAATATAAGTGGCTGTATATTTATTTATTTTTACTTATTGCAATTTATTTATAGTGATATACTATTAATAATAAATTATTTATGATGTTTTTCAGTCATGCCAAAGGAACATCAACATACAAATAGTTAACGAACCTGATTACCTCAGCATGTTAAGGAGCAATGTAACAACTAATTTTATAAATTCAAATGTTTTATTTGAATGCAAAGACTATGCCAGATTTGTGCCAAAAGATTATGAAAATGTTTTAACTTGTAATTTATCTTATTTAGAAGAATAAATGCTTTAAAATAATAACATGCTTTAAATTGATGTTTTGTTAAATGTGTAGATATGTAACAAACTTTTACAAATAAAATATATATGAAAAAATATTTTTATTTGGGTAAATCTAACATACATATTTATTTACCATAATGTCAAAATTCCCTCAATATTTTCATGATAAAATCACCTCTCTCCCATATGTAATAAATTTAATTCTTCATTAGATTGGAAAGATTTTTTTTAATGATATCACAATTCTTCTTTTTAAATATGTCATTTTTCATCATTTTACAAACGTATTTTATTCTTAAACACAAAAACTATATTATTATAATAACATAAATAGGTAAGACTACAAAAATATTTAGTGTATCCATCCACAGGACTTTGCTCTCCACTTCGGGTGCTAAGTCTAATATAAAAATTATTTGCTATTTTATACATTACTATACACATATAAAATCATAATTTTCCCAATATTGGAGAAGATATAGCAAATGATTTTTATATTACACTTAGTATTAAAAGTGGAGAGCCAAGTCCTGTGGGTGGATATACTACACAGGGTTAAGTGGCCAAACTGCAAAAATTTCCTCTGAAGGTATGCCCGCAAATGCTTTGTTTAGGGGATATTCACACCTAAAGATTTTAGTTGTTATGAATTATTTACAGTATATGAAATAAATAAAACCTATTTATTTGTTCTATGTTATTAATTAAATGTAAACATTAACATTCATATTAAATGTTATTCAAAGTGAAGGTATATCCGCAAACGCTTTGTTTAGGAGATGGATTAGATAGAATACTAATAAGGCATTTGTAATAAAACTAACTAACTGTATAAAAACTATTGGCAACATAAGGATTAATACTATTTGGAATTAACATTGGGAACCCTCAATAACATTTATCAGTTAGTAAGAGGCTTTCACAGAGCACTCATCATTATGCCTTCCATAACGATGGATTCAGAGGCTGTTTGAGACTTGGTCTGAGTTTTTGGAGATTCTGACCAAACGTGAGTGTGGAAGGAAGTGAAAATTGTACTAAGTTTAACAGGTCTATGGAACTGCAGGGAGAAATTTACAGATACAAATTGAACACAAAACAATCCTAGGGAGAAATAATTCTGGGAATATACAGTGTGGTGTCTTCGTTTCGATCTGTTCCATTTTACGAGCATACTCTTAAAACTCTGCCCTCAGCAGAAGACCTCAGGAAACCCCCACGACACATCCTCGCTCTGATTGACCAGTGAAACAACCTGAGCCGAAAGATAGCTTGCCTCATGCATGACTGGAAGACATCACTCTGGCACGAGCAACTACGGAGGAACCATGATGACCGTCACCAGTTTGACCATCGCCATGAGACTCATCAGGACCTTCGTTAGTAAAAAGAGGAGCGTGCACTTGACATCCAGGAACGAGCTGCTGACACCTAAGGAATAGCCTACACTCTTGACCGAGAGCTATGCAGCGAGGGACGAGAAACCCATTTTCTCCTCTATCAACCACCTTGAGTCGATACTAAGACACATCAAGGGAAACAAAGCTTCTGGACAATGAGATCCCGTACATAATAATGAAGATGCCCCCAAGAAAGAGTAAAGCCTTTCTATTGAACATTTTCAACTCGTACTTTCCTAATGCCTGGAAATGCGCGATCTTAGTGCCATTGCTCAAACCAGCGAAGAAAGGAGACTCACCAGAGCACTATCGTCCGAACAGCCTCCTCTCGCACATCAGCAAGGTCTTCGAGAAACATACACCACCATCTCATGAAGCACTGCATGGAGGAGGCCATCATCACACCGGAGCAGACAGGATTCCAGCGGGAGGTTCGTCTGCGAACATCACCTGGCCAAGCTGCCACGATTCAGCAGATGGAACACAGTAGAGCTACGGCGCTAATCTCCCTGGATTGCAGTCAGGCCTTTAACGCCACACTCAACTAGTTCGCCGCCTGGAGGAGTACAGGTTTCTCGCTCCTCTATGCCGACTGATCCGAAGCTATCTTAGCGGAAGATCGTTCGTCGTACGAATAGGCGGAGACCTCTCTCCACCAGAACTTACCAACTGCGTTGTTCCTCAAGGGTCTGTACTGGGGGCAATACTGTTCGTCGTCTACACGGCACCAGTAGTGGCACTCAAGCATCCAGTGGCGATGTTAGTAGCAGCCTATGCGGACGACATTGTCATCTACGATTCCAGTTTCGACGCAGGAACAGCACTCACCCGGGTACAAAAAGCCTCAGCCATCATCGTTCGAGAACTCGATGACAACGGTATCAGGGTGAACCCAGCGAAGACAGATGCCATTGTCCTGTCATTTTAGAAAGGGAAAAAGAGACCTCTGCTAACTGAATTAACCGTCAGTGGGTTTAGTCAACAGCTCTCTCCAAGGATTGTCTACCTCGGCGTCACGCTAGATAGGCACCTGACCTTCTCTAGTCACATCAGGAAGAGGACCCAGAAGGCTCGGAAGAAGACACGTATGCTCTACCATCTGTTGACATCGCCGCAGCTCTCATTACGTCTGAAGCTTCAGATATCATTATACCTACAATACTCCATGGTGCCCTCTCTTTAGACACCTGTACAAAACAACTCTACAACGACTGCAGAGCTACCAGAACTCCGTTCTTCGGCGAGTAGTAAGAGGAACTAATCTCTAGAGGGCAAAGAACTCGGTCATTCACGAAGGGCTTCGGTTCCCGTCAGTGCCTGCATTGATAGACCGGAGGCACATCAGATTCTTTGACGGGCTGAAGGTCTGTGCCAATCTATTATTCCAAGATATCTCCCCACAACCCAGAACCGGGAGGTGGCAAGGCAAAGTCCCCTAGGTGGATGTACTCGCCGAGGGAAGGAATCCTCTGTAGTCCATATCCATCCTTTTTTGTAAATAGTGTAAATAAAATTATAATTATAGTAACCAGCAGAGCAGACCTTTCCTGCTCAGAGAAAAACAGAAGGCCTCGTGCTACAAATGCCCAAAATGCATACCGCATACTATTCCTCTCCTACCTTAGAATAATAAAAGGTTTTCAGTCGCTGTGTATACTTATTTATATCATAAATTGTATATTGTATTTGTCTCTTAATAAAGGATTCTGGGGGATAAGGAAAAAAAGGACTCGGCAAATCCCATCATATCATTCCTATTCCCTATCCTACCTTAGAATTCCTTCGGGTAATAAAAGGAAAATGTAAGCATGTATATATTCATACTTATATGAGTTTTGTATATTGTGTTTCTTTATAAATAAAGTTTCTGAGGAAGGGAAGGAAAAATAAATAAATAACGTACATTCGGCAATGTACACAATTCAGGAGGACTGTCAACTCCAAACATCTCAACAGGACTTGTAAACAGACAGGAAGAAATATTCTTTTACAATCAATACAACGCACCTTCAAAAACACAGCTAGGTTAAGGTAAATCAGAGTATCGATCCATCACTATGTAATGCTCCGAATATGGTACTTATTTCATGTTTTTTGTTTAAGAAGGATCGGAAAAAAAAAGTACACTAGCACTCCTAGCGAAAATGACTACTACCGAAGCCGCTACTCCAACAACCAATGATGAATATGCCAGGCGATTTCCTAATAGAAGATTACCAAACAAGACTATCTTTAGCTCCACGTTTCAAAGTCTTACAGAAACTGGTACATTTGCTATAATACCAGGTGCTGATGGTATTTTTGCTCCTTTGCGAAATAAAGAAAGGAGTGCGACCATATTACAATATTATGATGATAATTCATCAGGCAATGTACGAAGAGCTGGAGCAGTATTAAATATTACGCCTACAACAGTATGGAGAACTCTCATTGCGATGGACTTCACCCATATCGTTACCAACGGGTACAAAATTTATTACCGCAAGATTTTCGGAAAAGAAGAAATTTTTCAGATTGGTACTTAAATCAAGTTGAGCATAATCCACAATTTTCAGGAAAAATTACAAATTATTTTACAAAAAGAGGTATCTTCAATCAGAAAAATAATCATCTCTGGTCGCAGGAAAATCCCCATGCAATTCGTGAGTATCATTATCAGCACTAGTTTCAGTGCAATTTGTGGTTGGAGATAATAGACAATATCTTAATGGGTCCGCATTTCTTGCAGCCTCAACTCAATGCGGGCACATTTCTGGAATTTCTTAATAATAATTACCATGATTTAGTTAAACATATTACATTATAGCTGAAAAGGGACATGTGGCTTCAATTAGATGATTGTCCTGCACATTGCGGAAGAGGTCATCGCCAATGGCTTAGTGTTAATTATCCCAATCAATTGAATGGCGGTGCAGGACCAGTGGCTTGGCCTGCACGCCCTCCAGATCTGACACCACTGGATTTTTTTGTTAAGAAGGATTATTGAATCTTGTGAAACAGTAACACATATCCAGTGCCGTTCTGCCACTTTTGCTGTTGAAGAAAGATGCTGAACCTGTCTTAATGCTTGTAAATGACCTAATAAGGGTTAATTGTAAATAACTAGTTTTGGCGGGAATTATAAATATTCCTTCTGTTTAGTCAGGGGACAAGGTTATTTACACTCGTGAATTTAATTTTCTTAAAACAAAACCCCGGCACTAGATATAGACTTTTTGATGGTGTTTAACTGTCGTTGGGAATTCGGGAACCTAATACTTTTGTGACACTGAGTGACAAGAAATAATAAAAATATATATATATATAAAATGTGGGCCTGAGTAAATACACTTTAAATGAATTGACTCATCTTATTATTTTGTTATTCTTCAATTGTGAGTCCTATAGGACAACCAAATAAAAGGACTATTCACTCCTGTCTAACAAAAATGTTTATTTTTACAACTTTAGTAAGTGAATCCATTAAAGTCTTATAACTTTAGTCTTGATCTTCTTAATCTTCAGTGCAGTGCCTCTCTCTTCTGGTAATCTCCTTACTTCCTGTCCAGGCCTAAAGTACCTTCTTTTCTCTCCAGCTGCTGCTACCTGCTCAGTTCTTTTTCAAGCTTCTTCCTTCTTCCTTGATTGTTTATCGGATATGAGTTTTTTCAATGAACAATTTGTCCACTGAACAATTGAGTACAATTCATAGTGCAACCTCACATTACTATATATTCCTTCTCATTCCCTCACACAATGTCACATAAAAGAGTAAATACTGAGGGCTATGTACTACAGTCCAGTAATTTTTTGGGTATCCTACTTGCCATCATCTGTTCTATGTAGAAGCTACAGATCTCAAACCATTTCTTTCAGCTCCTCATTCTTTCTTATGCTCCAGTTACTGTTCTCGCAGACAGGTCCATATATTCTTCTGAGTACTTTCCTTTCCCAAACTTTTAACATTCTATCACTTTCTTTGGAAAGTATCCAAGTCCAAAGACAATTTTTCATTTTTTTTTTCACGGAATTTCCACAAACAATAAAAATAAACATCACTTAAAACTGTTAAAAATTATTAGTTTTTTGTCACTCCATTTGCTTTTATGGCTTTATATTTAAATATTATTTTTTCTAATATCTTTATCTTTCTAATGGTGCATTATACATTTAAATTATTATGCGTTCTTCTGGATTTGTTTACTTTCCTACCTATAATACTAGGTAAAGAACTTATTGCGATGGGGTCAAATTTCTAATGTGCGGTTTTCAACTGATCTTTATATTTGAAGACCCTGATTCTGAAAAACATATTTTTTTTTTTTTCAATAAGTGAAAACATATTTTTCTATACACTGTAGTGCATAAACCGCTCTAACGATTTTGATGAAACTTTCCTATAATTTTCTAGTTAATTTCCTTTCAATTTTCGTACATATACTAAATTCCTGAGAAAATTGAAAATTAATGAAATTCTCTGCAAAACTATATAAAAATCGTTCATTTTTCAGATAGGGAAATTCGACTGTGGAAAGTCCAAACTAAAATCTAGGCAGATTTTTCCTTGAAGAAAAGCTTACTAGTAAATATATGGATGAAAATCTTAAAAAATCCTGAAAACTTCATGGTTCAATTTAACAATTCATTTTTTGCCCCTTGGCTTAGGAGAAATTATTGCTTAAATTGGGCAGGGTATCTAAATCCAATACCCATAGCAATCATTTCCACAGTAAAAATACAAGAATTTCTTATAGATCTCACGACAAGTTGCTAAACTAAAAAGTTACTTAGTTATTCTCATGTTATTTGGTTGGATGAACCCTGGTATAGACTTTATTCTATGTGGAAAAAAAATCAGCAATACAACGGTCCTCTGAATCAACCATATGTTGGTTATGTTTAAAAGCAACAATGGTACCTATATTAATTATGGAAATAGATTAACAAAAAAATAAATAATTTATTTTCAATTATGGCAAGGTCATGAAAAAAAAGTCAAAATGCAACTTTTCAACAGTTTTTGTTTAATTATTGTACATTTATTTTGATCACTTTCAGTTGAGTTAAAGCCAATACCACAAATTTATTATCTGTTTGATATTTGATAGTAACAATCTAACATTCAATAAATTAATAGTAGGTTCATACGAAATTAAAAGATACATAAGACTAATTAAAAGCTTTATTGAATCCTTTGTAGACCATCTCTTGATTTATATGCATGTTCAATAATGCCTTTTTCAAAATATTGTTTCTTCACTTTTCGGCCTGCAGTCTTATGCTCAAATAACACCAGCGAATTGATTACCTTTGAAGTCTTCTTTTCATGCAGCAAGGTAGAGAAGTTAGTTGAGGGAATCGCATGGATTCTTATTGGTCTCTCACAATGCTAGAAAAAAAAATTAATTATAGATTAGAATAAATTTTATCGAGTTTATTATTAATCATAATATAAAATAAATTAACAACAGTAAAACATGCCTGTTCCATTATGCTAGTGTCATAATGTTCTTCTGAATCTGGTACTATGATATGCAAGAGTCCCTTATAGATATGAGGACCATTAGCCAATGGTAAATGCATGAAATCAAGTCTATTCTCTAGAACTTGCAAACCTTTTGAAATTTTTGGTTCTTCATTTCTTAACAACTTCAATTTCATTGCCTGAAAATATAAACATAAATATCATTGTGCAAATCAATCATTGGTGTAATTAGATTATTAATAATAGACAGATAGAAAACAAAAGAAAGAGAAAGTAAAATATTGTTTTGTTTTTTAAATTCTTGTTTTTTTCTAACTATGTATTACCATTTTGAAGCCTAATTATAATAATTTTGGTAATGTAATTTAATTAATGGTAACATAAATTTGGCTTCACATTTTATAGTATACATGATCTATATCATTCAATCATAATGGCCTGCTACATAATAGTGTACTTATATTCTACGTTCTATAAAAAATAGAATAAACGGCAAAATATTATTGTAATTTTAGTAAATTCGTAAAAAAAAATATTCTTTTAAGCCTTTCTTGGTAATTTAAGGTTTCAAAACAAGAGGACCAAACTAAAGTTAAGATTGAAGTTAAATTAATATCATACTGATGTAAAAAGATTGATTTTAATACAATACTGCAATATATTATCAGCATGTCGTTAACAAGCTCAGTGAAGTTCCTTTCCTGGACTAACATATCAGTTATTCTTTTATTGCTTTTTTTTTTCCAAGGAGAATATTATTGTATCATTTAAACAAGTTTGAGGGCTTTTACTAAAGAATATTCCTATCAAATGAAAAATAAAAGGTAATTAAAATGACATTCTTACAGAAATATAATTTTGAATTAAGGACTTTGAAGTTCTTTTAGCTGATGAATCCACAACTATAAGGGCAACTGTTTTATCTTGCTCCTCTAGAATTTGAGCAATAATAAATCCAAGAGACCAAGCCCAATCACTGCATATCAGGGAAATTTCATTAATCTTTAATTTAAGGATTTCCTGTAAAAACAATATAAAAATTAGTATTAGACAAATAATTTTTTTTGTCACTAAGGTGAAGAGTTTATATAAAAAATGTTGAAATGTGCTACCAAATTAAGCTAATTTCATTAATGTATTTAGATTAATATAATTTTATTAAATAGTATATTATTATGCCTTTAAACAAAACTTATAAACTAATTTACTAATTATTAACACCTATTAAGTATTAGTAATACTAATTATTAATACTGTAATAATTGCTCCTGAAAAATTTAACTACCCAAATATTTCTTCTCCACATTCACTCTCCTCTGTTCTCAAGCCCACAACTTATGACTAGCACAGATCATAATAATCAAATTATATCTTCTGATCATCTGCTCAAACCTTTCCCTTCAAAATTATATTTTCCCAACAGCTCTGCAAAAAATCATAGTGTATTGAATAACGTACTGACTCCCTCCAAAGTTTCCGACTTCAGTCCTATCACCAATCTATCAAAACCTCTCGAAAGTACAAACCATGTACATCTTAATAACTTTCTAGAGAAAAAAGTTCTTGTAGTTATTTATTACCAAATCCTGTCCTAGATTAACAATATTGTCATGTTATTTAAAAATTCAGTTCTATACTTAAACAGCTAAAATTTCATGATCTATGTCTGTCAAAACATATCAGCTCCTAGTCTCCATTCTTATTTCCGCCCATGTTGATGGCAGCCCAGTGCATAGTTATTGTTGAGTATCTGGTAGACATAAGTTGAGACTGAGTAGAGTAATCAAGTTTTTCATTATATTCACCTTGGCGAGTTATAGGATGCTGCCACATCTCCAGTTGGTATACCGAGTTAGGGTGGCTTTAGCTTGATTACTGTTGACAATTCTTGCTATGTGTATATCTATTGCAATTCTTTTGAAACCAAATGCATGGCTATATTTTTAATTTGTTCACCCTCCCCTTTTCCCACCCATCTTCCTCAGTTCATGTTTCAAATGCCATACCAGATTTGTAAACCAACAACGTTTGAAATGCTTCCTTTAGCAAATTATGCTTTCATTATCCATTATATATTACTCCTATAATTCGTAAACCATCTCAATCCATGATTCCTCTTCAATGTTTTTTTTTTGTAAACACCACTTATATATTTTACCACTTCATCTTTGATCTGCTACATCAATGTAAACAATATTTATTCAAGTTTAAACATGTACTTATTGATTATAATAAATAATTAACAAGTGATAACTTTAACATATTTTGTAAAGTAGTCCAGCAAATAATCTATACAATCTATGTTATTCTAAAGGAGCAATAAGTCTCAAATTAAAATTTATTTTTCAGACATTCAATTAATTAATAAAACTATTTTTATTTGAATTGATAATATTATTTAAATACCTGAGAAAGTTGGTTGGCTATGTCAGTGATATTATTAGAGCTTGAAGGAATTATTGCTTCAAATGCTGAATAAAATAATGAAGGTATAAATTTTTCAAATTCACTTTTTCTGAGAGTTGATAAAATAAACACAGGATTGGTTTCCCTAGCATATTTAGAATTGAAACTACTCGTTCTGACTTCTTTCCAGGTGGCTTTTTCTACATTATTTATTAATTGTAGTAAGTCATCAGATGTATTAGGCAAACTTTGGAAGTATTCAGACATGGTGAGATCGTGTACTAATAAAAAAAAAAAAGTCTTTAAAATTATTTATACTTCATACATCATCAACTATAAAATATATCTACAAATTTTTATAGGATTAAAAATGAAAGGATTTTTAAAAAGACAATAACTATTTTTGGTGTCCTGGAGGTGGTAGTAAAAAAAATCTCATATACAAGTGGGAAGAACTCCAGATACTAGTCTTTGATGATGATCTAGATTTCTTAATCGCTTAATTAATTCTAACTTTAAAGCTTTCATTTATTAGATCTAAATTTTTCATAAGATTTTCAGGATATTTTATGCTACAGAGCATCCCATTTTCCAATATTTTTAAATAATTCAATATTATTACTTAAGAGAGTACTGAATAATTGAAATAAAATTGATTTGACATTGTAATAGATAAAAATAATATAATATTTATACATACGTTACTAAAAATGAAGAAGAATGGTGATCAAAGAACACTTAAACCTAAACTTTTTTTTTTTTTTGACTGAACCCATAAGATTTATAAGATACAGAAAATTAATTACCTTGTGTTTGTGTTGCTTTCAGTTCCGACAAGTAAATGACTGGTTTCTCCTGGGCAATCAAATAATCAAGAGTAGATACTATTAAATCTGATTTTAAAAGACTATCAACTGTGGAAATGGCTAAAGAAGGTATCCCGGATGCAGAGCGTGCATCACATTCAGCTTCTCCACCAGATTTAAGGGATACCAATGAGAATCTTTCTTTAGAAACACAAAGATTTTTTACGACAGCTTCATTTTCCTTTGAAAATAATAAAAAAAAGTATGATATTATCGATAAATTCATCTTTAATCATGAAAATTTTTATATGAGAATATTAATACAGTTGTTTACATATTTAACCAACAACTATGATGGTTTAACTTCATATTAGCTTCATCTAAACATAATATTACATAAAAAAAAAATTATGGTTTAACTTCACATTAGCTTCATCTAAACATAATGCTACATAATCAAAAAAAAATCATGAAGATTTTCACTGTGACAGGGTACCCATCCTTTCAAGGATGATGGTGCATGCTCCTCCTCCTCCTAATTTTAAACTATATACATAACTCTAACATATGAGGAATTACGAAGTTTTTATTACCTACCCTCGATATTCTGCAGTTTAAAAATCATAGAGAAAACTGGTCGAGAAACATGGTAAATAACTAAACAAAATGTTATTCTGTTTTGAAAGTATCAGCTAGAAAACTTAAAATATATTTAATGAGAAACAAAAATATATCTTACCTCTCCAATAACAAATACAGAAGAAAGTCTGTAGCTGGTATTTATTTCCTTTAGTAAACCATCAATTGATTCTCTATCATTGATTCGCTTTATTGAAAGTAAGTTCAGATTGAGTAAAGGATTGGAGTGCAACAGTCTGTTTAATCTATGGGGAAAAAATATATTGAGTATTGCTATCTAATCTCAATAGTAATAGTTGATATACACACACAATAAAAAAATAGTATAATTATATTATTTTCACAAGATATATATGTATATATTACATGTACTTATTTTGTAATTGTTGAAAAATAAAATGGATGATAAGAAAAAATATATATTATTTTTCAGTTTTGAATGATTACATAAATATTAATCATTATGCACCAAATTAGTACTTATAGCCTTTGTAATACTCTTCTTGGAAAAATAAATAATGCAACTCTTTAGATTTCCTCTATGAACCCAACAGAATTATGTATCTATGTTACTGTTTGAATCATATATCTAAGTATCATATTTTACTATTATCCATTACTCAAGCAGTTTTCTAAGTTTTTTTTTTTTTTATTTTCTTCTATTATTAACTGCAAGATAATTTGAATTCAAGTTTTATACTTTTTTTTCTATATTACTTTTCATTTGTTTTTACATATTAACGACCTTGTTTTGTAACATTTTTTTCTCCTGTCATAAAACCTGTCTTTTTAGGAACTTCATAAAAGACGGACAAAAATTTGATTTGCATCATTGTGTGTTTGTCACAAAATATTTTTATTTAGTTGGCACAATGTTTAATATAAAAAAACTTTTATAGAGAAATACCTTAATTATAACATACCTGGATATATTCCAAACATCTCTAATATTAATAATGGAGGAATTATTTTCCTTCTTTTCTCTCTATCTCTTCAGAGCCTATCGGCATAGAGCCCCACCTCAGTCCACCATTTCCACTTGTCTTTTTGTATGGCCATAATTTCCTCTACCCGATTGATTTTTCTTCTTGTCGTTCAAGTCACTTCAGGAATTGCATGTGCAAGGTTCACAATCTATTCAACTTCTTTTTCCCTTCTGGTTTAACTTCCATGAACTACTTCATTTCTCTGTCTTCTAGGAGTCTGCACAAATGTCCAGATCAGTGCAATTGATCTTCCAAAATCTTTTCATGCCTTCTATTTTGCTTCCTTAATTTTTGTTTCTATTTATTTATTTTTATTTTTTATGATTTATCTTTTCAATATATTCTTGTCATTCTAGTGGATCATTTAATAGCAGGTAGTTTCTCTAGGATTCTTTTTTCTATAACCTCTTTGATCTTCTCACTCCACCATTTATTTATTTAGACCCACCATGCCTCCTCACTGCAACAGTTAATTCTCCTAGTTTGTTCGCCCATTTTACAAACCCCAGATACTTCGGTTGCTGAGGTAATAATGATTTCCTTAATTGTGTACCACATTTCATCAACGCTTATTTCTGCGTTGACTTCTTTTAGTTTTATACGGAGAGCTTCCTCAGATGTTATTATTTTCCTTACATCTCATAAAGTTTCGACATAAATTTTTTAATTAGCCTAAACAAGTTGAAAATATAGTTTAAGTTAAATAAAGGCTACGGCCAGTCAATCATGTGGATTTTAACCAAAACACAGAACAAAGAAAATATGATCTTCATATTAGATTTAAAAAAAAAAAAACTATATTGGAAAAAAAAGTAAATTAACAGGTTCAAATTTGTTTTCAATAAGGAAAATATGATATAACAAAAAGCAGCATAATACTATCCACATACTAGTTATTAAAAAAGTAAAACTATTTAATAATGGCACATTTTAGAAAATCTGATTAACTATGCAAAATGAAGATCTTTTTTTTTTGGGCGTGCTCATACATAATTTTTAAGTACAAATGAAATGATGAATTTTTTATTGAAAATCAAACTTTTTCTGGTGATCCCATTATTATACACCCTCTGATTTAATAAGAGAATTATATGCTAATTAAAACTTACTGCTGATTGGAAGAACTGGTAAATGAATGCTTCCTTAAGACTAGATAAATGTTCTGAGCTCCTCTTTTGGTGAGCCACTCACAAACCTGGATCCACATATTCATTGTATCTCCTGTAAATGTATTGCCTATTGTTAGTATTTACACTGTACACTAAATTTTATGCTATGAGATCTACTAATATAACATCTAAGATAATGCATAAATACTAATGTGTCTTAACATTTAATCAGAAAAGCAATGGTATATCTCTCAACATTTAATTCACTTTGAGATAAGCATTATTGTACACAGTCAAATTTGTTTATTTACCACTTCATTTGTAAATTTTGATTAGCTTGGATAGAATAATCTATGCCTTCCTATTATTCACTGCCTTTCTGACAATTCAGAATTTATGAAATGGGAAATAAAGTAAGAGGATTTATAAATTATACCTTTACAAGTCAACCTTTTATGAATTTCCAAAATGCTCTTTAAAAAAAACTTGGCATTGGCTATAAATGTATTTAAAACTACAATTTAAAACTAAAGAAAAAGAAACAATTTTAATACTTTTTTCAATTTTATTATTAAAATAATCTAAATTTCTTATATAGTAAGAAGTTAATTTATATTTACCTATGATAAGGTAACTATTATCAGGAGAAGCTGTGAAATATGAGGAAAGTATATTTGCAGGGAGTTTCTTTTCCATGTTAACTATCAATTTCGTAGGTAATGATTTTTTTTCCCTGAAAGATAACAAAAAGTTTAGAAACAAATAAAGGAGTTTTGTGAAAATTGAGCAATTAAATAATAAAACTTTGTAAATTTTGAAGAATTCTTTTTGGACAAAAATCGTTTCCAAATAGTTGATCATTGTAATATAAGATATTAATGACCAAATATAGGGTATTTAGTAATATTCTTATAGTGATATTCAGGGTCAAGCTATGACTTGCTTGCACAAGTCCACTTATCGCATAATAAGTCCTCTCAAGACATAAAAGAATGAAGAATCCATGAAAGTATCATTAAGAGGTTGGATGCTGTGGTGGTCAAGTTTGTTTGAGTGAGTATCTCGAAGAGGATCTGGGTTCAGTTTCCAAGTGTACCAGGCTATATTTGTTATGAAGCAGTAACATGAAATGATTAATACCTGGTGATAGTCTCTAGTTAGCCATCAAGGGTTGGCAAAAAGTATCTATGTGCAATCCTATTTAACCAAGCTAGTTTTCATGACCAGTAACTGTACTACGATGAAGTAATTCTTCATAATTCTTGATGTGTTACATCTGGCAAGTATATACAGCTAACTGTGTTACCACAGACTAGTGTAGATTATATTGAAAATTAATAGTATCAAATAATAATGATCAGTTCACACTAATTAATACATAACAAATAACTAAAAGTGTATCTGGTTGTAAAGTCCATATAGAAATATAAGCCTTTTTTTTAAATACTGTTTATGCCCTATTATGCAGCCCAAATCTGGGTTTGATCCTTCCGTTTTCTCACTATTTATTTCATTCTATGACCTGCAGTTATTAATGCTTCTTGATTTTAACTTACATGGGGAGGCTAGAGTCATTGGGTTACCGATTCCAATCAAATTTTTTTCAGTGATATTACATCGAAAAATGTTGGACACATATCCTGGCATTCGTTCCAATGGATCCTAGGAGCCAAGAAGAAAAATATTCTATATAATTTCAAACAAAATTAATGTTATTTATTTTATCTTTGCTTTGCCCAGATTTTCAGGTTAATATACATCAATCAATTTCTTTTTTTTTTTTGTGCAGAATAAGAATAATATATTGACTATTGTATTATTAAATGTGTTGTGTTGTATCATAAATTACAAAAATCAAAAGAAGCACTCAGTAAAGTAGGCCAAGTAAATGTTTGTAGTGAAAAAGCAAGTTATATTGGTATTTAGGGTCCTTTAAATATGAATTGTTATGTAAATAAAAAATACAACCTTTAGTATTTGAATTTCTTGGATGATTTTTTTTTCCCAAACATCAACTATAGTATCATAACTCCTTAGGACTTTCTTAAAATTCAACTTTCATGTAATAATTGAAAAGCTGTATATTGTAACCTAAAATCCGAGTAAAGCAAAAATAAAGAACTTAATTTTTTTTAAGCTCCTTGGGCCCATTGGAACAAAAGCACTGATATGTTTACAATATTTTTTGATGTAGTATCACCAGAAAAATTTGGTTGAAATCGGTGACCCACTCAATAAAGCCTCCTATTATTAGTATGAAGGTTAAATTTCTTTAAACGTGAAATAATATTCTTTTTAAGGTGTTGAAGTGAGATGTATGAATGAGGAAATAATTTTATTCTGGGACAAAAAGTACCAAAAGAATAATGACAATGTTAAAAAATTATGCACATTAGTGTGGCAAGATAACTACAAAATTGTACTTATTAATTAACTGTCAGCAGTATTTGTAATTACAGAAATAAATAATACTTATATAGTTGCCATAGTTTGAATATGAAGAAGATGGCGAATTAATAGTTGTTTAACAAAGTTTGTGCAGGAGGATTGACACATGGAAATATAAACAAAGAGTTCCAAAAGGAGGTAGCAGGAATGAGGAAAGATTTGTTGAAGAAAGTGCTTTTATAAGAGGGGATATATAGATCAATAAGTTGAGATCTAGTATTTAAAGAGTGAACAGTGGAAAGCAGAGTAAGGAGCAGGATGTAGGGAGGTATTTCGGTTCTGAGGACTCGAGAAAAAAACAACAACAAAAACGGAGGATTTGCCATTAGGAAATAGAATACACTCATTTTAACTCTATTATATGTGTTCTCTCTTATCTTTGTTAATGTGATTTTTATATTTTTCATTCCTAATGATGATCGAATCAGCATAATACTGTATAGTTATTAATTGGATACTATTGGTGAGGAAGTCAAAGCGCTGTTTTGAAGTTGCTGCTATTATTAATAATATAATTTGATTTTCATACTTGTTCATATACTATAAAAACATATTTTAATACCTGAGGAGAGATATGGCATCAATATTCAAGTGTTTGTTGGTCAATTGTTTTGATGGTAAAGGTTTTATCTCTCCTGACTGAAAACCTTGAGCCACAAAGTGCCTCAATTGTTCCTTTTCTTCTTCGCTTATCTGCAATAGTGATTCTGGGCTTAAGCCGGTCATAGTATTTTGTCTAAGAAATATAAACATACCTGAAAATTAAATTCCTTAGCAAGAAAGAAAAGTGATAATATAACTAAATATCCGAACATCAATAGCACTTACTAAATTATTACCTATTTTTTCATCTGTTTTCAATGGAGATAAGCTGATTTGGTAACATTTTCCAGCAAAGGCAATAAGCCCTAGACATTTTTCAACCATACAAGGATCAGATGATGTATTCACTACTATTGGAAAACCTTCCCCTCCAAATTTTATTTTCATCATTACATCAACCTGCTTGTTATTAATATTAATAAGATTATCTTCAGGAATCTGAAATAAAATTTTGAAAAATAAATTATGAGTAACCCTTTAACAATAGTGGACTTATAATTTTTCAAAAGCTATCCTTTGGTATAAGATGGAATAAGGCTGCAGGTTATAGGTAATCTTATGACTGATCTGTACTAGATTTATGGTAGATATACTAGTGATAGACAATATTTCAGTAGATGACACATTAACTTTAAAATAAAAATAAATATGACTAGTTCTACCTATTGTCTACCAATGGCATATTTAATAATGTTTTTCAAAAATAGAAGATTCACAGTGTTCATATGAACAATGTGATTTCACAATAGCAAATACCACCTAATTTTTCCATGCCCAGAAAAAATATGCTTTTATTATTAAGTTAGTTATTATTTATTAATTACCATTATTGTTAATTACTATGATGGTATAAATTGGTGACCTTAGTTTTAATAAGGAGAAGTTGGTCTTGGATAAGGTCCAAGAACTCGGACAAATGATTAGTGGAACTTATGTTTATTAATTGCCTATGTTTCAACCTATATTATAGGTCTTCATCATCACTAAAAAGACAAACAAAATCATTGATTTGATACAAGATACAGATCTATCAGTGGAGGTCAAAAAAGACAAGTGGAAAACGAAATGAGTATGAGCAGAGAACTACTCTAATAATTTATTCTAAACTACTTAATAATTTGAAACACAAACAGTAATGAATGATACAGGAGTTATTAATCTCGATCTATTAAATCTCGATATTAAAATAATTAATTTTAGTCTATCAATAAAACAATGGTTTTATGGAAATACTGAATGAAATAAAATTCATATATTACATAACACAAAACAACCTACGAAATAAATCTGATTTTTTTATGGAGGTGATATGTCAGTGCCCAGGTGTGCCGAATGTCAAAGGCCAGCACTGGTTGAAATTATTAAAAATTAATGTAAGCACCATTAGTGCAGAACTTTATTAGATACAAAATATAATTCCTGATATTCTAATAATTGTTTTATTGATATAGTAAAAATAAATAGTTAAAAAATCATTAAAGTGACCAAGACTGGCATTTTTCTCCTGCACAAATTTGAAATTATGAGGAGGAATAAAAAGAAAAAAAAGTTTAATATTGATCTGGATAAATGTGATTAGAGTAAATTAGTGTTATATCTTACACAGTAGTAATTAGTGTGTTTCAGAGCTTTCTGCACAAAAAAAAAATGCATTTTCAGCTATTTGTAGTAGACACCCCCCTGTATTTACTCCTTTATGTGACATAGGGTGAGGGAATGAGAAGGAATATATAATATATAGGAATATTAGGTTGCACTGTGAATTGTACTCAATTTTGCAGTGTACAAATTATTCATGGAAAAGTCTCATATCGATAAACAATCGATGAAGAAGGACACTGGAAAAAGGTGAGAGCAGGTAGCAGTTAGTTAGCAACAGCTGGCAGAAGGACGCCGAGAAGAGCACTTGAGGCCTGGACACGAAGACGAGAGGACATTACCTGAGATGAGAGAGGCAGGACATTGAAGACCAAGAATATCAAGCCTACAGTTATAAGACTTTAATATATTCATTTATTATCAGTTGTTAAAATAAATTGTTTTGTTAGACAGGAGTGAATAGTCCTTTTATTTAGTTGTCCTATAGGCCTCACAATTGAAGAATAATAAACAAGGTGAGTCAATTCATTCAAAGTGTACTTACTCAGTCCCACATTATATATATATGTTCTTATTGTTTCTTGTCATGCAGTGTCACAAAAGGTATTAGATTCCCGAATTCCCAACAACAGTTAAACACCCTCAAAAAGTCTATATCCAGTGCTGGGGTTTCATTTTAATAATCACCAGTGTAAATAACCTAGTTCCCTGATATAAAAGCGGAAGACTATTCGCTAATTCCCCCCCAAGCAAATGATTTAAAATTAAACTTTAGCAGGTTATTTACATATTGGTATGTGAGTACTAAAATGATCTTTTGGATGGGTGGAATAATTTTGTTTATTTTTATTTTTTTTGTTCATTAAGTTTTCGCCTAAAATGTCTTGAGACTAAATTGGACTCTCTGAGCCCTATAGTAAAAAATACGTTTTTCTATTTATTGCAGCATTACATAGAAGCAGTTCTAAAGATTTTGATGAAAATTGCCATACATCTTTGTCTTTATGCCATTTAAATTACATACATAAATTACAAATTTAAAATAAAACTTACAATAAATATTGAGCCAAAAAAAAAAAGCACAGGAATAAGTTGGAGTTTAATAAAACATAGGAAATAAATGTTCAAATAACCATACCTGGGGAAAGGTTTGTTTGATCCAATCCTTCTCCTTTGAATTATCATAAGTAGTAAATACATTCATTTTACTTTTTAATGCAGTTCTAATAATAGCTTGAGAGAGAGGATGTACAGCTTCAGTCACATAAATTGATTTTTGATCAACCATTTTGTTATCGACTTTTAAAATGTAATAGGCCTTTAAGAAACAAAAAAAGAATTATATCAATTTTTATTCTCAGCTAACTAAATGTAAGAAGTTAAATTCTAGTCAAATCTGATAAGAATAATTATTATTTATGCACATTATAATAGTTTCTTTAATGATAAATATATTTTTAAATAAATATTTTAACCTGTTAGTCCCTCTAAGTAACCCACATTTAAGGGTTATAATGAATGCACAAAGGATGATGTAGTGATGAATAAGTTGAATCGATATCAAATTTTGGTATTTTTCATGTTTATGATATTTTATAGACATCAAGAAGTATTATGTGTTATAGATAATAATGAAGTTTTAAAAACAAAATAATCGGATGGTGTACAAGTTTTGACTGAACAATTATAACCCTTGAAAACCAAATATAGAAAACAAGGTAACAGTTGCTTTATGCTTATAGTAACCAATCCCTTTCTGTTGGTTAGGTGGAACTATTAAGGGTGAAAGAAATGAGTGATTTTGAGACTGAAAAATAAAAACATTTCCTAACTTTATACTTGCTTTCATTTACTTTGGAATTTTCTTTTTTTTTTTCAAATATTTATATACTGGATGGTTAAACTTTTCAACATATCTAAAATTATTTCCTGTTATATCTGCATTGCTGTTTCAACAACTAACCATATTTTTAGTAGTAGTATTGACAGCCCAATTTTTTAACAGCTTTCATTGAGGTTTTATTCAGAATTAAACCTTTTATAGTATGAATCATAATAATTTTAATAACACAGGGTTTACCTAGTTTTACACTAAAATTACTGATTCAGAATTAACTGAAATTTTCAGAGATACAAATCATAACAAGATTAACTAATTTCTCTGCTTCTCTCAACTTGAGCAAAATGTTATACAATTGCAGACAGACTATAAACCTTATTCATCTATAAGTGAAATTTCAATATTGTGTTTTAACAATTTAAAATGTGATATAGTAATTGCTGTTTCAGAATTATAATGACATACCATTGTATAAGGTAACAGAACTGAAGCAATCTCGCTATCACTCCAATTTTTCGGTTTGGGCCAAGAAAGTTGATTATCAGGAAGAAGAGTTTTTGTTTTATCTGACAATGTTGCTAAGCCGCACACTTTTCTTCCATCCTTTTCACCTACATATTCCATGACTCCGATCTTTGAATTAAAATAGTACAGTTATTTTTAAAATTAATGTAAAAGAAAAATTAGCAATATGACAGTGGAGAGTAAACTACATTTTGATACTTCAATGTGCAAATTACCTTCTTATCGACTCCACAAACATCAGCCAGATTAATTCCTATTGTATTTAAACTGGTTCCTGGACATCTATAATGAAAATTGTTATATTATTATTATAGAGTTATTTGCAGTAATAGCTAATTCGATAGCTTTAAATGAACTGTAAAATAAACTCATACAAAAATAATACCTTAAATTAGAAAATGGGAAAATGTCTGACTCTGTCTTTTTATGGTCTGTATTGATAATGCCTGAATTCCATCCATACGTACACCAATGTCCATTGAGATGAATGTTAATCTTCAGATCTTTAGCTAGCTGACTTTCATGCTTAGAGAGATCAAATGTTTCTTTGTCAAAAAACACATATCTAAAAAATAAAAAAAAAATAAGAGTTTAAATCTTATAAATAAAAGAAAAAATCATATGTCTGTTTTTTGGAATATGTAGTTACTACTCTATTTTCTCATTAAACATCAATGAAGTATTGCATTGCCTACTATATAGATTACATGGTTGACAATGAGCTGCAACATATCTAGAATTGACCTAGAGACAAATAAGAAGAGTTAGGAGAAAACATGACAAGAAGTCTAAAGCCAGAACTAAGCAACCTAATTCCAGTGATAGAGTTGAATAACTGTGAAAGGATCGAACCTTTTAAAAACAAGATGCTAAAGTCAGAGTTACTGGTCTATAGATAGAAACAGTAATTTGCATGACAGGGAATTGAGGCATCACACGTAACATTACCCAGGGAAGAATAAAAAAGAAGAATTATACAACAAAGATTTAATTATTATGGGTAAGAAGGTAACTGTAAATGCAGTTAAATTACAATTATAACGTCCTGAAATGGGATCATAAGAAAGAAATTTCGTTTTTAGGGTAATTTTGTTTTGACACTTTCACTGCAGGCTTAATTTTATGAAAATATCTATACTTAATAAAGTAAGTTACCTATACTTAGGTGTACATATTTCTTTTTAAAAAAAAATAAAATTCACAAAAACACTTTTAGAAAGCCAATGTGAAAATGGAATATAATGCTTAAATTAATATTTGGATTGCACTCTATATATTTAAACAGTGGATACTATCTCGCAAAAGTTTGGAAACTATTGACAGTCCATTTGGTTGTGATTAATTTTCATATCTTCAATAATAAAATTGAAAATATATGATGTCAAAAACAATTCGATGTAGAAAACCTGACTGAAATTTTCAGACAGAAGGAGAGATTTAATAGTATTTAAAAACTTCCTAATTATGAAGGACAGGAATAGCAAAGAGGAGCACAAGCCCGTCACAAATGTAAAACAATGAATGAATGTATAATCAAATACATACTTTTTTGTTACACAACATTTGAAGAAAAAAAATTGATTGATATGAATGTATTGTCGGTTTATTACAAAAAATCATTAAGTGACATTTCATAACCTTAAATCACTAAGAACTTTGATGAATTTTTCCTTTATGAAATCAAAAACCTGTGTGCTTGTTTTGACTAAATTTAATAAATATAAAAGTGCTTGTGTAATTTGTATGCACTTAATATGTTTTTATCATTAATTACTGGTACTGAGGAGGAGAACTAGTCTGGTAAGTGGACCTTGTGGTCCTTTTTGCTAATCCCTGACAGATATCTTAAGGTTGCCACTGTGTTCTTACTGTATTGGGAATGTCAAGATTCATTTCCCAGGCCACGGAGAAAAGAAAATTAAATGACGCGGGTGAGAATTGAATCCACAACGTCCAGAACTGGGTATTCTGGGATTCAAGCCTCAATGTGCTCAGCCATTCTGTTCTATCGCTAACTAATGTAGAAATTCACAAAAATGTTCTTAGAAGTTCAGCTCCATCGAATAGATACTTAGTGACTGATGATATTTAAAAAAAAAAAAAATATTTTTATTAATTGAATATAAACCACTACAAACTCCCAAACCATATAAATTTAGACCTGCAATTAGGCAATACTCAAAATCTAACAATAAAAGTAAAACATTACAAACCTTATACGGGAAGAATTAGGCATTCTTTCACTATCTGCAACAAGTTTGTGGATAGTTGCTAAGGACACTGATGTACCGACTAAATAAACAATGTTGTCATCCTGTGACAATTTTATTTCTAAAGTTCTTCTCCAAGATGGGTCCGAGAGTAGAACAAAATTTGGTGTCACAGTAAAATCTGAATTCTGAAAATATAAATATCTTATATATGAAATGAAATGAAATGAAAATAATTTTATTATTCTGGGACTAGTGTCCCTTTAGAACAAATCATAAATACAGATTATATATCAATATTTTGGTGTGTCCATGAAATACTATTTATGGATCTGGGAATAGAAAAAAAATTGGTGTCACTGCAAAAGGTGAATTATGAAAATAAAATTAAAATACGGCTAATATTTTTGGCTTTGTCTGAAAACTTTACGAAACTAATGAAATAACAACATATTGTTTCTTTGAATTAATTTTTATTTCTCTACATAGACTATATCAGAGGTGGGAAACCTTTTCACAGGTACAATGTACTTTTAGTGTAATAAACAATAATATTTCCTCAACTTTTAAAAAACGATTTCCTACAGCTTTGTTTAAATTTTAAACAATTTTAAAATTAATTATGCCTTGATGAAAAAAAAAAAGGAAATCAAACCTATCAAGGTGACTTTTATCATCAAAACAATTCTCTGATATGATAACATAACATGATTGCGGGACTGCCAACAGCTTCACTACTGCAGGAGTGGTAAGAAAAGAGCAGTATAGATATGACATCATACTTAGACTGCTGAGCACTGCCAAAGTAATAGGCTTCTTTCTACTCCACTAAAGCAATGCTTTGTGCTAACTGGTAGCAGTCGGCTTGGTGGCCAGTACTAGCGAAAGAGTAACTTAAGTTCTCCAACTTGTCCGATCAACAAAGCAAGACTATGTATATTCTGAAATCCTTCGTGGTTTGATGAAGATTGCTCAAACACGTGCGAAAAAAGAAAAGCCGCTAAATTAAAAGCTCTAAATAATTCTAGCGAAGACAATCTGGAATACTGAAATCCTTCAGTATTAAAGATTTTAACTCAGAATAATATCACCAGAGGTCCAAGTACCCGGTGTTTGAACAACCTTATTATTTGGTACCCAGCAAAGTTTAAACTAAGTGAATTGTCCGGTGCCTGAAGAAGTACATAATTCATTATTACCTTATACTCAGTAAAATCTGTTACCTGGCATAACAACACTTTTTACTATTAGAGGCCAAATCGTAAAAGAACGAGCAAAACAATGATGGATACAACTATCTTTTTAACACTTTCAATGAGCAATAACAATTTTTTTTATCTTGAATGTAACAATTATGATATGAACGAACAAGATCTGAAATTCATAAAAAAAAATTATTACAGTTGTAAAAATGAAAGCACTCAGTGTTGAAGGGGACTTAAGAACCTAATTAAGCTCCGTTGAGCTTTGATTGATTGATGTTCAGATTTTAAATTAACTTCATGCTTCTGAAAGAAAATATCCATGTGTTCTTTTCTTCACAATGTCCCAGTTTCTTATTTTAGTTGGATACAATTTTATTTGCATAAATTTTGATTCATTTTCAGTTTTCTTATTATTACTATTGTTATGTGAAATTGACAAACTTCTGATATTACTTTTTTAATCTTTATTTTCAATTTATTGTTTTCTAGAGCATATTGAAAGCAGCATTGTTTTTTTTTTTTTTTTTTTTTAAATCAACTTAAGCAATTCAATTTATGTTTCTTTATAAAGACGAATCTTCAAAAGATTAATAAGATCATAAGGTAATGGTATCCCAATTATCTAAAAAGTAGAAGTAGAACAAAGTGCAATGCAAGTAAATGATGAAGTCAGAAAACTCCTGGCTTAAGAAATGAAAAGTTCACTTCATATAGGGTTAGATCCGGCACGAAGTGTAGTTAAGTAGTTCAAACTGTAATTTACAGGTTTCCAATTTGGCAACTGCTAAGGTGCATTGTTTGTTAAAACAAAACACTTTTCTGCAATTTTTGCCTTAATCATGTCAAACAACTATTTGCAATATGCTTCTGTAATATTTTTTTTCTTTCTCAAGATAATCAATCTAGATAATTCCAAAATCACTGAAATTTTCAAACTATGTACAAACATATTTCATAACTTCATAAGTCATAAATGTTTTAGACAAACTCAGATGTATTCTCTGTGAAACTTGTTTAATTTTTCTTCTTGCTACACAACTTTTCTACTTATTATATTTGAATTTTCTAAACAAATATTTTCACATTTATCTTCCAAGAATATTGGAAATAAATTAGTTAATACTATGTTAAGAAACCTGATGTTTTATGCATAATGTTGAGATTCTTATAGATCGTAATTTAGCTTGTCCTATTTTAAGTATATATATTAATAAAATTGTATGAATTGAATGTATATTTAAATAACTGAAAGTATTAAAAGCCTATCTAAGCATTGGAGATAGAATTTTCATATATCTTTATAAAGTTAAAAGATTAAACAAGCTGAAACAGTATCCCAAGCATAAGAAATATGATATACTAACCAATTTGCACAAATAAAATGAATTAGAGGCGTTCTTTTGTTCTAGTACTGGGACAAGCGATGGAGGTGGAGTTTGGTTTAATAATAGAAGATAACCATGTTCGACCTGCTTTAAAATTTTTACAGGATTATTTAGTTCTTTTGAAGCATTTATGATCAGGACGGAGAAGTATTCATCTTCCGAACCACATTCATTTAAATTTTCAGCTCCTCCTACTTTCAAGATCTCAACCTGTAACAACAAATTTCAGTTTTTGATGTCCTTTACCTTATTTCGAAAAATAAAATTTTCATTCATTAATAATATAAATAATAAAAGTCTGTAAACCAAAAGGGAAAAATCTCATTGAAAATACATCAAGTTAAAGATAATTTGATTGGTATGTTAATTAAAATAAATCTAATTTTTAAATTAAATTTTGTATTGTAATGTAATAATATAAATTGTATTATGAAGAAGGAGCACACAAGAGCAGATCTTTATTCTAAAACAAGTAATAAAAAAATTATGGGAAGTAGCTCAGGATGCGCATGCCTTATTTGTCAATTTCAAAGCAGTCTATGATTCTGTGAATAGAAACTGCCTTTGGAAAATCATGACTGAGCTGGGAGTTCCCAGGAAGTTGGTGAGATTGATGAAGGAGTGAAAAAATGATCCTCAATGTCAAGTCCTAATACAAAGATAAGTATCTGTTAGAGAGGACATCATATGAAAATGGAGCAGTGCATGTCGGAACGAATCATAAAATCTTAAGATAGGCAGATGATACAGTTGTTTTTAGAAGCAACTAAGTGAATATTGTGAAACTCGCTAAGACTCTGATAAGAAAAGCAGAGCAAACCGGCATGCAAGTAAATGATGATAAAACAAAATACACGATAATAAGCTGAAACTCCCATCCCAATAACATGATCTGCATAAAAGGAAAATCATTCCTGAGAGTAGAAAAATTCAAAAATCTCCACTCCACAATAGTCTCACAAAAAAAATAATAAGTTTGGAGACTCATGGTGTAGTTCATCAGCCATACATAGATTTTAAAGAATCTTTTGATTTCATTGACCACTAGAAACTGAATAATATTTTGATTGACCAGGGAATATCTATGAAGTTAGTAAATCTACTAGTGATGTGCTTCAGAAACCAAAGGATGGGACTACTAGAGAATTTAGGAAGCTATAAAACATGGAATATTGGTGCATACGTCCCATTAATACAACTGATATAACAGCATTTGACATTTTAAATGAACATATAAGGTTGGTGGGCTTAGTAATGAACAAATTTCTAAAAAGTTAATCAGATTTAGCAGACTTGTAAACCTCCTAGGTATAGAGTAAAACATAGGTAGGAGGATAGTGTTATGACAGTATTTCGATAGTGATCAGTGGACAAAGGTGTGTAGACACCAATTGGTGGTATTAACATAAAACCTTATGGTTTACTAAGCCATTCATTATTATTATTACATAGAATCTTTTGTTTCAATTAATTATTTTACAGGTCACCATACCTTAATACCATTTTTTTTCTCAACAGCATGAAGAATTCGATTATGTAAATCCGTTCCTACGTTAACTTCAATAATATATATCTTTGGAACTGAGACAGCTTTCTTCATATTTTGTACCAATACCTCTAAGCTATAATCGAATATTGAGTCCGTCTCCTGTAAAACAAAAAAATAAATTGATAAAACTGATTAATATTGAAAACTAAAAATGATAGCTTAAAATGGTCAGTATCTCAAGGCGATAGATGGAAGGGACTGTGATTAAGATAAGACACTATCTTATATCATATATTATATCATATATCATATAATATCATTTTAGATGCTAATCCAATTTTCGAAGATCGACTGTCAGTAAGCTTACACTGGAATGTATTTTAGTTAGTCACAATGTTTTTTTTTTCATTGTTATGAAATGTTAAGCTTTATGCCAAGAAAAGATTAATTGTGGGGAATTTGATTGCACTCATTTATTCAAAAGAATTCTGAAGGGGAAACACACAGAATTCTTGTTGAGACTTATGGTGAACATGCTATGTTTGAAGCAACATGTAGAAACTGGTTTCGGTGCTTCAACAATAATGATTTGAATCTTGGAGATAAAGAACACTCTGGCGCACTGGAAAAGTTTGAAGATTAAGAATTAGAGAATTTACTTAAGATAGTCCCATTACTAATTGATGACGCGAGAGTTTGGAAACATTTGAAAGCATTAGAAATGATCCACAAGCAAGGACATTGAAAGACATAAATGTCAAGACACGTTTTATTACATATGAACTCCTGCTTAACCAGCAGAAAAGGAAAAGTTATTCGCATCCTATCATGACTGGCAATGAAAAACAGATAAAGTACAATAATCCTAAGCTTAAAAAAATTGTGGTAAGCCCGGCTTGTTCTCGAGCTTCTTCCATCAGGCATTAGGTCTGGTTAGTATGGTGTGATTTATTATGAGCTGCTAAAATATCATGGGAGATTGCTATAAACTACAATTGAGGTGTTTGAGCCAAACTCTAAAGGAGGTGTTTGGCCACTGTACAAACAGAAACACGCCACATTATCACATAACAACGCTCAGCCTACTACTACGGCAAATCGACTTACAAGTAAATAAAGATAACAGAAAATATATTATAGTAAGCTAAAAAATCCACCTATATATCTAGTCCTGTCATAAATATTGTTACAAGAAATATATATACAGATTTCAAAAGAAAAATTAATTTTTTCAAAAACTTTATTAGAAAATAAAATTTATATCTATAGAGAATAAAACAAAAAGAAATTACTCAAAACGACTCCCTTTAACCAAGCATTTAACAGGCATTTAATCGCCGTGGCCTGTCATCATTAGCAGGGCGCAGCACTTCTTGAGGAAAGCGCTCAACTGCTCGGACCAGAGATTGTTTGAGGCTTTCCAAGTTAGTGTGTGCTTTGTGGCATGCCATCCTCTCCAGTTCGGACCAAAGCTGATTATCTAGTGGGTTGAGATCAAGGCTTCCTGAGGGCCAATCCAAGGCCGAGATGAACTCTGGAATGTTCTTTTGCAGGCACTGCTGAGTTGACCTGGCCTTGTGAGCTGGAGCAAAATCCTGCTGGAAAATCCAATGACTTCCAGCAAACAGGGTATCATTTAGAGAGTTGACAACAGGTTCCAAAATATCATTCTGATAGTTTTTAGGGGCTGTTTTAACTCCTTTTTCACAAAAATGGAGCTTTGTGGTGCCATCCAAGCAAATTCCCCACCAAACCATCACTGGGGAAGGGTGATGACCTCTTTGCACTCTTCCAATGACTTTCTGGGCTTCTTTAGAGCTGTGTGCAAACATACGATCATGGCAAATAAATTTTTCTTCAATTGTAAAAATTTTCTCATCACTAAACAAAATCCTAAACAAAGACCATTGGTTTAACGGCCAAGGAGAACTTTGCATTTTCTTTAAAGAAGTGGTTAGCCTTTGTCCTATCATTAATTGAAATGCACCCATCCTAAGGTCACTTTTTATTATGCGATACATTGATCTGACAGAGATTCCCATTTCCCGATTAGTTGCTTTCGAATGGGATTTTTTCTGATTTGAGCTGCCACTGCTCTCACTGTGCTGTGCTGACTGGTAAATTCCCAGGGGGTATACCGAAGGAAAGCTAAGAGGATTGTGTTAAGGCTGATCTGGCAGCATTGGGTTTCGACGGTGATTGGTGATATCGACATCGGATCTTCGGGTTCACTAAGTATTTTTATTATTCTTATAATCTTAATAAACACATTTGATATAAATATCTTTGAAAAATTTTAGGTATGTATATTTAATGAATTAATAAAGGTATAAAGTGGAAATATGCAGGTACAAAAGGGAAAAATGGTTAACATTGAATTAAGATATAATGATCTCTAGATAAATTGCACATACACAAATTAAAAATTTCTAAAAATAAAAAAATATACCACAAAACCAAATATTAATAAGCTTTTATAAAGAAAACTGCTATAAAACAAAACATTATTTTTTTGTTTAAAGTAAAATTAACAAAATACTTACAGTAGTGTTCAGTGATAAATATGGTATGGTTTTTAATGTGCTACAGACTATATCCTTTGAAAGCCTTTTTGGGACATTGGAACGTTTCAACTCAGGGTATAAAATTTCCAATCCATCACAATATATTAAGCCAGAATGTTTTTCAAATGACACAGTGATTTCTGGAAAAATATGTTTAAAATATATTAATAATAAAATAGAATGAATCGACAGTATTAAGAGCACATTATTAGAAAAAATACCTTTGTTCAGCTCAAAATTAAGATTATCATAGTCTATTGAAATACGTTGAAGCTTGTAGAATAATTTCAGCTTGGATTTGTCATCTGCTTCCAATATAGAACATAACAACATAATACTGTCCATAAATGTAGTCCACTTGCCATTCCAGAGTATTTTTGCAGAACTTCCTAAAATGGAATGGAACATTAATGTAAATTCATACATATGTATTATTCTATTATGATACAAATATGTACATAGTTTTATAAACTATGTTAAATTTATAATTGACAATTATTCCATTTTGGTAGAATAATGTTCATATCGGTCAAGATTTCTTTAGGGGTATTAGTGTTTCTCCTTAGTGAACAAAGTAGGTAGAGTTTTATTTTAAAAGATCACAAAACACTTTTTCTGTTCAAGAAAAACAAAAACCTAAGTTAGTAATTGGATCATATTGGTAAACTCAGTACTGCCAAGCTACAGGATCTTGGTTATGAGAGATTTTTTTTTTTAATGATATAAGTGAGTATATTTGTAGATCAATGTTCAGGAGTGGAGGAGAGGGGCTTCTTGTGTTCCAATTTGACTAACAAATAATCAAAAGCACTTTCTGGCTTTCAAGTATTATAGGTTAGTTGTAAGTATAAATTTTTTCCTTGAATTAACAAAAGATGAAGTAAAAATTTAAGAAGCCAGAAGAATGTATTTTTTCTAAATATTGGCTATAATGATTTACTAACTGAAAAATCTGGTGCGCACAACACACAAATTTCACTTATTGCTCAACTATGAACAGAAATTTTTTTCTGACCATGTTGGGCTATTATAAAATTTTTTAATTGCATTTGTAACTGAGCTAAAGCTAAAATATTGCAGCTAACAAATCATAAATACTATTAAAATAAAAAAAGACCTATTGATTATATCACCGGTTGATTATGGATTCTATGACCTGTTGATTATAGATTTTACCACTATTAGTTATTAAATTGTTATTTTCCATTGCAAAGTTTACTAAAATGGAATTAAGAGATTTGCATTGTCTGTTTTAGACAGGTAAAAAGTTGTCACACTGATTGTAAGTAGATTCTATTGGAATATAGCAAAGGGAAAATTTATCAAATTATTCACTAATTTACTCTTCTATAAGGTTACATAATGATTTTTCGGAATAAACGGATGATAGATACCTAATTACTTAAATATAATATCAGATCTATAATCACTAAACTACAGCAAATGTATTTAAGGTTATAAACATAAGCTTTATACATGCATGAAATCATTTTATATTTTACTTCTTCTTTCACACAAGTACAATGAAATAGTTTTTTTAACAATGGCATTGTCTTGGTTAGGTGGATTTTAAGTACTTTTTTCAAACTTAAAATTATATTAAAAGTTTACATTTAGTTAGTAAATTTCATCTAATTTCTTTGAAAACATGTGATTAATTACGATAAATATTATTAGTTTTCAAAAATTATTATTTATAATTTTTTCGCTACTCTCCGTTACTTTCTACAACTTTCTATATTAGATATTGATTCTGTATTAGATATTGATTTTTCTAAAATTCTCCGCTTTCCAAAGGTATATTATAGGTATACCTTCTGACTAGTATTTCCGGATTTTTTACTTCATTTTCGACTGGATTAGCATTTTTATTTTTTTTCTTCTTTATTCAATTATCAAATTCTTTCAAAAGTTATAGTTAGTATTTTTTCATAACTTTTAATAATGAGAGATAGTTAATTATTTGAAATGAACCATATTAAAGGTACTTTAAAGGAAGACGTATATGAACATTGGGCATTTAAGCCCTGTGAAGTGACATCAACGGGGATGTCACTAAATGACCTAAATGATATTAAATACCACTTAATTATACAATGATGCACCGAGTTTAATCTAAATAGAGCCGTTTTTGATAAAATTGTGAAAATGTGTTTCAGCATTAATATAAAGTTGCACTTCCGGTTAGCCGATTTTAAGGAAAAAGTTGCTAGGACATCTAAGGCATATAACTGTCATTCATTTTTAAAATACGTAATACACACAGACTATTTTTCGGGACTTGGTTGGAGGACTCAGGATACCTCAAAACGTGTATTTCCGTTGAAAACTCAGACTCAAAAATTTTCATGATCGCAATAATTACCCTTACTATATATTACATATATAGGTATGTGAAAGTAATAAAATATATTAATAGATTTATTACACAATTATTGTTTTTAACATTTTACCTTTATCAGACACTGTCAATGACTGGATAAGTTGACAAGATGTTCCGATTTCTACTCCTTTGCTAGAAAGGTAACTGTAAATTTCATCTTTGGAAACAATGGTGCCATCCACAGAAAGTTGTCTGTTTGTTGGCATATTTTTAATCCAACGCATTTTTCCTCCATGTGATACTTCCACTGAATCTTGACATAATTCCCAATCACCACATCCGTTTTGCAGGCAAAGATATAATTGGCAAACACCTGAATATCATAATCAATTTATATTAATAAATTTTACTAATCAATTTAGTTTTTTTTTAAACAAATTCAAAAACAAAAAAAATCTGTTTCTGTTTATTTTTTTTAGTATTCTACTTTTTTCATATTTTATTCTATTTTGTTTTTATATAATTATTTTCTTCCACAAGTTATGATGATTACTCATTATTACATTAAATTAATATATAATCTTTGTTTATGTTTTTACAACAGAGGGCAGTTCCACTATTGGGTCATATTAGAAACATATAAATGTTGAATCTTATAATATAATTGGTTTGAATTCTTAGGTTATGATTAATATTTTTATTACTAATGATAATATTTATTTATTTTTGTTTAAATTTTATGTTGTATGTGCACTTATTCATTTTTTAAAATTGTCATTATTGTACAATTTGTCATTAGAAAATATAAAATAGGTTAGGAAGGGAGAGAAAAAAATGTAAAAGTAGTTAAAATGTATAAGGGGAGAAAAGAGAGAGGGAAGAGAAAAAAATGTAAATCAAATGTCAAGAAAGAGAAAGAAAGAAAAATAATTGACAAAGAAAAAAAATGCATAAAAAAAGGTTTATTACACTCACATGAAATGATATTGTTGTATATTTGTTTTAAAGATTGCCCATTATATTGATTAATAAGTATGCGGAGTATGAAGCAACCTAATATAATTGAGCAGCATCCCTTTATGAAAATGAAGTGTTTCTCCCTCTATCTCTTTCTTTTTAAAATGGATTTACGTATTATAACAAGATACAATGCTAGTTTTAAAAGTGATAATTTTATTTATATCATGAAAATCATTTTTAATAGAACATGGCAGAGATGACCCAGCTCATTAGCTAACTAGGACTTCATTAAGTCCTATGCAGTAATTAAGAAATCAATATAATTATTATTATTTCATTTTTGTTTTATAAAATTACATAGAGATTTAAGGTTTATTTTACTAAAATAAAATGTTCCATTTAAAATTGTAGCTGGGATATTTTTTATCTTGACTAAGAGGAAGCCTAGGATAAAATGAAGCAAAATATAGAAACAGAGGGTCTGATATAACTAACTTTTCTCTAATTTTCTTTTTATAAATCTCAATTTTAAACTGACAAGTGAAAATATAACAAATTACTAACCATCAGTTACATTTGGATTGCATAACACTTTAAAATCTTCTATAACAATTGGCTCCTTAGTTTCATTCAGAGATTTATAATGATCTATTACTAAATCCTGAAATAAATTAAATTGAGATAATTATAATATTACTTAACAGGGTATCTATTTTCAAAATGAATTCAAGGTAAAAATTACTTGAAGCTTAAAAAATTCTAAACACATGAAAAATTACTTTATTATTTTTTATTTATTAATTGTATCAATGAGATATGTTTTTTATTAAAGTAAATAATCTGTAAAATTGAAGGAAAGGGCACAATTTTTTAAATTTTGCTTATATCTCAAAAATGGTGCAATACAGTGAAATTTTTTTTTGTATAATAAATGAAACTTTTTATTGTATAAGTCTTTTCCAATTCTCAACCGTTTTTGAGCTACATGCTCGGAAAAAATTTAATTTAAAAAAAAAAATCATTTTACCTCACATTTTTTCATCAAATATTCCTTCATATCACCAAAGCTATTCATCAGTGAAAGAAATTCATTTAAAAGAAATTGTAGAGACTTAAAATTCCTTATTGGAATACAAATATATATGCAAATTAATCTCTTACCAGTCTACAGTTATAATTGTATTAGATATAATATTAAAATATGCAGATTGGTTTATATACATATATATATATATATATATATATATATATATATATATATATATATATATATATATATATATATATATATATATTCTAAAGGGGAGTTCAATTTTTAATTAATTCCTTTCTCAGGTGAATATTTTAGACAATATGAAGGAATGTTTGATGAAAAATGTGAGGTAAAATGATTTTTTTTTTATTCTTTTAAAATGTCAACTTTTTCCAAGCGTGTTGCTCAAAAACGGTTGAGAATCTGGAAAAACCAGTTGAGTAAAAGTTTTATATAATTTTATAAACTTTCATTTATTATTAGAAAATTTTCTCCTGCGACGTACCATTTTTGATTTATAAGCAGAAGACTGAAAATTGTGACCTCTCCTCCAAAAAAGAAGTGATTGGTCATTAAAAATACCAACATGCAAGTAAAAATACCAAATTTTAGTCAATTCTAACGATTACTTTCAGAATTATGGACATTTAAATTTTTGAAGTTGCAAAGACATTCTGGGATATGTACCTATTTGGTTTTCATTTGTAAAACCAACATTTATTGACCAAGAGCTTTCAAAATTTATTCGTTTGTCATAAATTTAATACAGAATCTGCTGATGCCATAATTTTATAATATAATAATAGTTTATAATAATAATGAAAAGTTTATAGTAATAATATTATAATATTTCTTCATGCATAAAAAAATTCTTAAATATAAATTTTCAAAGTTGCCATAAACATATCTATAACTACCTGTAGCTATAATCTCCCTCCAAATATTCCAATACAACCATATATTAATGAAAACAGCACCTAATTCTCTACCAAATGCAAAAATATAATTAGTGTACTTTTGAGTTTGAAGAGTTTTATTACACTTTAAACCCAATACAGTAAATTTTGATTAACAGTTCCAAATAAAATTGCTTAAATATTTCTCCAAATATCCTATATATCGCTGAAAAGACCATTAAATTTACTATCAGATTATGAAATAATATTTGCAGAATTTTGAGTTATTAGAGATTTATTATTACATAAAGCAAATAAGTTTTTGTGTGATGCAGAAATGGTGTGCTAATTGATTTAAAAAAATATCTTTAGATAAAATCTCTCTCTGAAAACGCCAATACAACCATATATTAATGAAAACAGGATAAAATTCTGTATCAAATGAAAACATAATATTAGTAGGATTTTGAGTTTAAAGAGTTATATTACTTGAAACAGCATGCAATACTCTTCCAAATGAGAAAATAACATTGGAGACGGGTATTGAGTGTAATAAGATTTATTACAACATACACACATTTAAAAAAATCTGTGTATTGCGGTATCAGTATGGTCAACAAAATAATGTTTGTATTTATTAAATTGAAGAGTGAGTAACTCCTTATGTGTTTAGAGGTAGAGGTCAAAATATATTAAAATTAGATAATGAAGTGATTTTCACCAGTAATCGCATGAAGTGACGAGTTTTATCAACAATCCTATTTCATTTCTATCATTCCTTTAGTCTTATATTAGTCTTACCACAGCTGGCTCTGGTCAAGTTAACATCAATCGTTTTATTCTATAGGTTTAGTAATCTTAAAGATTGCTTATTATTTTCACTCTCAAATTAATTATAGCGTACTTTTAGTGTATATCCAAACAGTTTATTGTTTTATAATAACCGTAGAAGGTATGGCATGTAGAAGTGAGTATAAGATATTATATTCATAGAATAAAACAACTGATGTTAACTTGACCAGACTAACATAAGACTAAAATAGCTCCTTCCAATGTTATTTTATCTTTTAGAAGAGTACTGCATGCTATTTTAAGTAATGTATTTGGAGAGAGATTACAACAATTTTTACTTGTATATGGAACTGATAAATTAAATTTTAATGTATTAGATTTAAATTGTAATATAACTTTTCATCTCGAACTTCCACTAATATTATTTTTTCATTTGATAGAGAATTTCATTCTGTTTTCATTAATATATGGTTGTATTTGTGTATTTGGAGAGAGATTTTAACAAGAGGTATTTTTTGTATTGATTACCCCATTTCCGCATCACGCAAAAACTTATTTAATTTATATTATAATAAATCTCTTATAACTCAAAATTCCACAAATATTATTTCATAATCTGATAGTAAATTTAATGTTTTTTCCATCAATATATGGTTTTATTAGAATATTTTGAGATATATTTAAGCAATTTTTACTTGACAAATGAATACATTTTGAAAGCTCTTTGTCAATAAATGTTGGTTTTATAAATGAAAACCAAACGTGTACATACTGGTTTTGAGTCCAGAATCTTCCAATAATAATCCAAGCCTCCACATCATCGATCCATCTCGGTCTAGGCCTTCCTCTCCTTCTTTTGCCTCCTGGTTTATAATATAATAATCTTTTCAGGTATGTATTTTCACTCATCCTTTCTACCTACCTTGGTGTTTTTCCTTATTTATCTTAAGACCCAATTTTTTTTCCAGCATCTTCAAACTCCTGTAAATCTCTTGATAGAGCAGCTTTAAGTCTTGATGATATTATCACATCATCAGCATATGCCAAGTGTTGTGTAAGTCTATTAAAAGTACGAAAGTGTTGAGATCTAATGGCTATCAATGTCTCCCAGCGGGATACGGTATGCTGATAACCGTAGCCCAGGAAAACCCAAGAAATGGCTCCAGTCCTAAAGATGTGGTAACAAGTCTTACTCACACTTCCTTGTAGTGACCGCTGGGTAATGCATACCACAGTAGACATTGGCTAACGCAAGAGGGCACAGGCGAGCTTCTGGCGCCTTAAAACTGGAACCTTCGACTAGGGGAGGAAGCTCCAACAGAAAATCTCAGTGCTACAGGTTGGGGTTTGGGCACTACCCTGTTCTATAAAAACCCAACAAGTTTTCAAGAAATCACAAAAAGCGACAGAAAGGAGTGGATTCCATGGAAAATGATATAGGCGTGGACAGGGACAAATAAATTTAGCAGCTTGGAATGTCAGGAGCTTGTTCCAACCTAGAGCCGGAAGAGAATTAGAAACAGAAATATAAAATAGATATACTAGCACGGAAAGAAATCCAATGGAGAGACACAGTGCTCTCCAAGATGAAGTACTACACAATTGTTAATAGCAGCAATAGGCAGAACATTATGGCCATAGGTTTTGCTGTAAGAAACTCCCTCCTGCACTCTGTTATCAAATACATAATAATAAAAGAAATTAAAAAAAAACTAAATAATTACAAAACATAAAATAATATGGCTCACCAAGTAAATTGAAGGTGGAATGTAGGGTTGGCCATTTACAGTACATTCTTTGAGGTACGAGTACTTTTCACTAGTAAATTCAATATTGATGTTCTTTGAATAAGCTATGCTCTGTAAAATAAACAAAACAACTAAAGTAAAAAAAAAAGATGCGAAACAAACTGAACACCATTTTTTACTTATTTCTGTTTTATTAACTTAGTTCCATTTTAACAGTTTTTGTGTAACTTTTTAGGAAAAATATTGTTAAAATAAAAGTTGTAAGACAATTTTTCTGTAATAAATTTCCAGGTTTATAATAAAGGTTTATCTTCTTAAACTTAAAAGAGGTTCCGTTTAATGAAAAATAAACAGTAATTAGGCTTGGATCAGTTATTATTTGTCTTAAATGATTTACCCATGATTTTAATGTGTCCTTTGTTTGAGTTGCAATGACTAAAAGTCATTCTTTAGATCGGCTTTTTACAGAATCAATAGAGAACTTTTAAATAAAAGCTTTTAAAAATAAAGGTTCTATAAAATCTTACATAAAATGTTGCTAGGGGAAAATTTCTATTCACAAAAGAACTGAAAAACTATCGATAATAAAAGTTTCAGTGATACAGAAACTTTCAAAAATAAAAGTTTTTTTCTGTTTCAAGCCCTGATTAAAAGTGTTTGTCTTCTATGATCAGATCTTTGCAAACAACAGTAGGTTGGTAAACAAATTCGCCAGTTACAATCAGTAAATATTTTAACTTGAATATTTACTTACAGGTGCTAATGTGTTGCTCACAGCAAGACCGTAATTCCAAAAAATGAAAGGCTCAAAAGATGCAGTCCCGCGAGAAACAGGAAATTCAACAGGTGGATATAACTTATCAATCTCCAAAACAACTCCTTCTAGATATAACCTTAAAATAAAAACTATGTTATTTATGTTTTTCTTCACATGAAAATACTTAAAGTACAGTAAGATAATTTTACTATCTAAAATTTAATCAATAGCAATCAAGTAAATAAGAACAGTAAATAATGAATCATTAATTGAAGTGTATATCATTATATTGATATTTTTACAGGTAGATCCATTGTTCATTGTCTGATAGATCTATTTTACATGTAAGTTTTAAAAGTGTTAATGATTTTTAAATAAACATATTTATTTAAAATATATGCTAACTTTCCAAGGGCAGACAGCAGGTAAATTACACCATCTGGTTGTGCTCGATGTGTTAGAGGAACATGTATTGCATCTGGCATAGATTTTTTTATTATAGCTTGTAACAATCCATGAGGAGCTATTTCAACCACAATAGCATCCTTTGGCACATATTCTGAAGCTTCTTCAAATAAGACACTACCAAGAAGGTTATTTGTGTGATATTCTGCTGAACTGTACATTGCTGCTTCAGTTTCCCAATCTTTTTTGGGAACCGAAGTAGATATCCATTTTGATGACCTCTTCTTAGGCTCAGGTATGACCTAAATAATCAAAAATGCATATTAGCAAGACATTAAGAGCAGGATTTATAAAATTCTAAGTACAAAAGAATTAATACTAACATGAGTAAAAATAAAAAATAAACTAAGATGCTTTTCAGACTTATTATTTCATTTCTTAATTAAAAAAAAAAAAAAAAAAATCTGATCACATATCTTCCAATTAATATGGTAATAAGATAAAATTACTGTCCTTGAGATTCACGAAACAAAGAATTATCAATTGCTAGCATCATGAAAATAATCTTGAACCAACACTCTAAGACCATTGAATGTTTTAAAAGCTCAAAAAAAAACATGAATTAAAAAATCCATTAATGTAGACCTTCATTACAAAGGAGACAAAAAATCTAGAGGTACAACCAAGGCTAGTCTAACAAGAATGGAAGGTGAGGTTCATTCCACAGGTCATCTATGAAATAAAGTTCATCCCATCCAAACCAGATTAAATACCCTGCCGCTAAAATGTTATAGCATGCAACACCTCCCATCGCTATCACTATCTCAAAATAATGATAAATAGGTGTAATAAAAATTAAAATATATATGAGCTGTTCCATACCTTTTTCAAACTTTCCAGAAGAGATGGAGCAGCCGGTTGAATATATCTGCTGTGGTAGGCTATATTAGAAGCATTCACCAACTTAGCAAATACTCCTTTTTCTTTAATAGAAGAAACATATTCCTCCATTAATGAAGTAGGTCCAGACAAAGTGCAACTTATTGCTGAATTTCGACAGGCCACATCAATTCCTTCAGGTAAACAATCTTTTATATCATTATAGCCCATACCTGAAACAATACATATTTACGTAAAACATAAAATAACTTAAATATCATTCAGGCCTTTGAGAAATGGTTCATTAGCTTATTTTTTATTCCAATGCTTTTCAGATAAAATTTTTTATTAATAATCTTCAGAACTATTGCTTACCAACAGCAGCCATCATTCCAGGAATCAGCTCTGCGTCCAGTGAGGCCTTTCCACGAGCATAAGCTGCCAAAATCATTTGTTCTGCAGTGAAACATCCATCAGCATATGCACATCCTAATTCTCCAACTGAATGTCCTAAAATTCCATCAGGTACTAATCCAATTTCATTTAATATGTCTACCAGACCAATCTAAATGAAACAGATCTATGGTTAGGAAGAATATTGATTAGATGAATATTTATTACTAATTAAAATTTATATCAAGAATAAATATATAATTTTCAAATAATACTGCTGATTAGCCATTTATTCAATTTAGGAGTATGTATGATATGATGTGAATCAATGAGAAGTATTTACATACTCATATGTATATGTATACATTTATATTGTAATATAAACCTTAATTGAAAGTTGTTAAAAATGATTGATTAAATTAATGAAACAGTTAAAAAGCAATCTAATCTAGTTTCTGTAGTTCAGGGAAAAGAAAATAGCTGCTCTGTAATTTCTCCAGGAAGGAAAATCCCAAAGAGGAGAGGGAACAGACAAAGGATTTTGTTTTGGCTAACAATTGGTGTTTGGCTGGGGTGAAGAGAGAATAGAAGGGATCGTGGCTCTAGTGGGTAAAACCCAGTAATAGTATTACCATCTTTGAAGTTGTTGTTTGACAGAGTCACTAGTTATTTGGAATTACAAGAGAGAGGACCTCCCAGGGAGCTTGAGTTGAGTAGAAGAAAGTATTAACATTTTGGAAGTTGTGTTTTGGCAGAAAATTGGAAAGCATTTGAAGACAAATGAATTTAGTGCAACAAAGGAAGAAACAGTATCAATAGAAAAAAGATTAGCCAATTCATACTTGACTTTATTTTAAAATCAGTGTTTAATTTTAGTATAAATAGTGTAAATAATAATAGTTTGTCTGAGGGTTTTGATCTGAATTGAAAATCAACACACATATGTAACTACCCAATTTTAATAAGAATTTCAACTATTCCATCAGGCTTTTCTGATCGATTTTCACACTTCTACTCAATTTACTGCTCATTCCTTTTCATACCTTTATAAGACGATAGTGTGTCCAGTCTTGCTGTATGGTTGTGAGACTTGGACTACTTCCCGGGCTTGTGAACAGGAACTCCTAGTCTTTGAAAGAAGAATCCTCAGACACATATATGGTGGTTTTCTCATCGGAGGAGAGTGGAAAAGGAGGAAAAACCAGGAGCTGTACATCATGTTTAAGGAGTCCGATATAGTTCGAGTGATGAAAATTGCAAGACTGAGATGGGCAGGACACGTCGTTAGGATGGGCAGCAAGGATCCATCAAGACAATTACTGATGGAGCCACTCCATGGTACCAGGAGAAGAGGAAGACCAAAGCTGTGATGGTGATGGTGTTGTTGCTGATGCAACAAATATGCTGAGGCTTTGGAATTGGATGGCGGCTGCAGGGGACCGAGACAATTGGTGGAAGCTGCTGGAGGATTCGACACTGGATTGTAGAGCTACACTAATAATAATAACCAATTTACCCAAATATTTTAAAAAATCAGTTTTTTTCATAAATAAAATGTATGTTAGCATTGGGTTTATTATAATACATCCCATATCATGGTAAAACGATGAATAAAAACTTTGCAACAGTTAATTTTAGGAATTTTTGCTGAAAACATGGGTAATTTCATTTGACAGAATAAAAAATATCTTCATTTTTTTTTAACAACCTGAGCACAATCTCAATTTTTTTCTTTATAAACCTTAACTTAATTAATACAGATTTAAAGCTTATCCAACAAAGAATTTTTTTAAATGTGGGGTGTCTGTAGTACAGTTGGATGATAAAAAAAAAAAATTGTGAATAATTTATGATTTTTCTAGAAACAGAACTTAGCTTATAGTTTAGCTGCTCAAAAGTGATCTTTAAATGGTTTTAACATTAATAAACTCTATTTTCTTTTAAAGTAAAATTTATCTAGTTTATAATGAAGCAAATCTTAATTACTTAAATTAAATATTTCTTTAGTTATTGCTTTTGATTCAACAAAAAACACGAATCACTTAAAAAAAACACAAAACTTGGATTTGCTACTTTTCTGCTGAAAATTGGTCCATTGATTGTATGAACTTTTTTGTTGCTATTGAGGTCTGTGATTGCTCCTATAAAAATTTCTCTCGTTATAAAAAGGGACGTTACTGGAACAATTTGTTTTGGAGGGAGGAAGGAGGAGAGGAAAAACTAACTGAATTTCCCAAACAATTTGCAATATAATTCCACAATTTCTCTAGTTGAAATAAAATTTCATGATAATGAAATACTTTAATTTTCTCAACTATTTGGATTGAATTTTATTTACATGTTGGTACTGTTAACATTTTACAACAATAACTTTCTTTTCTATTCAGAACATGACCTGGTATCTTACTGTAACTTTAGTAGTATTGGTTTTATATTTTAGTAAGTCTTTGAGTAAAATGTTTTATTGCAATTTTAGTGCTTACAAGAGACAGTTGGAAATATTTTCAACAAGATGTCCATCATAATAAATTTTGGTACTATATTAAACTATAATAAATAATGAATACTCTGTTTCATTTGAAAATGTTAAGAAATTATTTGTGATCATACAAACAAAACATATTTAGTTTACTTACTTGAACTGCAGCAATTCCCACAAATGAATTTAATATATTGTCAAAAACTGATGGATCAGTAGTTGTTATTACATCAATGAGGTTTATGCCCAATGGTTTGAGTATTTCATGGCATTTATGAATTGCATTGGCAAAGATGGGAATTTCCATAAGTTTTGCACCCATACCAGTCCATTGAGAACCCATTCCAGAAAATACATACCAAATAGGTCTTTTATGCATGTTATATTCCTGTAATAAAAAAAATAAATTATCCTGGAAAATTGAAGATTAAAAAAATTGTTCTAGATAATATAATATAGTAAAAACATTTATAGATTTGCATGCCAAATTATTTGAATACCGAAATTGGGACTGAGTTTGGGGCTCTTTTTTAGGTTTTTATGATAAATATAAATAATGTTTATTTAGAGTTATTAAAGTTGTTATTTCTTGGCTAATGGACCTCTAGATTCCATCCTTAATTTAATTTTGTGGCTGTAGCTTTTTTCCAACCATCTTTTATTTAATAACAAAGTGCTTAGTATAGATTTATTACAAAAAATTTGAAAATAATTTAAGAAGAATAATAATTTTTAAGATATAAAAATTGTTATAATAATTTTTATTTATAGTAAAAATATAAACATTATGAAACTCATTGTGAATTAGAAAATAAAATAAATAAACAATTACTGGTTTTTCAAAAGCTTTCATTTTAAACTAAATGTTTAGATTAAATATTTTAAAGATGGATTTTTGTTGATTCTTTTTTAATTATCTAGGATGGTATAATTATCAGAATTTTCAGTCAAATATTTTAATTTTTATTTATTTCATATATTAATAATAATATTCTTTTCGACTAAAAGTACTGATTAAAAACAATCCTAAATAATAAAAATCTTATTTTTTATTTAGTCTACTTTGCACTTAATTATTTTAAATAAGATTTTATCCAGGATGTGCTTTCTCCTCTCCCACCAATCCCTAAGGTGGATGATGTATTTAAAAAAATATTTTAGTGGAAGAAGCCTATAAATAAAAAAAAGAAAGCAAAAGAAGTAAGTAATAAGAAATAAAAAGATTCAAATAATGAGAAAAATCATTAACCCATTTATTTTCCCTTACCTTAATCAAATCGTTACATCTTGACAATTAGCAATAATTATTTATGAATATTAAGTTCATTAGAAATTATACATAACTAACTTCTGATAATACATTAATAAAAGATAGTAATTAGTTTGTACTTAATACCATTAATATAATCTTTATGCCTAAAATAATCATGAACACCTTTGTAATCAAGAAAACTATGGATTATATTATATTATTTAAATAATAGGTCTAATGAGAAAACTTAAATATCGAGTATACCTTCATTTCATTAATTACTTCGCCTTTGTCATTCAATATTGTGTAACAACGAAATGGATGTGGTCTAATTACATTTCGAAACAATCTGTGACCCAATGCTATAAATTCTTCATCAATAGGCATCTCTTGTACCTGAGCAATTAAAAATAAAGTGTATAAATATTTCGTATTATTACAAGAATGTTGGATAACCTATAAACAATACATATTTATATAACATGATAAATTTATTTTATATAAAAGGTCTTGTTGTAAGTAATATAAGTAAAGTGGAGTGAGATAAGTACTTTGGTTCGTGACCACCCACCAAGTGAAAACCATGCAACCTAAGATTTTCCACCCCCTCAGCTATGTGAGATTCGTCAACTTTCTGGAGGCAACTCCCACATTACCATAAAGATGATCCTAATATAACAAAGAAGACTCTACCCTGTATATCTTAATTGTTGCAATTACAGATGTGTTTTCCAGAATATCAGTAACTGTTCGGAGGTTTAATCTTTGGACGATCAGTTCCAAGGAAAGAAATATAGGTCGCAGTGACCCTGAAAAATCATAATCCATGGATCTATAACTATTTGTCACTGTCCTTAGACTAAAGTAAGGAGGTGGGTAGGACTCTGTCAAGTTTATTTTACAAATCTTTGAACAACAATAAAATAAATAAATGAAAAAATAAAATTTCAGGTTAATCAAATTATAATCACATACTGTTTTTAAAATATGTTTAATGCCTTCTTCGTTTCTAGCTGAAGCAACGAAAAGTCTGGGGAGACCATCCGGCAAAACTCCTACTTTGGGTTCCCTTTTTTTGGCTTTTGGATTCCTTTTAATAATAACATGAGACATTGATCCATATGCTGAATATGTGTTAACTCCAATAACATCTCCCTCCAGTTTGGTAGGCTCTGTAACCACCTAGTTAAAAGAATTCCAGCGTTAGGAGAAAAAAATCAATTAATTTAATTAGAAAAGTAATTAAAAAAAGATAACAGGTAAATATTTTGAATAATATACCTTCATCGCTCCACTCTTGAGAGCTGGGACATCATTATTAGATGTTGAATAGTGCAGGTTTGGAGGTATGACTCCTTTGTCAAAAGTATACAATGCCTTAACTAGAGCTACACCACCAGCTGCGTCTTCACAGTGGCCCACATTAGATTTGATTGATCCAATTAGTAGAGGTTTATCTCTTCCTTTCAGCAAGACATTTGATATTTTGTTCAGTTCAACTTTATCCCAATACTATCAAAAATACAAGTAAACATTACTTATTATTATCATTAAAATAAAATAAAATAAAATTAATTTTAATATATGCTATGCGGATTTTGTCTAACTTAGTACCTTATGAGTTGTGAAAATATCATACTAACATAAATTAAATAAAAAAAAAAAATTAAGCATGGTATTGATATGCCAGTACTTGATTTATTAAATACAACCACTGATTGATAAATATTACGTGGCTGTTGCACCCAATGCATTTTCAGTATGTTAATGCAAGTCTTATTGTGTTTAAACATAAACATAATTTTTTTTTATTCCACTAATGCATTTTATTTGTATAATCTTAACATAATATTGTTTAAATTGTACTTTTTGAGCATAAATCATAATAATACCATAAGGATTTGATAAGATAATAATGATGTCCCTTAATTTCAAGCAAATAAAATACCTATTCCTGACAAAGTTTTCTTGATATACAGTAAATTAAAAAAAAAATTCACATTGATCATTAATCGGATGAGACCATTAATTCATTTTAATCTAGGCAACTGATAAATAAAAATAAAATTTTATTTGTTCCTATGCATTAGTTATGTACTTAAAACTAACTTTCAGGTGATTATCTTCATACAGAAAAAATATTTTAGGAAATCATTCAGTATTCTTAAGGGATAAGGAGGCCTTTTTATTTGAATATTCCATTATTAACTATTTGCAAAAATGATACCTAATTCTTTTTAAATATAATCCAGTACATTAAACAATACCTCTTCTCATATTTAATTCTTAAAAACAATAAAAGATTGGATGATTGCAAATTTTGATAAATATTTCATGAGTCTATTGTTTTCTATTAACAGCCAACCTCTCCAGCACTGTTTATGGAGTACAGATTTAATAAAATAAGCCATTAAGATCATTCATAAGGTTATGTTAAAGACATATTTTATAACTAAATGCATTATATTATCAACATACTTTCATTGCTTCTCCAGAACATTCTATGTATGACAATTCTTTTACAAGATTTGGAGCTTTATCATAAGACTTTCTTAACACTTTTTCAACATTCTCTGCATCTAAATCGGCAGGGGGAAGATTTTTATTGTAACAATCTCCAATTGTAATGTCTAAGACAGTTCCATAAATTCGTTGGGCATCTTGTTTTCTTTGTACGAAAAATACAACACAACCTTCTGATCTGGTATATCCATCAGCTGTAAATTATTGAAAATATTTTTATTTGTAATTGAAATTATTGTAATATATGAATACCAAACACATTTGTTTAAAACAGCATTAAGTTTAGTAATCAATTAAGTTTCAGAAAAAGAAAACATGTTAAAATTATAATTTTTATGTTATGACAGACTATTTAAAGTTTTTAATTTAGTTCATGTGGAAAAGTAAGCTCTAGTTGGCAAATATAATAAAATAATTTTCATATTCATATAAATCCTAAATTCTCTCTTGGAAAAAACCCACATTAATATGTTTATTTTATAATAATGTAGAGACGGTTGACCGTTGATATAATATGAGAAGGAGTTGATCGGGGGGAGGGAGGGGGAGGGGAGGTGCGGTCAAATTAATACTAAATTAAACAAGTAGAATTATTTAATTTTTGCCGACATTTCGACCCACTTTGCAGGTCTTCATCAGGGCGTAGGATGTAGCACTGCGGGAGGCAGTTGGAACACTGATTCAAAAAAGCAGTGTTTCAACTGCCTCCCGCAGTGCTACATCCTACGCCCTGATGAAGACCTGCAAAGTGGGTCAAAACATCGGCAAAAATTAAATAATTCTACTTGTTTAATTTAGTATTAATTTGACCGCACCCCCCGATCAACTCCTTCTCTTATTTTATAATAGTTTTGAAAAGAGAGGTTATTTATTGATCGTAACATAAGCAGATGTAGTTTTAGAGTTAGGACGAGACTATTCAACTTAAAGCATTAAATGGGTCAAACATCATTAGTATGCAATATAAAAAAAAAATGAAAGAAAAACTGGAAGAATAAATATTAGTATATCATAAACGAATAATATAAATGCTACTATTTTTTATTTCACTGATGGTAATATAAAAGAGCAAAAACTCAATGAGATACATAAATTAAAACTTGAGATATATTCGGAAATTCCAAAAGCATAGACTTTAGTAACTAAAATATTGGTAAGAGAAACCAACCCATCAATGTTTTAAAAATTCAGACATCATCAGGACAGATACAAACCTGCATCACCTAAGTGTAAAAATAATACAATCATTCAAGTTAAGAATATATGTTTGGATATAATGGAGCGATGTACTGTTTCTAGTTAATGTGTCTTTTTAGGGTGTTGATAAGATAGTTGCATTACGCTTTCTTGTATGTGATTTAGACTGTTTCTGCCACAATGAAGCCAAAATTGACAAAACATTGATAGGGTTTGTAGTTTTACCTACGTAGTACAGAGTTTACCTACATTTTAGAGATTCGAGTGTTTGAAATTTTCCTATTATTTCTTAATATTCACTAATCATATTACATAACTTTTTCTTTATCCTCATTTAAAACATAGACAGTAAATAGTTCAACAATGGTCTAAAATCCATTTTTTTTACCTCATACGATTTTTTAAATTTATTAATAACATAGTTAATTAATGACACAAATAACAAAGAGAAAATCATACTATACTATTTGCTAAGTTAATAATAGGACCCTCAAGTGTATCAAGCCTTCTACATTTTCGAGATAATGTTTGAATAAGGAAGGACATATAAGAATTATTTAACGTAGAATACTTTGAATAGGATAAAATTGTCGTACCATCATCAGAGAAACATTTTGTTTTTCCATCATCATTAATACGTCCCATTTGTTGGTAGTGAAAAGAGCATTCATCTAACTTTTCTACATTTGCACAACCAACAATAGCAGCTTCAGCCATGCCACTGGATACAAGTGAATAGGCATATCTTAATCCTTGTAACATTCCATTCCAAGAACCATCAATGTTGTAACTTGGACCTGAATTGTATTTTAAAAACCATTAACTCTATATGTATAAACAAGTTATTCAAAACCATAATTAATACAATAATATTAATATAATCAATAAAAAACCATAATAATTATACTAATTTATATATGTTCATACAATAAAATGACTTATTTACCTTTAAGGTTTAAAGTATGAGACAATCTGTTAGCCATCATACATTGACTTCCTCCAACAATGCTAAAACCATTATTAGCCTTTTCAACAGAGTAAATAAGATCGTATTTTGATGGACCTGATCCAACAGCAACCATGATTTCTTTACCAGATAAATCATAAGGATTTACTCCTGCAATGAAGAAATTAGTATAGCTATACAAATTAATTTTAATATAGTTTGACTTAAAGACCCAGTTTAATCTATGAATTGGATAACCGGAAGTGCCACTTTATATAAATGCTGAAACACATTATTACAATTTTCACAAAAACAGCTTTAACGATTTTGATTAAACTCGTTGTATCATTGGATAATTAAGTGTATCTTTAATATCGTTTAGGTTCTAACCCCGTTGATGTCACTTTACAGGGCTTAAATGCCCAATTTTCATATACATCTTTCTATAAAGTACCTTTAATATGGTTCATTTCAAATAATTAACTATCTGTCAGTATTACGAAAAAATGCTAAATATAACTTTTGAAAGAATTTGATAATTGAATAAAGAAGAAAAAAAAATAAAAATGCTAATCCAGTCGAAAATGAAGTCAAAAATTCGGAAATACTAGTCAGAAGGTATACGTATAAGATACCGTTGGGAAGCGGAGAATTTTAGAAAAAACAATATTTAATGTAGAAAGTTGCAGAAGATGAGAGAGAGAGAGAGTAGTGAAAATTTTTTAAATAATAATTTTTTAAAACAAACAATATTTAACGTATTTAACAACGCATCATCTGCCATTCCATTGGCCCACTGCAATCATGGCTTGCCGATTCTTCTCTTGGAATATATCCTTTCTTCAAGTATTTTATTCGGGATCTTATCATCTTCCATTCTAGCGACATGCCCCGCCCAGCAAAGTCTTCCAATCTTAATAAATCTTACGTCATTTATATTCTTGTACAGGCTAGCTATTTCAGCATTTGTTCTCTGTTCGCCAGACATTATTGGTTAAGATCGGCCCGAAAATTCTCCTTAGGAAGGCCTCTCGAATCTTAGGAGTAGAAGTTCTTGAGTTCGTGAGATTGTCCAGCATTCAGAAGCATAGTTCCTGGATAGGTCTTATGAGCGTTTTGTATAGCTGCACTCCTGTGTTTCGGAAAAGAATTTTATTTTTGAAATGTTTTAGGAGCCCGAAATAGCACTTATTTGCAGCCATCATCCTTCTATTTATTTCTCGCTGCATGTTGTTATATGCGATGATCTGGGATCCTAAATAAATAAATAAATTCATTCACCCGACCAAATGTGCAGTCTCCTATTTTTATCTGGGCTTCCTCCTGATCGATTCCTTGTGGACCTGCTCTCATATATTTCGTTTTTGCTTCATTAACAATCAGGCCTACTCTTTGTGCTGCTTCTTTGAGTGCGAGAAACGCTTTCTTCACGGATATAATAATTTTCCTCATTATATCCAGATCGTCTGAGAAACCAAGAATCTGGGCCGAACTGTTAAATATGGTTCCTTCCATCTATGCACCTGAGCCTCTGACTGCACATTCCAAGGCCGCATTAAATAAGAGACAGGCAATGCTATCACCCTGCCTGAGGCCTTTATTGTTTCCAAATCTCTAGAGAAGACTCCGACCATCATGACAGTACACTGCACTATTTAATATTATGTATTATTCAATAAAAACAGTAAAAAATGTATATTCGGGCAAGAGATAATATTCTCACAAATTCCAAAAGGTATCAATAAAACAGTTTATCTAGTTTTGAGGTTCTAAAAAAAAAAAAAAAATAGATTTAGCCGATGTCACGAAATTTCTCTCATATACTCGTCCAACTAGCCAAGTCAAATCAGCACAAAAAAAACAACAAAAAAAAACCGCTGCAAATTATTTCACAATGGTTTATTATTTTCAAACAATTATACATATAAAGTAACATTACCTTCCTAATTACAAGGAAAAATAAATAAAAGGTGATTCCAATTATTGGAATAAAATTTTTTTTTTAATTATAAGTAATAAGCTAAAAAAAAAACTAGCATTACTTCAGTAACACATTCAAAATTCAAAAACCAAAACAAAGGATATAACCTTTGCAGTAGAACATACAAAAAAAAAACCTAGAGACCATATTTTTGCTCCTAATTGTCCGATTTTAACGAATAATTATTTGTTTTTGTTTTTAGGAAATTCCGTAAACTTTTAAGAAACCATATACAATATACACAAAAAAGTGTATACTTTTTGAGTTATTCGGAATTTCATTTTACCATCCCTCGTAACTTTTTTTCCAGCTTATTTTCGTTGAAAATAATAAACCAAAAATATATTAAAATCGCGATATCTCTACTAATAGTGATTTGATTTCGATGAAACTTCCTTCATTTTTTAGGAAATTTAAATACCATTGAAACATCTTATCACAATATAGACAATAAAAGTGTATAATGTTTGAGATTAATTTTAAAATCCCTCGTAACTTTTTTTGTAGCTTCTTTTCGTTGAAGTATGTTATATAGATAAATTTAAAGGGCGTCGAGAAATTGACTTTAGCGAAGTTTCATTGAAATCGATACATTCGTTTAGGCACTACAGTCTGCAGCAACGAAGGTTTTTCGGCCGCTATTTGAAAATGAAAGGCGGATGGTAATGTCGATGAAGGAGGATCATCCTCGGGTGAGCTCTGATTTTATATCCAAATTTGAAAAAAATCGGGACAGTAGTTTCGGAGAAAATGCGCGGACGGCGGACGGACTAAAAAAATTGTATTCGTTTTTCGAATTCTACGTATCCTGAAACGTGAATCCTCAAATTTTGAGAAGGGGTTAAGTTTTTGAATTTTTTGGCCAATCACAATGGTTCAATATTGAAAATAATAAACCAAAAATGGTCTAGCTTGCAAAACATGACGTAATTCAAATTTCTTTTTTATATTGTTACCTATGCAGTGACTATAAAAAATCCAAGTTTCCGCCCTTGAAAGCGTTGTGGGTTCGCTGCAGTGCTCCAAAAACCATTAACATATTGAACTTTATTTGGTTTACGCTAAATATTTCCTTTTTAAGGAGACATAGATAAAAAAAAAAATGTTTTTTTTTTTTTTTTAGCTGAGACAATCTTAAACAGCTTAAAATTATACAACATTTTTATACAGAATATTTTTTCTAAACCCAACAGGACGCAAACTATCGAGCTTTCAAAATGGGTAAAGTTTTTAGACAATTAAATTACTCTATTAATATTTGTTCGTTATCTAATATTCGGTAAAAATTAAAAGTGTCTGCAAAAATTAATTACAACTTGTTGGTGTATTAATATAAGATGCATTTAAAATTATTAGAACCAGTTATTGTAAATTTTCTGGAATATATGATTTAATTTTAGTGTATAAACGATTGCACGCTATTTAATAGTCTTCAGGAGGTCCGTTAATTATTAATTTTTTGCTTAACCGAACAAAAGTGTTTTCATCTGTCTAGTCTATTGAATAACATAAAACCCCTCTTCTTTCTCCCTATAGCAAGAGTTTTGCTATTTGTTACTCAGTTAATTTTCCATTTACTTGTTTTCTCTTAATATAAGTTCAGCGGTCAAGATTGGCTGCAATAAAAACAACTATCTTATTTGTTTCAATAATTTAGTTAGCTGAAACTAGCTTATTCTGAGAAAACAAAAATGAATGATTATACGTTTTTCTTTGTTTCCATCGGTTAATACTGAGAGCCGGTTAAGCGGGGTTCTACTGTATATATTTTATCGAAAATTTAGTTGTCATTATGTTAGATTAATTATAATTAAATTCTTTGGTACTCAAAAAAGGTCAATATTTGAGTAAAATATTCGGTACTCAGTACTCAGAGTCACTAACGGATTCAGGATTTTTTTTTTGGGGGGTGGGGAGGCTTCAGCCCGAAAGATTTTTTTTTGTAGGTATATAATAATTTATTTTTTTCTTGTAATATAAAAATAAAAACGTTTACTTACCTGAATCACAAATGGCTGTAAATGCAGTTTCCAGAATAACGCAGGTATTAATGTCCATCTTCTCAGCAAGCCTAGTGTGTATTCCGAAGTGTGTGTGGTCGAAACTTTTTTTACCAGGCAGTTTTCCTGAGTATCTTGTTATATTTAAGATACCTAAAATAATAAAATATTTTTGTTTAGCATTCTATTTCCAATGCATGCGATCCGATATAATTATAATCCAAATATTGTAATATTACATAGAAAAATTCAAAGAGAGGAATATTTATCATATTTTTGTCTTATTTCATAGGCCTGATATGTTCAAATTTGTAGTTAATTTTATTTTTATCTAGAAATATTTTGAAAACACTTATTTATTTTTACGGTTTTGTATCGGTATATATAGAACGTAAATATATATTAATTACTAGCCCACTTCCAGGCTTAGAATTTCGATTTAATTTTCCACTAAATGAAGTATTGATAGCATTGCCTAAATATTCCAGATTCCAAAACCGTGTTCCAAGCAATCCACGGGAGGAGAAATTTCTCTTTGCTTAGGTGTATATGTATATATTTAAAAAAGAAAGGGGAATAAAATAATATATATATATATTTACTTTGTTTTTCTTCCGCATCATACGATATCACATTTTGACCTTCAACCAATATCTTCCATAGTTCTTCTGTGTTATTAGCTCCTGGGTATCGCCCTGAGATGCCAGATATCACTACCTCACTCCTCTGATCCATTGCCTAGAAATATACTAATATAATTAGTAAATTAATTTAGCAACAAACACAAAAATAACAAGATGGTTAATTATTAAAATGATTTGTTTTTATGGACTGAATTGATGATATATTACTAGAATTATTTCTAGTAATAATCAGTAAATCACTATAGTTAATAACGACGCAGTTTCTTGACAATAGATTCAGAAAGCTGACTTCCAGCTTTATTATATACGTTAATTAGAGCATATGCCACTTAAGAATCCACACTCTAGGCCTGGGGTAGCTCCCTCGGCAATTTATTACAGTTATAATTTTGAATATTTTAATTACTAGGAATCGCAATACAACGGAATTAATTGTAATGGTGCACGTAATAATGTGTAGCCAGGCCCAACTAGCACATGGGGGAACCACGTAACGAAAGATTAATTTTCAGACCAAATTTGGATTGTCAACAAGAATAGATAGAATGCTAGTTAAGACAATTACAATTAATTTAGATTTGAACAGTTACAAAAAAAAAGAAGTAAATTATACTAACTAATAAACCGTGCACTATTTACATCACAGTACATACTCCCCACGTTTTTAAAGATAAAACACAGTAAAGAAACAGGCACCTTTCCTTGGTAACCATCCCGGATTGGGAGTAGAGCCGGATTTTCTAATCTGGAAAAAAACCCATAGATCTTCACAAGGACCTACTTTTTGCCTACTGGAATATTTTACTTCTTAACATACTCGGAATTCGATGGGCGATCATTATTAATGTGTTGGTCATAAGCCTCGACTATAAATAAAGCCGATACATAAAAAAATTAGCTGTTGGTATTTCATAGCATAATCTCATGGAAGATCTTTGGATACATAAAGGTATACGTAGTATGGAGAGTTATAAAAAAAGAAAGAAAAGGGAGGGGGCGGGTGAATGCTATTGCTCTAGATGCAAGAATCCTATATTGAGTTCGAAAATGGAGACACGCTGCGAATTTTGTACCAATGTCCGTTCCTTTGAAACCGATTGTATATTCATTTAACGATGACGTTAATTTGATTCATTTCCGATGATAGTAATGTGATGTTGAATGTTATTAACATATGCTGATTATTGACGTTGTGAAGTATAACTGTATATATAATATTATCACGAACTTTCCGCTTGTAAATTAGCCATTGTAAATGTAAAACAATATCTATATTCCTTTTAGAATACGTCATGTCATAATTAATGCCATCAGCTATTCTAAATCTCACAGTTCAATCACCAATGTTTAATCAATAGAACAATGGCTCACGCATATCACAGTATGATGTTTGCCGAAGGACTTCGGTGTACAGAAATCTGTTGACAATTTATATTAAAAAAAAGCTTTACCATTATTTACATTATATATGCCTTCTCAAGTTTTATTTCTTCAAGTAAAAAACTTGTTTGAGAAAAATAGTCTAAAAGACTTGAAGATACTGGAAATCCCTCAAAGCAAGACGAACATCAGAACTCAATTTATCAAGGATTATAAAATGTCATGAGAAATATATATTTTTTCTCTATTAAATATTCAATAGAAGCAGAATTTAAATCATATAATAAATTTAATCAAATAATAAAACATGACTGTAAGAAATAAAGTTTTAAAAATTCAACTAAAACTTTTTTATAACCCTCCTTAAATTTTTGGTTTAATTTCAAAATAAAAATTGTTTAAAATACGTTTTAGTCACTATATTCTTTAAAATCTCCAGAATAGAACTAAATTATTTTGGAATTAGTTGAGCCAGTTGATTTAAAGTTTAGTTAATCGTTAAATTCTTCTATAAATTATATTGAACCAATTTTTATTACTACTAATCATGGAAGACGGTTAATTATTTTAAATAGACAAAATCAAAGGTACCTTAGAGGAAGAAATTTTGAAAATAAGGTATTTAAGCTCTGTCTGTCTATTTTAATGAGATTAATGTCAGATTGGTATTGGTAAACATAATCAATACAATTATTATAAAATGAACATTATAATTCAAAAGTATATGTACAATATAAACTAAAAAATATAATTATCTTTGAATTTCAACAATAGAAACACAGGGCTTGGTAATATACTTGCGTACCTATTTATAGGCCTTAGATTAGCCATCTAGTCTACTTTTCCCATTTCCTTAATTGATTTTAGTTTACATATTTTGTTCAATCGTGTACGTTAATTGTTATTGATTTTATTTTTTCATATTTTTGTCCTTCAAAATATCATCGATTTAAATAATTTTTACCATTTTCTCGAAAACGGCTCTAATGATTTTGATTAAATTCATTATATCAGTGTTAAATTAAGTAGTTTTTAATATCAATTAGGTTCTAATCTCATCGATGTTCTCTAGCAGTGCTTAAATGGCTAATTTTCAATATTAGCTTCCTTTAAAGTACCTTTAATTTTTTTTATTTGAAATAATTAACCATTTCACATTAATTTCTAATATCAAAAATAGTTAGATACAAAATACGTAAGAATTAATTTAATAATTATTAATTAAGAATTTAATAATTAACTAAAGAAAAATAAAAGATTTAACGGAGAATAGTTGTCATGCAGAAGCTAAAGGAATTGGAGTGCGCCCGAAAGATCAGAATAGGCTTCCATATGTAAATGAGCTTGTATAAGACAATGTTATGAACATATAGATATGGGTTTTTCATAAATGCTATCACTGGTATTATTTAATATTTAATTGTATTAAATATTAAACTGTATAGATTACAGCGATATAAATATTAAAATTTGTATATATATATATATATATATATATATATATATATCGTATTGAAACAGATAAAAATACCCATAATGAAATATAAATAAATGTAGCGTCTATAATTTTTACTTTCACTTCCATTATGTCTGAAAATACTTATTTCTGTTAAGAAGGGAGTGGTAAGTGAAAGTTGTGTGATGCGCATACTGCACCAGAATTGATTTTTTAAATTTCTAATAAGTGGCTAGCAGCCCTGAAGATTGGCCGACGCCCCGGGGCAATTGCCCCGGCTTTTCCGCCCCAAACCGGCACTGATTAAAATATACAGTTGTAAAAAAAATGGTTAGTGACAAAAAACGTGTATATAATACATTAGACGGCTACGAAAAATATATTGTAATTAATTGTTTGAAATATTTCGTATCGTCTATAAATTTTATTTTCACTGCCCATTGTCTGAAAATACTTATTTCTGTTAAACAAAAGAGGTGATAAGTGAAAGTTGTGTGATGCACGAACCGTATGAAATATTATCCTGAAAAGGAATAACTTCAACCTTGTTAATTGAATATTTATCATTTGTTGTTTTGTTTTTTTTATTTCTTATCATCAATATCTATTTAGTACAGTACTTCAATGCTTTTAACTCCTTAAGTCTGAAGGTCAATCATAAAATTTATAGATAACGAATGAAAACCACCGAAACTAACACGCTTTAGGGCGTTAATTCTTTTAAAAATACAAAGCGATATCATGGCAGAAAGTCTCGAAATTTAGTTTAAAAAAAAATAAATAATTGTAAGCAGCATTTCTTCTTATTTTTGTTTGGAAAACAGATGAAATGTGGTTTTATTAATGATTGCCCGAGGAAATTTAATATTATTTCATAATCAAATGAACTACTATGGAAGAAGAAAGAGAAAAGGATTGTATACAGTCTAGGGAAACTAGATAATACTATCGAAAAATAATCTTTGCATTGGAACACCCCAAAGAACAAGAAGAGGAAGACAAAGAGAGACAAGTAGATCTGTAGGAAATAGCCTAATTAGGGCTGGGAAGTCTTGGCCAGAAGCGAAAATGATAGTAGCAAAAAGCAATGTAAAACACTTGTATATGCACTATATGGTCCGCCAGGAGTCAACGGTGATTATAATAATAATTGGACTACTCAATTTCTTTTTCATGTATTTTTTTTTTTGAACAATTAAAATTTTTGAGGAGAAATTAAAATCTCTGTTTTGGCACCTATTCAATTCACATACAAATTTTCAACCCTCTTACTCAATTTGGAGGGACTGTAGAGGTGTGCAAAAAAGGGTTGCACCTTCCAAAAATAATTAAACGTTCCATTTTAACAGTTTTCTGTAAAAAATTTTTAGCTAAAAAAGGAACTTTTTTTTCCAATAATGTTCTAGATTTACGGTACAAGTTTAACTTTTGTTGTATTTAAGATTTTAAACAAAAGCTAATTTAAATGAGAAATAAACAGTATTTAGAGTTGTGCTTATTTTAGAGTTATAAATTATCTCAAATGAATTACTAGATTCTAATGTATCGTTTATTTGAGTTAGAACTAATCAATTTTAGTCATTTTTGGAGAAATCGACTGAACTTTTAAATTTTTTTTTTTTTCAAATTAAGGATCTGTAAAATGTTTAGTTGCAAGAGAAAAAGTTCCAGTTCAGAAATAACATAAAGAATGGATACTGTTAATTAATTCATTGGTTAAGGGCATTTAAGGATCCAGGAATTAATTTTTAGAGGGCTTTAGCTGGAAAGATTTATATATATATATATATATATATATATATATATATATATATATATATATATGAATAGTTTAAGTAAGAGAGTAGCTGAATATATGTGCTTGTGGACGGTGCTGAGACTGTCGGTGTGTCCCTGGCCTGATCGAAGCTCTATTTTTAAAACTTTGAAGAGGATCCCATCGTTAACTTATAAAAAGAAAAATACCGGGATCGAAACATCAATAAACATAGAGGAAATGAACATTCACTAGTTTATTAAATAATTAATAAGTGACCTTATTCCCAATTAAATGGTTATGTTTAAATTTAATACTCAAAGGTCGATTAAAGAAAAAAGAAAAGTTGTAAATTTTTTCATAAGACTTGGTTATATTTGACCATTTTGGGGGACTTCACCCTGAATGCCTCCCTCCTCCCATAGATCTGTCTGTGGTTAAGGGCAAAAAGCTTGTGTGTGATCTTAGTATTTTGGAAGGACTCGATTTGAAAGGATTGGGGAAGTGTAAAAAATGTTATAAACTGGCAAAACCACAAGGACATATCGTAGCTTTGATTATTCCTTAATTATTCCTACTTCTATTATATTGTTCTACCAAGAAAACATGCACAGCAGGTTTCAGCTCATTTGACACTAAAGGTAAGAAAATGCCGAATCGAATGAGAAATATATGTATCAAACACCCCTAAAACCACTGCAATAGTTGTCGTTCTAATGGTTCCGAAATGATACGAAATGCATACTCCTCCTCTATCTCCTCTCTTGATGATCTTCAATTCAATACAAAAATAAATTAAAGAACTGAACATAAAATTTATTGACCACACTGTCTTAAGCTGGAGATATTAAAAATATAAGCCCTGTATCAGAATAATTATAAATAAGGTTGGTCCTTAAATAGTCATTTTTGAGAGATTTAAGTTATCAATGGCCCTTAGTATTTAATTTAAGGCCATTGATTACTATTCAAATAAAATTCTATAACTAAATTATTATTATTTGAAGGATATCAATATTTTAGTAAATAAAATAAATCATACTTCACCTTATCTCCTCAATGCCTATGTCAAAAGTCCAGTGAGGAGTGAACCACAGCACAATATCAGTTGATACTATAATCACTTTTATAGTCTCATTTACATATACCAGACTGTTTAAAATGCACATATAATTTGTAATGTAAATTTATACAATTTATTTATTAGAATATAATTGAACTATGGCACTATATAGATTATAGTCAAGGTTATAAGTTACAGAAATTCGAATTGTTTCCTAAACCAATCAAAATCAAACTAACAGATTTTGAAATTAAATTAAACCAATCAAAATCTGAATCAACAACACAAAATTTTATTTGATTTACAATTAATTTTCGCTTTCGCTTTCCTCTAAACCTCTTGCTTAGGGATTCATTCTATTAAAACTTCCCTTGAAGATAATTTCTATTAGATCGGATATTCACTAGAAGAAATATTTATAACTTAACTTAATAAAACGTACATTTTTTTTTCAGGCTTATGAGAACACAGGAGAAATTAAACTTTTGGATAGGGAAAAAATATAAGTTTACTGAAGGTAGGTAATTAAGGACCAATGCTGTAGGATTGTCTCATTTTTGTAAACAACTCATAATATGATTTGATATTATTTTCGTAACAAATCCATAGAATTAATCTTGACTTTCCCACTCTTGTTAGTCCGTGGTACAAGACCCATTTTTATCAAATTATTAGCGTCAGTCTAAAACTTCATGAATGGCTTCATCTCATCATAACCAACAAATTTTTCATCGATGAAAATTTTCAGAAATGGAGCATTTTCATTAAATTAATTAATTTAATGAGGTACTAAAAACTCATAAATACCCATTTGCTTTCAACTTGAATCGTAAAATAATTTGATCATAAAATTGATAAATAAAAGGTGGAATACAACAGTATTGAGTTGTTTGGTCCTGCCTCTATAATATAATGCCTATATAACCTCGTTGTTTTGACATGTTGGGGATGGCGGTCACGCTAAATGGCCCAATATTTTTGTAGGCCACCTTTTTTTCTCAACTTTTTGATCAAATTATCTTATGGTTCAAGTGGAAAGCAAAAGGGCGTTCATAAGTTTTTAGTACCTAGTTAAATATACACAGTTTCCCGATCTCCATGTTCTAAAACGTCCTAATTCTAAGAATTTTTGTAATTAAAAAAGTTGTAGATTACAATGAGATGAAGCTGTTTACTTAGTTTTAGGTACATGTTAATAATTTGTTAAAAAGAAGTCATAGGTAGGATTAAACAAAAAAAATATTTGTATTGTATTCCAGGATTAATCCTCAACAATCACTCACTTTCAACATAGGGTTATTGGCCTTATAAAGCATATAATATGCTGTTGCATAAAGAGTATGAAAAGAGGGCCTGTGTTTATAATAGATGTCCATTAATTATAGTGACGATGGAAAAGTAAAAAGGGTAATTAATAATACATTGTTCACAGATGTATCTGAATTTCATAATATGGAAAGTATCTGAAGATATTGCAATATTCCATTAATAATATCTATCAATGAAAAACTTAAAGAGTCAAATGAAGCTCAGAAAAGTGCAATATAAGTTATTAATTTAATAATACAAAGCCTTTAACAGATATGAGCATCTTTTCTTATATAATCTTATTCAGATTATTTTTAGTTTGGTGAATTGTCATTTTATTGAATTATAACAAAACTACTTTAAATACTCTTAAGGTTGATTTTAGAATTATTCTCTGAGAGGCTTCAACCATTAAGGATGTGCATACATTTAAGACTTTAACATGTTAATAAACCTAAACCAAAGGAACTCAACCTTTTTTGGTTGATATCAACCTTTAAACATCCATAATGCTGTTTCTAATTTATAATATACAGACAAAATACTAACTTAAATAATTGATATAATACTGGAGATGCAAATCTAACTTAAAATCTTTTTTGTGTACCTTTTGTTGTATCCTTTATAATACCTCATTTAACTCCATGACACACTATCATATCTATTACATGAGATTTATTATTATAGTACATAATCTATATGTTTTTTATGTTTTATGTATATGGGGATGATATGACTCTAAGGTTGATCATGCCCCCCAAACATTTCTTCTGTGCCCCACCAGGTTGAGAATTTTTGATCTAACCAAATTAATAGAAGGTTTAGGCTATGGTAATGGAGAATAATTAATAAGTTGGGATATCTGATGCTTAATAGAAAATAAACGCCATTTACCATTAAATTATGTATATATATATATTATTTACACATGATTATAATTAATACTCAACATATTACTATATACATTTCCAGAAAATATAACTCATAATAAAATTAATGAAGAAATAAATACATTGTATTAAAATAAATTTTAACAAGAAACATTTTCATGTTTAGTTTTCAAAACTGTTAATGAAATCTCTATATTACTTTTTTATAATTATATAATCATATTAATTTTATAAAAACATAAACAAATAAAATAATTTATCACACATAAGTTCATATCAGGTATTATTTTTGAACACAAATAAATTGCTGGAAAATGTAGGCACAATAAAAAAGTATTTTGATAGGAGGAGAATACTATTAAAAATTTATTATATTCATAAATACTTCTTTGTTCTAAAAAGTCAATCATTCTCATTTTGGAAAATATATAATAAAATAATGACACTCAACAGAAGCTTAAATTGAAAAAACCAAACATTTTAATAATCCGATAAAAAAAAAGTGAAAATATCAGTACTAACAAAATCCAGTATATATACATGCATTAAATTACAAAGTGTTGACAATAATAAAAATAAAAAAAAATAATAATTTTCATCACTATATAATTAAATTACTTTCATACTTTTAATGAAATACTAATAATTTGTAGTTTAAAGCAAGAAAAAAAGTTTTACAGAACTTTTGGCTATTTTTTAAAAATTTAAATCTTATTTACAGAAAAAAAGTAATACCTACTCGCATGATAGTGATTGGATTATATAAGTATTTCTCAACTTATTTTATAGGCAGTAATAGTTTTGTTGGTCTTTGAATAAAAAGAATTGCCAAATTTTAGTTTATAATTGATGTACATCAATGTGCATGCAACACATTGTGATTTCGGTGTTGATATTGATGCCATTCTATCTATGTGAATTTGATAGACTTTTGGCTAACAGCAATAGATGAAATATTCCTTAACAAATATTTGAGATTCAATCCGAATTAAAAATAATAATAATAAAAATGTTTATAAAATAAAAACTTTATATTATCTTTGAGTTTATACATTTAATATTGTACAATGATTCATTAATAAGTATATAAAATTAATGGAACATGCTCAGATCTAAAAATATTTACATAGTTAAGCAATAAACTTTTATATAATTGTTGTTTTAATTACATTATGTTTGATTGAACAATAACTTGCTCATCGTTTGAAGATTTTAAAATAATTTTGGAAATAGGTAAACAAATCTAAAATAATAAAAAATAAAGAAAAACGGTAACCATTTTATATAAAAAATTAAGAACATGAAAGAAATCATAACAATAATATTTTAACTAAATTAAAATATTTAAAATTTATATTGCCAAGAGTATCCCACTTATATTTGTTATCAGATGTACACAAAATTTTCTATAAAAAATCTTCTTAGATTATAAATAAATGTCTCTCTGTTTTCATTATGTTTTATGTAATAAAAATATAAATTAATAAAAATATAAACAATCACGACTAGCAAATTTAAAAATAAGTTGCAATTTTACCAAATAAACTAATTCATAAAATTTTTAAAATAAAAATAATCAAAGTATATCATATCAGTTCCATCTCATAATATACATAAACTTTTTTTTCATTCTAAAAATAAGATGCTCTATCATAATATTTACAATTTTAAGGCACTTTAATTTTATTTGTTTTAAAATTTTATACAGGAATAAAAATCATCACAGATATCAAATTTTAACATGTTCAACACAACGTATGGTTCCTTTCTCAACAAGATGCCTCTTTAAGTGATTAAAATTAGTTTAACCTTCTGAATTACCAATATCATTGTAAAAATATTTGTTTAGACTACTGCCACTGCCGGCTTACAATATAAAAAAAATGTTTATACCATCAGTCTTGCTTGTCATGTTGAACATGTTAATACATAGTTGCAAACTAGAATATCATCAAGAATGCAGTAATTACATTCATTTTTAAACTTAACAAATCCTACAACTTGCTAATAACCAAGTATACTTCAGCTTTGTTATTTAGTAAATTGTAAGAAATTTTTTTTTTTCAAATTCACTAAGTGTCTTCGCTGATCGTGGATCCCACATCACTATCACCAGATTTCTTAATCCCATTTGGCATTTGGTGATAATGTGTTTTTAATGAACTTCCTGGTCGACTATAATCAAGGTGATCATAAGTTTCCTCTGCAACAACAAAAAATACAGTAACATATAAAAAATGCATATAACATAATCTCTTGAAACTTCTCCTTTAACTGTACCAATTTTAAAAACTCACTATTACCTTGCAATTTCTTTGCATTATCTTTTAATTCTTCATATAAATGATCTTCTTTATCCAATAAATCCTCTTCTGGATTATGATAAACATTTGGATTGGCAAGATCAGCCTCTTTGTTCTTCATAAGAATTGAACCACCTTGAGCACCTATAACAGATTAATAAAAAATAAATAAAATAGATAAAACGATAGAAAGTAATCAAATATGTTAAGTTTCAATATAGCTGAACCTCATCATTTAGCATTTTGTCAAATGACAACACAAATGACGGCAACTTTTGGAAAATTTCCAAGTTTTATAGATATAAACCCTCTTTTTCCATGGAATGGTTGATAGTCGCATTAATTGTTTATTTGTGATTCAACCTCCTTTTCTTAAATATACACGATTTGTTTCTATTTTTCTAAAACTGGAAAGTATTGCTTCACTGCTCTAGCACATATTTTTTATTGTGGATTAAAGAAATTTTTTACAAAAACTGCTATGCGATATTTACCACTCCATGATATCCGGCTGATGCCATTATTTTTATCATTATTTTCAGGTGCTTCAGATGACATCGTCCCAATGTGTTAACTAAATCTATTTATATAATATTAGGAATCTTTGTGGTCTGAACTGGACTACATTTTGCTGTTTATATTTTTTTAAATGGCTGAAACCTATATAACATAATTCTTGCATTCTATTGAAAAGTAAAAGAGTTAAACATGACTTATGTTAAGATCAGGTTGTTTTTGAATATTCCACAAATAATACTGATTTAATAAATTAATAAGTATTTGTACCCAATAAATAACTGGCCAGGATACATACAATATATTTTTTTAAATATAATACATGTTTTGGTAGGAGCTGAAAGGGCAATCAAAGTATCAAACTTTTTTTTTTTTTTTTTTTTATAAAACTTTGTCATTGTCAATGGATTTATTGAATATGAGGTTCAACTATATTTTTCTGAAAACATTCTACACTAAGCATTTATAATAATATTAATACTTTTAAATAAAGAAAAAAAATATTTAAAAAAGAAGAAGAAGCTAACAACACATTAAAACAAACAAAACAAAAACAACAGAAATGCAGATCTCATCATTTTAATAAGTACCTTTCAGAAATCCAGGCTCGACTCTATAAGCATCCAGTTTTTCTTTTTTCAAGTTCGAACTTTTCAAATTATTAATGAACTGATTATTAAGAGGTGATTCTTCATCCCTTATAGTTGATCCAAAAGAATACACTGGGTTATCGAAGTGATTTCGGTCTAAGGAAAAAAAATATATTACATAAGAAAGATGAGTGAATGATAATTAAACAAATGCATTTTGGTTAAATGTTATTTTTAAAAGAAATGTTAAAACATAAACATTTTATTTTATTAATAAAATCATAACCACTTGTTAGTTTATCTACTTTCAATTGAAATATTTTTATTAAAATTACTCATCCTTTCTTATCTAATATTACACCTTGCAGAGATTTATAAATCAATTCCTTAAGAAATAGCACAAACAACCCTCTAAGTTATTCTTATGATAATATTAACTACAATAAATTAATTGAGTTTCAGGCCAATTCGCATTCAATATGTACTGAGAAAATATTGTTGAACAAGAAGATGCTAGAAAATGTATAAATTTAAACCCAAAAATTCAAGATTGTTCTATAAATAAGAAACAATAAGAATATGGTATTCGCATCGAGTCTGAATATGGAACAGCTCTAGAAAAGATAATTTCATGTGTGAATAATGAGTAGCTACCAAACTGAACTGGAAGCTATTCACATTGAAGCTTGGAAAACAATTTCTTTACTTTCTTTGTCAAACGGCATAATACTTTCATGTTCTGTGGACAAATTTTTGCCTATTAGCCAATAATGAAAAGAAAAAATTGATCTTTCCTGTTGCATGAGGAAGTGATTTTGTAAATAAAAAGTAGTCCAACAATTGATACCTGGACACATTGAAGAAACAACTAATGAAAGACCACACTCTGGTAAAGGCTAATTGTAATGTTTATTAGAGAATTATAGAGACATGAACTAATATATGAACATATATTGTAGATCTAAAAATGTTTAAATAGAAGAGAATTTGGCCTGTGCCTATATTAATGCAGAGAAATATATACAATATATACACAGGTTTTTATATATACACAGGCACAAATATATACACAGGCTTTTTCCAAAGAAATAAAAAAAACCTGAATTATTGTTTTTATGTCCTATTTATAAAAGGAGATATTTTTTTTAAATTTATTGATTAGGTTTTACACTTTTGTGTAACCCGATTAAGGTAGGAAGAGTAGGTTGGATTATCCTACTGGTAACTGTCCTAGTCATAACAGCACTCTCAACTCAGATGAATTCAAAACAGTCCTAAACATTGTTATTCACATAGTTAATTATTAATGTAATGCATGTACCTAATATTACAAACCCATAACAATATTCTATTCAAAATTCATGAAAAATGAACTAACACATGAAAACATGAAAAAAAACGTTGAGTTAATAAATATCTCTTGGTTTTAAATTCAAACCATTATATTTATATTGTAAATAAAACATGTATCTATTATTAGTATGTTGTAATAAAAAAGCATGTATGTTAAAATAATTAAATAAGATCCGTAGTTCTGATTTAGAAACAAAATATATATACAAATACATATACACATATATTTGAATAACAATGGTTATTTAAGAATTAATAATAAGACATTGATTTTTTTCTCTTGTCGATTAACATTAACAATTTTGTTAAAATTTTCCCTTCCTGATTTTAATAATGAAAAAAGTTCTAAAAATTGATATAAAATATAAACTTTTTTATACCTGATCCTTCTGGATTCGCAGTGTAATGGATATTACACATTTGAGTTTTGAGGCTTTGGACCCTTCTTCTGTAATACAATACAATTAAAACAAGAATAGCGGCAACCAAAATAGTAAGGAAGGTTCCACCAATGATTGATCCAGCACCACCTGAATTTGCTCGCTCTGTTGGATCAAGGACACTCTTTTCTGTCAAGGGGATGTCACAGTCATCGCCTAAGCAGAATACAATACATATAGAACATTTGAAGAATTTCGAAGGACTTTTTTAAGTTTCTAAAAGTTGTTAGAAATTATGATATAATATTTAAATACCTTATTTCTAATAGCCTATGAGTTATTTCTAATATATTTTTTATTATATAAGATTTATCTTAAACTGGGCACGTAAAAAAAAAAAATAGGTAGTGTAATTTACAGAACTTATCAACACCAAATGTGAAAGGAAAATTTTATTAGATGATTAATTCTTTGGTGATATGGATTATTTTAATATTTCATTTTTTGTATAACATAAAATGCTGCAATCAATTAAGTTTTTTGATTTAATTTTTTTACAGGCTTGAGGTTGAATATGCACAATGATAATAATAGAAAATATGTATTAAAAAATTTAATTAAATTATTTTAGACATGAAAAGTATACATATCAACATCTGCCAAAACATCAAATAAGTTTAAACAATAAATTCATATAGTAAAAATAATGATATTGCATTAAAATAACATATTTAGACAAGTTTGCTCATATCAATTAATGAAAGTCTATTGTTATGCAAATTCATAAATTAAAAAAAAAAAAATGGCCTCAAGCTCATTGCGAATGTCATACTAAGTGTTAAATTTAGTATTCAAAGGATAATAATTGTAAAGTACAATAATCCCTCAATGTTTGCGTGGACTCCATCAACACCAATAAGTGTTGATTATGAGCGAATATGAAATCTAAAAGAATTTCATATTCCCAATTGCAAATTTGACATTCGCAGATAAAAAAGTAGCAGCAAAACCAATTCAAGTAAGTATTCACATAGTGAATATGAAAATTTATTCTTAGGAGTTTTTCACATTTAAATTTACAAATACATACTATGTGTATATGAAAATAATATGTTTTGATTAGAAATAATTTGAAAGGCATCAGCGTTTTTGCAGCACTCGTAAATAAAAGCAACTGAATTTCGTTGTTCATCTATTAACAGTTACCCACCAAAGTTTCAGCCATTTTGGACGCACAGTTTTTATGTAACAGTCGTTTGAGTGAGTTGAAAATGAACAAAATCCAGTATCGAGCTGTCATTAAATATTTGTTTTTGAAAGGCAATACACCTGCACAATTCAAAGATGAGTTGGATTCTGTGTATAGGGACTCTACACCATCATTTACCACAGTGAAATTTTGGGCAGCTGAATTTAAACGTGGCTGTTAGAGCTTGAGAGACGATGACAGGACATCCAAAAACTGCAACTACTGATGAAAACATCGCTAAAGTTCACCAAATGGTGCTAGACGATCACAGAATCAAAGTGAGAGAGATAGCAGAGGTTATGAACATCTTAAAAGAACCTGTTTGTTACATATTACATCAACATTTAGATATGAGAAAGCTGTCCACACGGTGCTGCGTTTGCTCACATTGGACCAAAAATATATTCGAATGAACATTTCCAACCCTCTGTTGACGCAGTTTAGGCACAATCAATCTGAGTTCTGGCGCCGATTAATTACTGTAGATGAAACTTGGATAAACCATTATACGCCCGAAACAAAAATACAGTCCAAACAATGGACTGCGAAGGGGGAACCGGCTCCAAAAAAAGCAAAAACTGTTTTCTCGGCTGGGAAAGTGATGGCGACTGTTTTTTGAGATAAGTCATGGAGTTCTTTTAATCGACTATCTTCAAAAAGGAAAAACCATTACAGGAGCATAGTACGCATCACTACTTGACAAGCTGAAGGCAAAACTTGCGGAAAAACGGCCACATTTGCATAAAAAGAAAATCCTGTTTCACCAAGACAACTCACCGTCTCACACCTCAGCAGTTGCCATGGCGAAAATCCACGAAATACGGTTTGAACTGCTTGACCATCCGCCTTACTAACCAGATTTAGCCCCAAGCGACTTCTTTTTGTTCCCTCATCTAAAAATTGAGCTCGGAGGACATAGATTTTCGTCAAATGAAGAGGCAATCATCTTCATGAACAATTATTTTGCAGAGAAAAACGCTGAGTACTTTTTGGATGGGTTACAGAGATGGGAGTATCACTAGGAAAAGTATGTAGAGTTACAAGAAGACTATGTTGAAAAATTAAAAAAAAAAAAATTGTCTTTTATTTTCGTTAGGTCAGAAACTTTTCAGACCACCCTCGTACTGTACAATAATTTAACTAATTTGATATTTAAAAGTAATAAATGCATTAAGTATTTTATTGTAATGGAATCTGATTAATTAATTTAAATTATAATAATTAATAGGAAATAAAATATCTTATTGTTTTATGAATACCTAAAGTACAGTAACACTCACCAGTAAATCCTCTCTTACATGAACAACCATCAATAGCATGGCAGATAAAATTATCATTTTTACATTGACATAATTTCATGCAGAATTCTCCATAGTAATTATCTGGGCAAACTAGAAAATATAAAAAAAATAAATAAAATGAGTATGAGTACTTTAATGAACATTAATTATTTGATAAATTTATTTTAACAGCTTATGGAAGAGCTTAGAGATTGAAGTTTTTTTTTTAAGCTATAAAATAAACCACAATTATGAGATTAAATGGTAGCAGTTTTTTTTTTTTCTATCAAACTTCTTATTTTAAAGATTATATTTTTGTGCGATGAAATTAGTTCATGTCTAGTAAGCCTGAAATGTGCAAATACTTTTTTAAAAAAAACATACTTACATTAAGAAACCAATGCAAGTGAGGAAACAAAAAAAAAAAGAAAGGTTAGACTTAATATTGCAATGGTACATAAACACTTATGTCAAACATTTGCAAAATGTAGCACCTACACACTACTCGATAATACACATTATTAAACACTTTGGCAAATATCTACCATATGTGTGGTTGTACTTAAATAAAAAATTAATGGGTATTTAAGACTAAAATAAATTTACAATACAAAATAAATATTCACAATATTACTCAATTCTTCTTCGGTGCATACTATTATTTTCAAGTTAATTTATTATTAGCCATATTTACACCAATTTAAAAAAAAAAAAAAAAATTTGTTGTCACTTAATGACTACTCATCAAAATGACGACGTTTCGGCTCGTCGAGCCATTTTCAAGTCTAAAATACCCATCATGTACCTGTCATTTTCACTTATGCGAATTGCAAGCGTCATGTTTCTGAGTCACCCACATGTCATCCATCTCATTTCTATTCAGTCACTGAATAGAAATGAGATGGATGACATGTGGGTGACTCAGAAACATGACGCTTGCAATTCGCATAAGTGAAAATGACAGGTACATGATGGGTATTTTAGACTTGAAAATGGCTCGACGAGCCGAAACGTCGTCATTTTGATGAGTAGTCATTAAGTGACAACAAATTTTTTTTTTTTTTTTTAAATTGGTGTAAATATGGCTAATAATAAATTAACTTGAGAACAAAATAAATAATTGTAATCACACAATAAATAAATAACTGTGTTAGGTTCAGGATTATAGGATCATTAATTGATTAAATTTAATAATAATAAGGCTTAGCGAACCGAAGGTTCGATGCACGACACCACCAATCGGGTTTACACACCTTACCTCCACCGTTCGCCGTCATAACACAGCCGCTTCAGAGGGCTTTAATTGCATTCTATCCCACCTTCGCTTCGGTCTACCCCTTGGAGTTACCATTCGGCACAACAAAATATTAACCTTTTAGAAATTCTCTCGTTACTAAACCACAACATTTACAAGCCCATTTGATTCGTCGCGATGAAATTACCTCAATTATATTAGTCGGAGGCAGCTCACGCATTTCGGCGTTGTGTAAACGCGTCTGGAACTCGTCGGTTAACTCATCCTTCTTCGGTCCGGAATATTATACGCAAATTCTTTATTTTCAAAAAACTGAAGGAAGTTCGCATCCTTTATTGTTAAGCGGGCCAAGTTTGCATCATAAAGAACTGTAGGCAGATAATTGTTGTTTAGATTCTATTTTTTTAAGTTTCGGGACAAGAGGCGCGAAACTAAGTAGATTTGGTCACAGACAAATAACAAGCATTTCCCGCCTTCAGTCTAAACTTATTCTCTTCTTCAATTTTCGTTTTTTCTTGTTATGTTGAAAATAGTTACATAAATTTTCTACCTGTTCAAACATATTACATCTATATCACGATATCACCAGTAGTATCGCCATTGTGCAGCTAACCATTATATTTTGTTTTAGCCACGTTTATTTCGTGTCCTAGTTCTTTACGGCTTTATTAAACGTTTGTCGTATTAGTTTTATAGTTTCAACGTTTCGCGTAACAGTACCAGGATCTTCAGCATAGCCCAGCACGGATGTTGTCCCGCCGAGATCCATACCCTTTCTCGGTTCGCATTAACCTACCCTACATGTGCAAGTGCTAATGCCAATTGAACAGGACAGGCGAAGAGAATCCCCCAGTTTTTTAAGCCCGTACGAAACTCGAATTTTCGGACAAATTATTACCAATTCATTAATTGATTAATTTGTGTTAATTATAATTATAGTATTTATAACGAAAATTGATCCACACTCCTACAAAGAATTTAGATATCATGAAGAATTTTAATGCATAGAAAGGCCTGAAATTAACCTCTATAAAGAAACATCTCTGGTTGACATCGGTAACAGTTAGTATGTCATTAAAAGTGAATTATAAAATGTTTTGTGGCAATTTTGATTTTAGTCTTGAACTACCTACCAATTAAATTATGAGCTAAAACAAATCATATTAAGAAAACAAATATAACACATTAAATAGAATTGTGAAAGATATTGATATTTAAAAATTGAAAATTATGTTAAAATAACTTACTCTGGCGACATTGATGGCCAAACCATCCAGGCTTACAATGACAAACTCCATCAAGAGGTCGACAAGTCCCATTATTTTGACACTTGCATACGTAGGAACAATTTGCTCCATAAGTTCCATTTTGACATGGTTCAGAACATTTTGGCCCTTGCCAGCCAGGGAGACACTGACATTGACCTGAATAAATAGACAATTAAAAAAACAAACAATCAAATAGCAGAAGTGAATGTCCATGAAAATGAATAATCACCAGTAACATGATGACAATCCCCATTTTTGCAATCACAAGACTGCTTACAACCTGGACCATAGGTATCATTTGGGCAAGGGTATTGGCACATAGGTCCAATATAACCTGGCCGGCAAGAAAATTCTCCAGTTACATGATCACAAGACATATTTTTACCTGAAAAATAAAATATGAATTCATAAATTTGAAAAATCATCTGCAATTAAATATAAATAAGGCATTTGTCGTTAAATAATACAAAGGCATCCCTAGGATGGGGAGAGGGATGATCCAGTGAGGGTTTCACTTACCAAGAGGGCTTACAGCAGCAAATGTTTTAAAAAATTAAAAGACAACTTCATTAGAAATAAAGATGAGACATTTTTTATTGTTGTTTTTATATTACTGCACTAAAGTTAACACTTATGGAATTATATAATATGGAAATATGTTCTCATATTTCTCATATCTCTCAAATCTCATACATAGATTTTTGATAACTAGAAAATGAGCCGATTGACTCGAAATATTGTTATGAATTAAATAAATGGTAAAATTATAAGGGCAATTCACTGCTTAAAGACACTGTATGAAACATTTTACTTTAATCAAACAACAAAATTTTTTTTTTCTTATAGTATAATAATCTCTTTGTGGATTTATTTAATTAATACATATGCTTTCAGATATTATACATGTATTCAGCTGGATAATTATATAACTTATCATAAGAAACAGTCATCACAATGATAGATATAGATACAAATGAGGAAACAATACTTCTTCAATTTGGAATAAATGATTTTTTTCTTGTTAGAGTTTTTAATATAAAGAGGATATAATGGCCGAGAACATTGGGGCGTGGGTCCCAGAGTTCCCAGTTCAGAATGTTGTGAGTTCGATTTTCACATAGATCGTGGATAAATTTTCATTTCTCGGCGGCCTTGGGAAATGAATCTTAACACTCCAATTCTGGTAAGTACGTGGTGGCAACCTCATGGTAGCTGTTAGAAGTGGGTCGGCAAAGAGAACCCATAGGGTCCACTTACCGGACTAGTTCTCCCCTCCTCCCCCCACTAGTTCCAGTACCTAATGAATATACATATAAAGAAAAACTTCAAAAATAAATCCTCTTCGGGACTATCTATAATAAGTAATATAATAGTACAAATAAGAAAAGGAGAGTAGAGCTATAAAAAAGTGTTTAGTTTAAATTTTGGTTATTTAAAAAAAAAAAAAACGGTCCTTTCAAATAATACTGAACATTTTCTGGAAATAAATAAAAGGCAAAAGAATAGTGGAACACAAATCAAAACATTCAAGATATTTAAAAATGAATTATTTTATTCAGCTATCTACTGGCCCCAGTTCAAAATTCAGACTAGTAATTGGCCTTCAGATAGGTGAAAATGTTTTATATAAACATGAATGTAAAAAATTAAATAAAATTTTAAAAATCTTATTTTACAATATTAATAAAAAAAACAGAAGTAGTGAGTACATAAATATAATTTTTTTTTTAGCTTTAAAATTTTTGGAAGGAACTGAATATTAGGCAATGATAAAAAAATCAAAATTTCTAAAAAAGACTTTTTTTTCAAAATACTAAAACTTAATATTTTAATAAATTAAGATGTAACAAATGATAAAATAAATATTGTTCGAAAGATTAGAATAAGAAAAATTCACCAGGTAGAAAATAATTACAATTTAAATATATTAGAATAAAATGATTTCATCATTATAAAAATAAAACAGCAACATAATTTTTACATACCTGAACTCTTGTTTTGACATGTTTGAGAGCATAAAGTACCAAAAGTACCTGGACGGCAAGCAAGTTGACATGTCTCACCCATCCAACCAGCAGCACAAACACATTTTCCGCTATCTTGTTTGCAAGAACCATTATGTATGCAATGGCAATCTTTAGAGCAATCATCACCGTATTTACCTGGTTCACACTTGGAATCACAAAGTATACCTAGGACACATAAATTAAAATTTTACCTTTAAAACAATTGCATGTCATAAGCTCATTTCATTTTTTTTATTTTAAGACTTCTAATGCCTCAAGCCCAAACAACAATAATCAATAATTTCAAGATTTAAACATCTTAATTAAAAATATATTACATAAATATATTAAACCAAATTTTGAAATCGTACCATTCCAAGGTTCTTTACAAATACAACTTCCGGTCTTAGGATCACAAGATTTAGTATTTTCTTCAACACAGAAACATTTTTGTTTGCATCCGATACCAAAAAAGCCCTCATCACATGTTTTGCTGCAATCAGGACCTTTATATCCAGGTGGACAGATACAGGTACCTGAAAATTGTTTTTTGTAAGACAGAAGAAAATAAATAAATGGAATTCAATATATCATTGCAGAATAAAATGGAACAATATCTTATAGTTGATTTAACAACAAAAGTTATTTTAATTTAAATTATGTTTGTAAACACAAATAAATTTCTAAAGGTGATATACTATTGGCTTCAATTTATTTCCACTTTAATTAATATAGTTATAAAAAAAAGTTTATATATATGAACATACCATTTACAGGTTCACATGCACCATTGTTTTGACAATTACACTGCTCTGAACAATTTTTTCCATACATGTCTTCAGGGCACGGTCTTTCACAAAACATACCTTTCCACCCTAAAGTAAGAAGTTTGTAATACAATATAATAAAATTATAGCTTATGTGTAAACATCTTTAAGAAATGATAATTAGAAAAATGATCAATTACTAATAAGGTTATTCATTAAGGAAAAATTCTAAAGCTGAATTTAGAAATAATACATACCTGGAGGACAAAAACATTCGCCTGTTTCACCATCACATTGGCCTCCATTGTTGCAATTACATTTAACTTTACAATTTTCTCCATAGAATCCACTTGGGCATGGCTCACTACAGTTTTTACCATGGAAACCTGTAAAATAAAATAATATTAAGTTTTGTTTTTTAAATCAATGTTTATTATTATTTTTAAAAAAAATTATGATAATGATTCTTAAAAGTCTCTAGTTTAAAATAATTATTATTTTCTTTCCCACTTATGAGTTATCAAGTTAAAAAAAAATTGATTTGTTCATTAATGATGTTGATTGGAAACTTATTGTCAAGTATTATCTTGTATTACTTTTACTGATATCACAAAATCAATGTAATTTTTCACTTGGAGGGGATAGGGAGGAAAGAAAATTACTCCAAAACTAAAATAATTTTTTTGTTTCCAACTTCCAAAAACAACATTCTGTTTCATCAATGAAAACTTATTTCTAGTTCCATAGAGAAGTCATTTCCAAGTATTGTCACCCCATTACATTTTACTTGCACTTATCTATATATGAAATATATAGTGAGGGACAGTATTGGGATCGTGAAAATTTCGAATCTGAGTCTTCAACGGAAATACATGTTTTGAGATCTCCTGAGTCCAAATAACCAAGTCCCGCAATACGGTCTGTATGTGTGTGCGTGTGTCTATATGTATGTGACAGGTCTAGCTAAAAAACAAAATGTCATATGAAAGTGAAATTGTATGTTTAAGGTTTTTATATACCTGAGATATTACAGCAATTTTTTAATCAAAATCGGCTAATCGGAAGTGGCAATTTATATCATTGATGGAACACATTTTTACTATTTTCTCAAAACGGCTCCAACAGTTTTAATTTAATTAATTATATCAGTGTAAACCTAAACAGTTTTTAATATTATGTTAGTTTTGTTCTCATTAATGTTCTCTAACAGGGCTTAAATGGCTAATTTTCCATATTAGCTTTCTCTAAAGTACTTTTAATTTTTTTTATTTGAACAATTAACAATTTCATATTAATCTATAATATAAAAAATAGTTAAATATAAAATATGAAAGAATTTGATAATTAACTAAAGGAGAAATATGAGATCGTAACAGAGAATAGTTGTAATGAAGGAACCAAAGGGATACGAGTTCACCGAGCTGGCCCAAACATTACAACAGGCTTCCATACATAACATGAGCATAATAAAATACGGACTCTGGCAATATTATGTACATATGTATATTCAGTTTTCCTAAATATTTTCGTTGGTATTATTTAATATTTAATTGTATAGATTGCAGCAATATAAATATTAAAGTTTATATATTTAAGGGTACTTAAACAAATAAAAATATCCACAATGAAATATAAATCAATATAGCGTTTACAATTTTTACTTTCACTTCCCCTTTTTCTGAAAATACTGATTTCTGATAAGAAGAGGGTGGTAAATGAAAGTTGTGTGATGCTTGCACTGCACCAGATTTTTTCTTAAGCAATCAAAGAAGTTATTTTAGTTTTTAAGTATTAACTAGTTTCTAACAATACTTCCTCTTCAATTCCTAACAACCCTTCTAGGTCTCTGAAAAGAAGATGGTCTTGGGACCTTCTAATATAGAACTATTATTGGAATGCTACCTATGAGTAGTTTCTGTTCAAGTTTGTACATGTCATATAACAATTCACATTTATATTTTGTATTTTTGGTTATTATAGTTGTAAATTTCAATAAGTAAATAAATAAATAAAATTTTGTAATAGTATTGACCCTCTGTTAAGTTCAACCAATTTAAGTATGGTTATATAAATAAATTTATTTGTTGACTTACCGGCAGTGCACTGACAAGTGCCATCTATTGGTGAGCAAAGTGCATTATTAAAGCATTGACACACATTTTTGCAACCTTTTCCCCACTGATAAAATGGACACGAATTAGAGCATTGTTTACCATGAAATCCTATAGCACATTCACATCTCCCAGTCCAAGGATGGCACCTACGGTAATAACAAACATTTATAAAAATACAATTCCAAGCAATTAAAGTAATAATTCAAAGTAAATAAATATAACTCTGTTATAGTTATCTTTTTTGTAAAGATAAGTTAAATATATAAAAGTGCAAAATTAATGAATTTTAATTAAAATTTTATTTATTTGAAATTTATTTTAAGTCAATCAAAATTTTACAAAATTAAAATAATTACTTGAAGTGAATATTCTGATATTAAAGCTTATTTTACATTGGTAATAATTATTGCTAAAAAAAAAAAAATAATAATAAAATAAATAAATGGTGCAGTACAATTTTAGAATGCATAATGCTAAAATTTTGATTTTTTTCAAATTCTTTAAAATCAAATAAGTTATTATGGAAATTTTTACCATATATGACAACTTAAAATATTAAAGACATTTGTACCAACTTTATTATGATTTTTTATTTATTTTCAAATCTTATATTCTTACTTATCTCACTTTTTTCGGTAAACAGGGGTTTTCTCTGCTGGATGATGGATTAATGCCAGAGTAAAACCCACTGGCACTAAAACTCAAACTCATAATCTTCAGTTTATCAGGATGCTGGGTAACTTGTGCTTAACATACATGTTAGCCCACTCGGCCATCCTGCCCTCACATTTTCATAATTTTTAGGAACACAGGTAATTTGAAAGTGGTTACCAGATTTCACTTCATTTGATCCTTAGTGGATTAAGAAGTGGCCTCTTTGTGGTATATTTGCCAACATACTTTCAACTTTCAAACAATTCCTATCAAAAACTTTGATTTAAGGACAGAGATCAGTAATAATGAATAGTAATAATCAATGGATTATGACAGTTTAGTGTTGGTGTTCTTGGCCAGTTTTTTACAAAAAGTAGGGCGATCAACATACAATTTTGCTAATTAACTATTCCTCATTAAGTTACACAGTGTACAGTAATTAAATTACATAGTTTACACTCCTCAGCTTGATTGATTGGAGTTACCTACTATATGCTGAAAGGCCTCACACACACAAGCGGTAGAAGGAGTAGCCATATTAGAATTCCAAAAAAGCGATCTCCCATTTCCGGTTGGTTAGTCAACCATTCACATAATAACCAGCCTCTTCAGTGCCTATTTCAAATACCTACTACATACACAATATATTCCTCCTTTACCACAGGCTCATACACACACACACACACACATATATATATATATATATATATATAGCATTTCCAATTTCAACCTTTTCCAAATCAAATTCAACCTTTCCCAAGTCAAATTAAACCTTTTCCATTTCAAATTCAACCTTTTCCAAGTCAAATTCAACCTTTTCCATTTCAAATTCAACTTTTGAATTTTTGTCAATTTTCGATTTTTTTCTAAATGAAGGCCACGTACTATATTATCGAAGGCATAGCTTTTGATAATATAAATAAATAAAAATACAAAAAAAATTTGATAACGCGGTTGCATATCCATTTATTTTAACATTTTAGATTTTTTCAGTGTAATATTTCTATGTCATATTCAATTATTTCCAAGTCAAATTAAACCTTTTCAAAGTCAAATTCAACCTTTTCCAGATCAAATTAAACTTTTTCCAAGTCAAATTCAACCATTTCCATTTCAAATTAAATCTTTTCTAATTCAAATTCAACCATTTTCATTTCAAATTAATGTTTTAATTTTTGTAAATTTTATATTTTTTTTTAAATAATGGCCATCCCCTCTCCCCTCCAATATGAAAATCTATTATTATGCTCTCCTAAGTAGAATTTTCACTTACAGATATCAATTTATTGTACCCATTCGGATTTATTAGGGACTAGTATTATGCTATCCTGTACCTAGTTTTTAAAATAAGCTCCATTTTATGATCAGGCCATAGCGTTTTGACTTATTTAAGTTTTTTGAATTTATCCAATATAAAGGTCTACTTTTATGTTTCCGAAGCCATAGATTTTGAAAACGCCCTCCATTTTATGATTAGGCCACCGCTTTTTTAAGATTTAGGCCATTTTAAGATTTCGAACAATTAGCTGAACAATCTGAATACGATAGGTTAAATTTATTACCAGTTGCTTTTCGGCTTTTTAGTTTGTATTCTGTGGTTAATTTAACTTTTGCTTCATAATATTTATTTATTTATTTATTCATACTCTAAAACATATTGATGAAACTTTGTATTGAAAAAATCTAAAATGAAGCCTAATTAATCGAGATACAGCGGCTTAATCATAAAATGAAGATTAAATATTAGATAAATTTAAATATTAAAAATTAGAAAAATTTCAATACGTCTCAGATAACATATAAGTAGATCCTTATACCGAAAAAGTAAAAAAAAAAAATTTTACAATCCAAAACACAGTGGCATAAACTTGAAATAGGTTCATTTACAAAACGGGGGGAATCTATTGCTCCAGAAACATAAAAGTAGACCTTTATATTTGATAAATTTGCAAAACTTAAATAAGGTAACACGCAGAGGAGTAATCATAAAATGGAGGTCATTTTCAAAATCTATGGCTCAAGAAACATAAAAGTAGACATTTATATTGGATAAATTCGAAAAACTTAAATAAGTCAAAACGCAGTGGCCTAATCATGAAATGGAGGTCATTTTCAAAATCTACAGCTCCAGAAACATAAGAATACACCCTTACATCGAAGAAATAAAAAAAACTTAAATAAGTCGAAACGCAGTGGCGCAATCTTAAAATGGAGGCCATTTTCAAAATATACGGCTCCGGAAACATAAGAATATACCCTCATTTGTTAAAAATCTGAAAAACTCAAATAAGTCGTAGCGCGGTGGCCTAACCTTAAAATGGAGGTCGTTTTCCAAATCTACGGCTCCGGAAACATAAAAGTAGACTTTTCTATTGGATAAATTCTAAAAACTTAAATAAGTCAAAACACAGTGGCGTAAACATAAAATGGATGTCATTTTCAAAATTTACGGATCGGGAAACATAACAATACACCCTTATATCGAATAAATCAAAAAAACTCAAATAATTCGAAACGCAGTCACGTAATCTTAAAATGGAGGTTATTTTCAAAAACTACTCATATGATAACAGACCCACACATCGAAAAATTAAAGATAATTAAATAAATAAAAAAAAGTTGAATTTGAAATGGAAAAGGTTTAATTTGACTTGGAAAAAGTTTAATTTGATTTGGAAAAGGTTGAATTTGACTTAGAAAAGGTTGAAATTTATATATATATATATATATATATATATATATATATATATATATATATATATATATATATATATATATATATATAGCATTAAACTACTCATAATTTGAAAATGAAAATTAGTTTATATCTTACGTTACTGTATGGTTTGGAGTACATTCGCAATGATTTTTACAATCTGGACCATAAAACCATTCAGGACAATTCCTTTCTTCACATGTTGCCCCAGTCCAACCATTTTGACATTTACATTTACCGGTTGATACATCACAGTCTCCATTTTTGCAATTACAAATCCCTTTGCAATTGTCGCCAAATGTTCCGACTGGACACTTCTCATTGCACTGTAAAATGTATATAGTATAATAAATGGTCCGAAATTTAAATTAAGGTAGATCTCTACGTAAGATATTAGATATTACCTTTTCACCTATGTATCCTACAGCACAAATACAAGTACCATTGATATGATCACAAATTGAGTTGTTATTACAATCACAAGTGAGACTACAATTTTCACCATATGTTCCAGGAGGACACCGATTGCCACAGACTTGTCCCTGCATAGTAAGTATTGAAGGCATTAATACATATTTATTAAGGTTTAATCAAATTGTATTTAAAACAAAGTGTAAAACATACAGTCCAACCAGGAGTACAAAAACATTCACCAGTTGCAGGATCACAAGTTCCACCATTTTGACAAAGGCATTCATGTTTACAATCTGAACCATGACGTCCTGGAGTACACATTTTTTCACAGCTGAAAATAACAATACATAATAATTTTCATTCAGTTTAGTAGCAGATTAATAGATGTTCTAAAATACAATGATGCGGCTAGGAAAGTGTATTCTTAAATAGGGGACATTAGTCTTGACACCTTGAAAAGTCAAGAAACAAAAGAGTACATAATCAAGCAATGATAAAAGAATGTACTGAAATACTGAATTATAATATATTTACACACAGTATCTTGTAAAATATTTTTCAGATTAATTAATAAAGAAAATAATTTTTCATTGAATTAAAAAAAAATTAAATAAAGAAAGAAACACCAAAGACCATAATAAAAAAATGCAGCAAATAGAATATAAGTAATTTATGTAATCTAAGTTTACAATTTATCCAAGTAAATTCATGTTTTTATTAATAAATTACAATACTTTTCGAATTCATTATACCCAAAGTTGAGTAATTGGTAAATATATTTTTATATAAAAAAAAAAGTTCTAATTACGGTAGTAAATTAGCTTACAGTGATCCAGTGTAACCTTTGGGACAGATGCATTTGCCAGACACATGATCACACCCAGCATTGTGTTTACACCTACAGGTTTCAGCACATTCAACTCCATACTTCCCTTCAGGACAAGGTTCGCCACATAACTTCCCTAACCAGCCTCGTTTACATTCACAATTTCCTGAGAAAGGGTCACATGTAGAATTATTTTTGCATTCACAATCATGCTCGCAATCTCTTCCCCATCTTCCTTTCGGGCAAGCTGAAATAAAAATATTTTAAATGCCATTAAGATTTACAATAAATACTAAATATAATGTACCACTGGCCTTCAAACAGTTCACATATTGTAGTGGTACAGCTTTTTTTTCTCTAAACTTAATGAAATGAAAATTAATATTTAATAAATTTTATTGTTTATATCTTTTGAATTGCATAGATTTTTTAAATTGCTTGGCAAAAAGAATGAAAGACCTCTAGTAATTAAACAATTGTTTTATCATTGAAATATTTGCTTTCTAGCTCTTAAAATAGTTTCGCCACCTTTATTATGGTGATCCCATGTCTTTATTAATTAATAAATTCTTAAAAGACACAATTTTCTTATATTTTTTTTTAATGCTAATTAAGTTTGTAATATAACATTCTGTCACAATATGGACAATTATTATAGCAAAGAAAGAATACATTCACACCAAACCGAAGACATGATAACCCTATAATCTTCTATGCTTAAAAAAAAAAACATAATAATTTGTCAGCAGTTTGATATTTATTAAATCTAAATTTAATACCAAACACAACTTTAATAACACTATGTACTTACATTTATCTGTTCCAAGAAGGCAAAGAAAAATAAAACAAAAAAGTAAGTAAAATATACATTATGAAATAGCATCACTGTAGCATAATTTTAGCATTACATCAGAAGTCTAGTACCGACAATACATTTTGAAATGAAAGAGAAGTTAAAGCATCATGCATTACTATGATAGTATTAGATTAGGTCCAAGATTCTACCTAGTTTCGCTACTGATTTCAACATTTACTGAATGTTTTTAGCTCATAAATTAGGGAAAGATAAGGAAATTTACTTAACTTTAAATGTTGACACCTTTGCTAATATATCTATGGTCGCAGGAATAACTTAATAAATCAAAAAATGGTCCTCATCAATTATGTGTATTGTCCTCATCTTGCGAGCCACCTTAACAGTTTGATGAAGTTGCTAACTTCACAATTCTCATCTTTTAATTGAAAAGCTTTAGATCTTTGAGTTTTCAACTTCTTCTTAGTGTTCAGAAAGCTTGGAAGCTAATTAAAATACAATGACTCATGAGGACCAATTTTTTACTAACCAAGTTATTCACTGAAATCATAAATAGATATTTGGTTGAATTAGAGATATTGGTGAAATTTCTCTTATCCAATCGGCTCGATAATAAATAATAAATTAATTGATTATTTATAATAAATAATAAATTAATTGATTATTTATAATAAATAATAAATTAATTGATTATTTATAATAAATAATAAATTAATTGATTATTTATAATAAATAATAAATTAATTGATTATTTATAATAAATAATAAATTAATTGATAATAAATTTAGAAAATATATTTTTTATTTTAAATAAAAAAAGAAAAGTATGTGCAAAGGTAAATGTTTCACTAGAATTCGATTAATAATTTTTGTAATTTTATAAAAATGCTTGTAAAAAGGTAAGATTGATTAAAGTAAAGTGTAAGAATTTCATTTAAAATCAAGTTAAATATATTTTTCTTTATACAATTTTAAGTTAATAGAATGGACTAGGATAGTTTTGTTCTATAAAAGAAGGTGAGAATTTAAACAAATGAAATATAAAATCAAAACACTTGTCATCTAAGAAGTGCTATGTAGTTTTGTGAAAGTGTTATTTTTCGATAAATAAAAAAATAAATATAAATGGAAACTTGATCTCCTACATTTAAATTAAAAAAATATATGGCAGAAGTGAATATTTAAAACAAGTATTTACAAGATGAAGAAAAGAAAAAGAAACTATGAACTGTTTTGTATATGTGGCTTTGAACGGAAAGGATGTTATATCAGAACTCTGTTGTGACGCCTCCATGGTACAGTTTGAATTGAGTAATGGGCCAAGTTGGAGTCAGGTTGTTTCAAGGAATGGCTTGAAACCAGCAGCTCCCGCATCAGTCCAAGATCAGCTCTATTGGAAGTTGGTAATGAAAAAACAAACTAGAATATTTTCATGCTTGGCCCCAAAGAAGGAAATCAATAAGAATGAAAAACTAGTAATACAAAATTATTTATAGGACTTCAAATTCATTTATTAGTTTTAAGTTTAAAGTAATACAAAATTATGCATGAAAACAAATTAACTATTATTCATGGACATCCCGCAAAGACTCGATCAATGTCTTGACCTCTTGTTTCTGTATTTAATTTTAAAACCCAAGAACCTCATATATAATATATATATATTTTTTGTGTGTCTGTAAATAATTTTCATTTTTACTATTAAATATAAAATATTAAGAATTAAAAAAAATTCATTTGCACGTGATAGAAGGGACTTACAGATTGAACACCGTGGACCACCATAACCAGGTTCACATTTGCATTTATTTGGTTCTACACATGTCCCATGTAAACAGTCTTGGGAACACACAGGTTTACATTTGTTAGAAGAAGCAGCATAACCTTCACAACAAACATCAACTGGTTTTGTTTTTGTAATTACCTAAAAGTATAAATATAATGAGTGGCAAATACAGAATACCTATATTTTTTTAAAAATATTATTCATAAAGTTGAACCGGATTTAAGATCCCTGATCTATGATCAAACAAATATATAATTAATTATAAAAAAAGGATATGTGATAAACCTTCAATATTAGTTAGCATATTCTAAATTGTATTACTAAAATTCACTCTAAAATATATTATTAACCATTCTAAGATAAAAGATTGATAAAAACATTCATAGATTGAAATGAAGACTATATTAAAAACAAAATATCAAGTAATAAAGGTATTTATTTCAGGTTGTTTATTCTGATTTTATAATGGAAAATATGAACAGAAACAAAATAGTTATATAAATATGTATTTATATTTGTATATATTTTTTATAAAACATATAATTGTTGTTTCTTAATGAGCGATCTATTTATAATAATTTAAATATTTGAGCCGTTTATTTTGAAAGTGGCCCAAGTCCACGTATACATAAATTGAGATATTTAATGGTTTGCATTTCAATACAATTAAGACTATATGTATAGGATACTAATGAGTCATAAGGTTTCAATGTATCTAAAGGAGTTAAATTTATAGTTCCAATTAAAATAGTGGCAATTATTAAGTGAATAATATGTGTTTTCTTGCTAAGAATGAAGTGAGGCCACTTTCAGAATTAGCAACAAGATTCATTATAAAATTTCAATGAACCCAAGTCCATTAAACATAACTTAATATGCTTCATATTAAAAAAATACTCAATTTATTTTATATATCCTTACAACACTTCAAAAACATAATGTATGTGATTCAAAACATTTTTGAACTACAAAACTACAAAATAATTTAGTGTTCAATTACATTTTGTATGCGTGAAAGGGATTTCAACAAATGATGTTCCTGTGGTATATATCGTAATAGGCCCATTTTGTCCTTGAATTTTGCTGTTGTAATTTGTCATATATTTTCATGCAATGGTTTTGAATACAATTTTTTTTAACTTACTCGGTCTACCGCGTTGTGGTAATAAATCCAGAACTTTAAAATTTTTATTCCTATTCATTGATGTCTTATAAAAAATTTTATACGGTTCAATTCGAACAAAACGCATCCAAAGTATTTTTAATCAGTTCATTGATTCTCTGTTAGAATTCTTCACCCTTTTAAAAATTGCGTCTTATAATAATTATGTTGATTCGAAATGTTCTTGTTTCATTTCATTTACAATAAAGTTATTATTTTTCCGCAACTTTTTCATAATATTACAATAATCTTGTGGATCAAACAGAATTTTATTTTTAATGAAATTTCTACCACTCCAAAATTTCTTATCATTTGATAAAAACATTGTTATATACGCTTACCACATTATTTTCAACTGTTTAGACAGTTTTAAAAACCATTTTGTTTATTAAAACCTCCCAAATACCAAAACTTCTCATAAATATTCATTCTTTCTTCTTCTTCATAATTTTTATCCAAATTTTTTGACAATGGTAATCTTATTTTTGAAAACATTTTTCATTGAACGTGGAACTTGTAAAATATGTTTCATCAATCTTTTCTCCATTGCTATTCGTATCTGCTATTCTCTGACGACGAATATTGTCTTGTAATTCTCTTTCTTTTTTGATTTTCTTGAAATCATTAATTACTAAGTCTTCTTCATTATCTAAATTTTAAAATCTTTAATTTCTAAAATTTGATATTAAATTATATATTTTATATTAAATTTACACAATATAAATATTTACAGTTAAATGTTAACAGTAAGTATGTATATAGCAATTTTTTTTAAATTGTATTAATTAAGCATACTGATTATTCAACAAAAGCAATTGTCCAAAAACTGAGGTAAGCTTGTTAAATACTTCTTCTTCTTCTTTGTCTTCCTCTTATGCCATTAATTAGCGTCGAGGAGCCTCAACCAGTGCAGCCACTCTTCCCGGTCCCTGCTTAGTCGCTTCATCTCATTAAGGGTTTTGCCTCTTTTACATCCAATCCTTTGAATGTAATCCTGGAACGTGAGTCTGGGGCGTCCGCGTGGTCTCCTTCCTGTGGGTCGAGCCTCTAATATCCTTATAGGATTCAAATTCTCATTCATGCGGCAGACGTGTCCAAACCACTGGAGTTGCCGTCTTTCTAAAGTAGTTTTAAGTTCGGCAACTCCTAGCTGCTCCCTAATGCTTTCATTCCTAATGCGATCCCTTCTAGTTCTGCCAACAGATCTGCGAAGGAACCTCATTTCTGCTGCCGTTATGCGACTAGAGTGCCTGTCTAGCATTGTCCAGCTTTCTCCGCCGTAGGTGAGTGTAGGTAGGTAAACAGACTTATATACGTGCATTTTGGTCTTCTTGTCTACTTCGCGATGGCCGATAATGCTATTAGTAGTCTGGTAATATACCTGATTCGCCTTACATATTCTACTTGATATTTCGGCGTCTATCTTACCAGAACTACTAATTACGGTCCCCAGGTAGGTATATTCAGTCACCACCTCAAGTGTCTCGCCATTGCAGATCAGCTGAACATCTTCTCGCTCTTCCCTCGTCATAACCAGCACTTTACTCTTGGAGGTGTTAATTTGCATCCCTTTCCTGAGCAACTCTTCCTCCCACTCTACCAAAGCTTGTTGTAGTTTGGTCTTTGTGTCGGCTATTAGGACTATGTCATCCGCGTATAGAAGGCTTTGTATGAGGACAGTTCTCAGATTCCACTTCCCAATTGTTGTCCACGCAGTTCGGCGTTTACAAATTTTGTGGATTTCATCCATTACATTTATAAATAGAAGGGGACTTAAGCTATCTCCCTGTCTAACTCCTCTCGCAATTGGAAAAGGTTCCGATTCCATACCGTTCATCCTTACCACTGCCATGGCTCCTTGATAGGCTGACTGTATGGCCGCCAGCAAGTCTCCAGGTACACCCTTGGCTATTAGGGCATTCCAAATTTCTTTTCTTGGAACCACATCAAACGCTGACTTCAGATCAAGGAACGCAAGATACAGATTTTTATCTCTGTCCCAAGCTTTTTCAGCAATATTTCTGAGAACAAAGATGTGATCCTGCGTCTGTCGGCCTGGACGAAAACCAGCCTGTTCCGCTTCTAACTGCCCTTCCACAATCCGTCGGAGTCTCCTTTCTAGTATGGAAGTATAAAGTTTATAGACCACTGATAGCAGACTAATGGGTCTATAATTTTTGCAATCTGTCGTGCATCCTTTTTTATAAATCGGGAGGATTATACAATATTCCCAGTCCATGGGAATTTTCTTTCTGTCATATACTTCTTGGAACAGCGATTGTAGTGCTTTAAGAAGTTCTTGACCACCGAATTTTAAATATTCTGGTGCGATTCCATCCCTTCCTGATGCCTTACCTCTTTTTAGCTTATGGATTGCATTTTCTATTTCTTCTTCCTCTATAACCTCCAGGCTTTCTTGAATATTGGGCTCTTGTTCTTGATAATGGTCTTTTTCTGGATTTTCGGAGAATTGTTCCTGGAAATATTCCTTCCATCTGCCAAGGATCTTTTCCTTGTCTGTAAGTAGGATTCCATCGCTACCTTTTACATTTCTAATAGGCTTGCATTGTTTTCCTCTTAACATCTTAACTTTTCGCCAAAATGTTCTTATAGATTCGCGGTGATCCTCGCTCAGCCTTTTACCAAACTCCTCCCACGACTTCTTCTTCGCCTGGCGTATGGTTACCTTACATTCATTCCTGGCTATTCGATATAAGTGTAGCTTTCCTTCAGTTCTATCCATAAGGTATGCTTTCCAGGCAAGCTTCTTCTGAGAAACCAGTCGTTGGAGATCATTGGTCCACCAGTCTGTCCGCTTTCCCTTGCCAGACACTCTCTTCTTCCCACAAACTGTATTTGCTGTTTCCAGAATACATATTTTCAGTGCCTTCCATATCTCTTCCACATCTCCATCGAATGACGTTTCCCTTAATTTATTTTCCAGGCTTTCTGTAAAGAGGGCCCTTTTCTCTGGGTCATCCAAGGCTCTTACGTTGAGGGTTTCAAATACTTTTGTTTTCCTTTTATACTCCGGGATGATCTTTGTATCAGCCACAAGTAAAAGGTGGTCGCTGCTTATCTCCGCTCCTCTTACTACTTTTATGTCAGCGAAATACTGCCTTATGTTCCTATCATATATGAAATAGTCAATTATACTATTTCGTTCCATGCATGAGAAAGTGATTTTGTGGATTCTCTTGTGTGGATAGAAGGAATTTCCTATGAGGAAGTCATTATGCACGCAAAAGTCTATTAGCCGTTGTCTTGTTAAATACTAATGAATTAAAATGACCTTCGGACATTATCAATAGTAAGAATTTCAATTTAAGTATAAATGGACTTAGGCCACTTTCAAAGTAAACGGATCAATTATTGAACTAGCTCTGAAAACTTTTGTGTCCAAAATTATCGCATTTAATCCAAATATAAATAACCTCAAATTTCTTATTGATAGATAACTTGAAGTTGTCCATTTAAACACGGTAAGTCGGAAATAATAAACCGCTCATTTATTGTTAAAAAATAATCAGCTTTCAGTTAGTGTATTCAATATAAATACATAAACATATATGGAAGATATATCACCTCATCTTGGTAAGAAGAATCAAACACAATTTCATATTTTGAACATCTTGGTGGAACTTTCAGGCACCATGTGTAAGATTTGATTTGTCTTGGCTTTTTAACAGTAACTCTTACAGTGAAATTATACCTAAAACATTAAGAATAAAATTTATAATAAAACACTAAAACTGGGAGTTTTTAAATTTTAATCACATAAAGATGCAGATAAGTAATATTGTACAAGCTGTAAGTGAACTAAATAACTGCCTATGAGCCCCACTTATCTTGATCCGTCCCTGGAGGTAATAATATTAGTTTTTAAAATAAAATGGGAATGATGCAGGCTGGCAGCAAAATATTATTAGGCACAAAATTATTAGGCTTTGTCAAGAAGGAAAGTGAGGATTGATTGACAAAATTCTAAAAAATTAGTCCTGATGGTGATGGGACAAATAAACTGGTTTGTAGCACAGTACAGACCACCATCTTTCCTATACCACCATCAAGTGAAGAATTACACACTCCTACTAGTGCCTGCTCCCTTAAGTTTTTTATTGCTATTTATGAGACTGACTAATTTTTTAATATATCTTAAAAAAACGTTGATAAGATTTTCTTGATCAACAGTCTTGAAACATTTTATTTATTCAACATAGCATTCAACTACTAGATTTTCCTGATCCTTTTTAAATTAATTTTATGGAAAAGCTGGGTTGGGACAAGACAACTCCAGAATCAATTGGCGAGTGTCTGTTGGAATAAAAAATAAATTTTCTTCACCTAGGTCCAGGAGTAACTCGAAACATGAACTCGAAACATGAACTAGACTAGAATATTATAAACACATTTATCACACATGAGTAACTTACGGTTCTTGTCGTGTGCATACATTGGGTCCTTCTAAAGTATTATTTGCAGTAGAATCGGCTGCTATACTAGCAATGAAGAAATAGATGATCACTGATAAAATGGGATGCTGCATAATGTATTATTTTATAAATTATCCTTGATGAAATTGATTATTGCATCATTTCTTGTTCTTCTACCTATGAAAAAAAAAATAAAAGTATAGCACAAATAGTTTTTATGACATTATTTCATAAGTTTTTACAAGGTCTCACAAGTTTTTACAAAAAGCTTAAGATTTTTTTTTTAAGAATATAAAAAAATATATTAAAAAGGTAATAAGTACTTAGTTGTAAATGAACTATAAAATAAATAAAAAAGAGGAGAAAGAAGAAGTAAAACAATCATTTCCTTAATATGTGTATTGTATTTTCAGCAATATAAAACATTAGATACCAGTCCAGTGTATTAAATCTTGATTGCAGTCCATCTTTGCTTGATTTAGGAATAATATAAACATTTTTTTTTCTCCATGTTTTAAAATTAGTTTACGACACTAAGAGGAAATGTTATCCTTCAGAATAATTGATTGTAGTTTCAAGTATAATCACAATATGAATATTTTATGATACAACTGTCTTTAAAATGTGAACATTATCAAGTAATTAATGAAAACCAGCTAGATGGAAGAATGTATGAAGAAACAACAATGTATGAACAAATTAAAAAAATCCTGATTTTTAATATCTTCTCTCTATGCTAAACAAATTTGAATGAAATCCCTAATTGGCTATTCAATTTTTTTCTTCATAGACAATTAATGAGATTAATTAGAGAGGAAATTGTAGTTTTTTTTTTTTGTTTTTTTTTTCGTCCACCGCTTCATTGCCTTTCAGGCTATATGGAGGTTTTCCTGAGCCAGAGGAGAGGACGGGGATTGATATCAGAGTTAAAAGCTCCCTCTCTCCTGGCAGCGGGATACTAACTAATTATTTTTATTATATAAACTTTGGTTAATCAGGTTGCCGGGCAATGCTTGTTTTGCACATCTCTGCTACCTAACCCCCGAGAAAAATGAATTGTGGTTTGACAGATATTTTCAATCAGTCCTTAAAAATGAGAAAGTGACATTAGTCAGAAGTTAATAAGGCCAAAATACCTTATTACAGTGTTGTCTCCTAAGAAATTATGAGGCAAGAATCATGAACCTCATGGGCTTTTGTGAGATTTGTTCACTATTCCTATCATTATTGTTCTTCCTATCAATCTTATCCTTAAGCATATTTGTATTCACTTCAATTTGGAAATATTTGTTGTCAGAATCTATAGAACTTCTGACTTAACTTTAATTTATTTAAATCTTGGGCATTAAGAACTTTCTCAGGTTAGCTCATTATTGTTCTAACCAATTATTTCATCGTTAGAGTTCTATTAAATTTTATGTGATTCCATACTATAAAAAAAAAAAAGTAGAAAAGATTGTGATTTCAGAAACAATACCTGTGAATCAGAACGATAGAATGTTTTACAACTGCATCATACAAATTGCTAATGCTGATATACACATAAGAAAAGTTAGCTTTCTGATTGATAATTTTTTGCAATCAATAATTACATAATGGAAGAAAAGATAAAACGGTTACTAACTAAAGCTGTGATTCATGCAGCTGAATCAGATTTATCTCACCAACAGAAAACAGAAAAAAAAATATGCATCTTTTCTGAAGCAAATTAGCCCACATTATAAGTATATAAGTTCTTAAATGACTACCTTATAAAACTCTCACTATAACTACGAAAAGAAAATTTCAGAAAGCACCTGAGCAGCACGTTAAGAATAAAATATTATAAATTTGTCACATAAAGTTTATTACGGTAATATTTAAATGAAAAAAGGTGATTAGAGATAATTTGAAGTTATGTTTTCTGGAAAGGTTAAGCATTGAGTAAGAAATAATTCTTTATTTTCAATGTTTATTGTATTTGGAAGGGAAAATGTATAATTGATTTAATGAAAAAATGTGCAAATGACACCTTAACTTAGGGGTACCCAGAAGGGGGTTTCGAACTTTGAAGAGGGTGTACATTTTTATGGGTTTAAGAATTTGCTGGAGAACCATATTTTTGTGGAGATTCAATTTGCGAGAACTTTCAAATCAGTAAAAACAGGCCATAGCAATTGTAATTTAAATTAACTACAAATTTTATAATTCTACTTTTATGAGCACCATTTTTAAATAGAGAAAAATTTTTGAGATGGGAGAGAGGTCATGGGCTGTCGCACTTTGGGGAATAAGAACCTCTGTTAAATTCCGTGCAACTTAACTATTATTATTACTAATTAAATATTTTATTCTATGCAGATGAAACTATTCCTAAATGGAATCAACTAAAATAAACTATCAAACTAATTCCAAATGAACTGTTTTCATTGATTCAATGGAACAAGAAACTGGAAATATAATTCCACGATGTCATTATAAAATTTGATATACCACTTCTCAATAATCCTAATGCTTCTCATTTAAGCCAAGAGACTGATGATTAATATTTCTAAACAATAGTTTGATAAGGGTGGTTGGTTTCAGGGGATTCTCCTCTTAAGAAATAGAAATAGAAAAATCATCTTTATTCTGGGACTAGGTCCCTTTAGAATAACAGTATTGTTCATATATATTAACTACAAATCTGGTCAAAAGACTTATTACAATGAATAATGACAAAATACATGTAATACATTAAGTATTAATTAAGCTCTTAGGATAAATTAACGAGGACAGTTGGGTAATAGGGGTTCAGTACTACAATATTGGAGCTAAAATAATTGCATAATAATCACTGAATGAAATTATAAAGGAAAGTAAAATCTATTTTATAGGTAAAGCATTGTAGTGATGGAATATAAAAATTAAAAAAAATAATAATAACTGTTAATATGTAGGGAAAGAAATTGTAAAAACTAAAACAAAAAAATATATAAAAAAACAAATAATGATATACATATGATCCCTAAGACATTTAAGTGATTATGCGTAAAGATTAGGAGAAGAGAAAATAAAATAAAGTATATATATACACATAACGAGACGTGTGCGAATGATTGAGAACATATCAGCTTGATGAGGAGATCCTAGATGTCGCTGCTTATTACTTCCCCTTTATTGGCTACCCAAAGTACGACATGAATATTTTGATATTATTATTAAATGCCCGTCTTAAAAAAAAAAGAAAAAAAAAAGTAAAGAATATAAACTCGTCTACAAAAAAATATTCAATAAATAAAATAATAAATATCACAAAGGAAATTTGCCTAAGAAAATAACAAATTGAAAATAAAATTCAAAAATATTTTGTTAGTTTCATAAATACATTGTTAAAAAAAATAAAATAAAATAAACCTACATAACATTAACGAATAAAATAACAACAATTAAAATAAAATATTATAATAGTTAGACTTGTAAATTATATATAAAAATAAATACATTTAACGACTAAATTTATCAGAATGAAAATAATAAAATTATCTACGATAGCGTGTTGGAAGATATTGATTGATCCCAATAATGAAACTAACAAGTAAATATTTCTGGCATTGGAAAACTCTTAAATTAGTTATTGCGACCTGGTGACACATTTATGTTTAAAAAAGTATACAACTTTCTTATGAAACTCGGTTATTTCGATTCGGAAGACGTTAGCTTGTGTAGGTATTGCAGTGAAAACTTGGATTCCAAATTTTTCACGATTTCTCTCACTATATATTTCATACAATAAAATAAAATTTTATAACTCAAAATTTTCGCCAAGAGTTGAGCCTTCGATTGTTTTTTTCGAAAATCATAAAAATTGTTCAACATGGATCCACCTAACCACAAGAAAATTAGCATGACTTTAGAACCCTAGAGAGTACAAGAAATGGTAAAAATTAGACGCTCGTAAATAAATTAGGTTTGGAGATCTAAAATAAAAACGTTTGGGGAGTTTTTCTTTGTTTGTTCCTTATAAATGCATAAAATCTAAAAGTTACAGATATGGTTACGAAGAGCAATAATTTAGAAATCCAACGGTCGTAGTAACGTTGGCTTAGGAGACAATTATGAGGAGTTATGAATGTTTCAGTAAACGGTATAAAAAAAAAGTATATATATTGCTATATATACATACATATATATATATATATATATATATATATATATATATATATATATAGCAAAGGTAGAAAACAATAATTTAAAAAAATGATAAAAATTATATATATTTTTTTTCTTTCTCAGTCCCTAAGCCACATTGGCAAGAAATCTCGGAAAAAGGTCTAATATTTTTCGACCTAGAAGCACCAAAAAAAAGTTATATTGAAATAGGTGACCACACGTTCCGAACCTCCCTCGTTAAAATTGTCGAGAGGCAAGGTGGGAGGGAAATAAATAAAAACCAAGAGCAGAAGTATTCATTTTATTAACAGAAAAAGATTCAGAAAACATGAAGGAAAAGGAAGTAATTAATAACTTTTAACATATGTAACGGCTGGACACATGTGTGAAGAGCCTTTATCTCGATCCTTATGATGTGTGGATAGAAGAGATAAAAGAAAAACGTAGACTCATAAATACATGTTTGTATAAAATGAAATAAAAAATATCACAACACATTTGCCTTTTTTGTTTTTAATCATTAAAGTTAACAATCATAATAAAACTATTTAATTATGTACTTATAATATCCACATGTTACGTATAATACTGCCAAATTTACAAAATTATCAACCATAATAAAATATTTTCAATAGTATTGACAATAAAATTTAAAACCAGTTGGTCTTTTACCTCCACCATCTAATTAAATGTAACACGATAAGATGGAGTTGAGGACACGATGCCTCCTTGCACTGACATTATCCAATCGTAAGACGGAAACATTTAATTCCAGTTTCAATGACTTCACGATTATCTACACGTCATCTGTGACAAAGGAAGGAGAGTCCATGTTCTTCAATGACAATGAATTGAAGAAAGAAACTAAGGGATCATAGCAGAGTGGTGACCACCACGGAGGATCAGATTTAGCTGTTCAGATGCAGATAAAAATTAACTTTAAAATTTATAGTTAACCCACATTAAAAATGAAGGACACATT